AACTTCGATAATTCCTGTGTCGTTTCGTCACGTTTGAGATTTATTGATGGGAAACACTTTGTTCTATCTTTAGTTGATGTGGACTCCCCCTTCCCCCTCTTGATCGAAAAAGTTATCCTTTAATCTTCCAGCTGTTGTAGAAAAATGGAACTAACTTACCTAGTCTTTTAAAAACACTTACTTTTCTTACAAAAAATTTTTAGGTTCTATGTGATTTGAGTACACCTGTAGCAAAGCTTGTTTTGTAATGTCTCTTTACAAAATCTCAATGCTGCTTCATCATTAACTTCTATAATATTACCATTTTTACAAAGTGCCTGTAAATTAGTCGCGGTCCACACTGTGCACAGCAATGGGCGAGTTCTTGCACCCCTCACTCACTTTTTTTTTGATTTTGCACTTTACAATTGAAATAACGCTGCTTTTCTCAACTGCGCCGCTGCGGTTTTGCTCCAAAATATGCACAGTGCAATCGGCATTTATGAGGTTTGCACGGAGCGGAAAGGCAAAAATCGACAGTGCGTTGGCGACAAAAGCTCAAGAAGCACTGTGCGAAAGCGAAAAAATGTCCAGGCACTTTGTGAAAATGCTAAGACCAAAAGAAATTTATGAAAACAATAGAGAAGGATAAAAGTCGGACGAAATTTAGAGCAAGATTATAAAAATATGTCAGATTCTTAGGTGCCACAATTTGCAAGTAGTGCACCTAGTGCAAAAAAAAATGTTGCCCATGCCTTTCAGCAGCGCAAATATTGTATTTTTGGTGATGGAATATTACCCCATTTCTAATGTATACGTATTGTGCGAGAGGAGAGTAAAACTTATGTTGCCGCTCAAGTCCTCAAGTCGAACCTGCTGGCCTATGGATACAAATAGGATCCTAATGTTTCGAAATTTTATGTTATCTTTGAAGCAAAACGAGCATGTAATGTATTAGGATGTTGTCTTGTAAATTTTTGGGTCCTCGATTTGTGCGAATGTGAGCTTTGAGATGCATTAAGGGATATGTTGTATATATGGTTTTGAAGCTCAGGCAGCTTCTAAATCGTATATACTGAAGTCACATAATGTCTACCCACACTGCCCCAATATTGTCCTACAAATTGAAAAATTTTGCTGATGTTAAAAGGATATAGGCCTTGGAAAATTAGACGTGTAAGCCCATTAAACAAGAAAATATGACGAGCTTGGATCTTATTACAGTTGACGCCGCTACTCAGCAATGGGGCTTTGTGGGGTATAACTAACATGAACTTTGTTGCACTCTTGTCTTTCTGACCTAAATTTCCAATGGTAGAAATTGTTGCCTGTAGCTGTGCATTATATGTAATTTACGCTTGTTTGTGAACATTATGAGATAACAATTACCGGTTGTGTCAGTTTTGTTCGTTGAAATATTCATCATTTAAAGAATTCCCAATTTAAAAAATTTATGGAAATTTTTAAAAATGTTGCTTTCGCTAACATAAAATACGTATGTTATCGTTCAGAACTCACTGCGCTACAATATAACTTGAGGTCGTAGCAATTTTTTGGGGGGGGTTGAGCAAATGCCCCTCATTTCTTCAAATTTTCTTGGGTTAGCGGTAATTCAGAGCAAGGTAGCCAGCGATTCATACATAAAACGTAAAAATGTAATTCGATTTTTATCCTATTAAACTGAGCAAGTACACTCAAAAAATGTTATACGCAAATGTACATCACAGTATTCACCATTACACCTAATACAGAAAGCCTGTAGGAGAGCGCCATAAGCACCAATTCAGTGCTTATTTATTTTAATAGATACAGGGAACTCAGTGGATTTATTAAAAAGTGTAGATGCAAAGGTGCAGCCTCACTTTGCAGAGAACGGAATCGTTTTATTAACCCTTCCTGAAGTGGATGATATTAAAGAATATTAAATATTTGTCCTGCGGGTATGAGGCCCGTTCAGATTTCTATGCTTCTTATGAGTGTAAGAAAGATATGGTGGTTTTAACAGTAACAAACATTGAGGGGTGAAGTGATGTAGACCCTCGCAATGAGACTTTAATTCTCAAACCCAAAATTTTGCAAGGCGACCCAAAACTTCTCACATCGCTTTAATTAGGCATATGTAAATTTTTGTTCTAGAATCTTCTAGAAAGGGAAAGAATTTCTCAGTCTGTGGATCAAAGAATCAAAAAAAATAATTTTTGTGTTGTGATTTAGACGATGACTAAAAGCTCACAAACTTTTCCGGAATTTTCCTAGACATTTGACAAAATAGTTGTGACATTGACAATTGATAGAGATTTGTTACAGAGTTTCACATAAAACAGTTGCTCCCAGGCTTTCAACAGTTGTTAAGCAATTGTGACATTTTTCTAGAACTTTCCTAAGCCTAATTAATCAGTAAAGATTTGAACTTATTGCATCTCTGAGTCGCCAGGCTTTCAGCAGTCGCTAAGCAGTTGCTTCTCCGCGACGAAAAGCATTTCCAAACCTCGGGTCTTTTTCTCCGCTGGGTCCTTTCTCATTAAATTTTGACGGCGGTCAGCGCGAAGGAAACCCCGATCTTTTCCTTCTTTCTCTGCCCGCTCTCTCCTGCTTTGTGCGAGCGCCCTCTGCCTCTCGTCATGTGACGAAGATAGGACGAAAAATAAAGAGATCCCGATTTCTTTTAGAAATCGAAGCAGAGAAAAGGGGGAAAATCATTATTTCCATATTGCCTGACGAAATTCCCTTTTTATTTTGACGCGAGTTGTGACATAGACTATTGACAAAATGATTGTGACAGATTTTGACATAAACAGTTGTTGCCAGGCTTCTAGCAGTTGTTAAACAGTTGTGACATGATGAATTGTCAAATAACTGTGACATAGGAAATTGTCATAAGGTTGTGGTATAGATTTTTTCAAAAATAATAACATCTGTAGTGTAGGCGATGACTAAAAGCTCACAAACTTTTCTAGAACTACAAACAATTGTGACAGATTTTGACAGGAAACAGTTGCTGCCTGGCTTTTGGCAGTTGTTAAGCAGTTGTGACATAGACAGTTGACAAAATCATTGTGACATTGATTTGTGACAAACAATTGTGACAGATTGTTGGCAGGAAACAGTTGTTGCGTAGGAGGAATTTGGGATGTTGCAAATTTGCTCCTCCCCCTTAAGTCAGTATAAAGTACGGAAATTTGGTCAAAATTCTATTTCAAGTTTTTTCCTGTCTTCAAATGTCGCTTCCTCTAGTCGTCTCAATTGAATTTTGTCATTATTCAGATAGTGAAGAAGAACCGAGTTTTGCGCTGGCCCTAGCTGAAAATGATTATTACATGATAATGGCTCATGACTCGGCGCGCTCTCTGTTAGAAGAGGTTGAAATCGGAAACAGAATCGTTCTTTCAGGGTTCATTAACCGCGGAAAAATGGATGGTCTTCATTATCTTTCACTGCTGGCTACCTCTTCCATCAAGGTGTTGTCCCCCAGATGTCCCTGTTGTAAGCTACAAGAGATGCATCTAGACGAAGATGATGACGACTACTGAGTAATCCAAACTTCATCAAAGATATAAAAAAATATTATTCCTTTGCGCTAAAATTTGCATATTTAAAAAAATAAATAATTTAAAATAAATTTGAATAATTTGTAAACATAATCAAAATAAAAAGTGGAAAATTCAAAAGATCATGAAGAAAACACTTTCGCACAATCCGCGGGATAGTTTGTGTTTTTTTTGCATAAATTATGCAAATTTCCGGAAAAAATCTTTATCTCTCTTTGGACAAGCGTGAGCTTTTGTGCAATTTCATTATCCAAAGGTTTCTTCACGTATTTTTGCATATTCCTTATAGGGAAAGTGCTCCTATTATAACAACTATTCAACAAAAGCAATGGTAGTTTTTTGAGCCTCAACTGTCTAATGCTATTTCGGTTTCTTGTTGTGAAATCTAACACATGCCTGCCTCCGGCAATCATTTCCTTCACGTGAGCTCGGAATGATTTTAACGTGGACTTTATGACTCATTCTTTGGTATCCCTTAGGACAACTGTTGTTGCAGTTAACAGTTGTTAAATGGAAAGATTTACACTAACTTGACTCCGCCCATTAAAATTTGCAATATTTAATTATATGATATCTTAATTTTTTCCATTTATAACCCATTGTGTGATTCGGGCGTGTGCCAATTTTATCCGCAAAAATCCACATGTCTAACCTAAAATTCTAAAATTTCGCGCTAAGACTGCCCTAAAATAGTATCTGCTTCTTGCCAAAACGGGTGAATTAACAGCGAAATTTTTCTTATATTAAGAAATCGATACAATTCTCACTTGCTTAATAAAAGTTTTAATTTTTAATTAATAGCAGTGATGGTAGCGATCAATGACGCAACATCAGAATCAAATAACCTTGACTGCCAAAAGATCATCGTGTGAACCCAAATTTGAAAAGCTGCGCAAAAAGAAGGTATTTGGGCACAAAAAACGTTGTTTCAAGTACCATTTACATTGCAAAAAAAAAAACATATTATACACAGTGAAATGAATCTAGAAGCATATTGGCTACACCGTGACCTTCTTCCCTTCTCTCCCCCTACCTGATTGAAAATAGGCCCCGCCCCTTTTTGGGGCAGTGAGAGGGGCCTATATACTACTAGTATGGCAACATGTCGGCGGGCGCACACTTGCGGGCAACCATTTTGCGGGCAACCAGTTTGCGGGCAATTTTTTTGCGGGCAGCCACTTTGCGGGCAGCCGACATTTGCGGGCAACCGACACCTGATTGTGAGAGTAACAGGGTGGACGTGCAAAAATTACTATGATATTTTGGAAATTTCCCGACATTTGCGGGCAGCCGACATTTGCGGGCAACCGGCACTTGAGGATAACAAAGTGGAGGTGGAAAAATTACTTCGATATTTTGGAAGTTTTCCGACATTTGCGGGCAGGCAATACTTGCGGGAAACCGACATTTGCGGGCAACAGTTCCAAAAGTACCAATACAGTCTGTGTGATTGTTTTTCCCTGTTGCCCGCAAATGTCGGCTGCCCGCAAGTGTCGGCTGCCCGCAAATGTCGGCAAATTTCCAAAATATCGCAGTAATATTTCCACCTCCACCCTGTTACCCTCAGGTGCCGATTGCCCGCAAATGTCGGCTGCCCGCAAGTGTCGGTTGCCCGCAAGTGTCCCAGGCTGCCCGCAAGTGTCTCAGCTGCCCGCAAATGTTTCAGCTGCCCGCAAATGTGACCCCTCAAATTTTGCCCGCAAAGTGGTTGCCCGCAAAAAATTTGCCCGCAAACTGGTTGCCCGCAAAGTGGTTGCCCGCAAGCGTCGCGACGCCAAGATGTCAAGGGCGTTATAATGAAAGCGGTCAAACAGAACTTGACCGCTGCAACTTGTTCAGTAATCCATTAAACAAACAGGGACCAAGCAAGAGATTTGACAGTACAAGGCGTCTAAATGAGCCATAATGTTATTGTAACAAAACAAGCATCTGCCAATCCCTTCCCGATCCAACTAATTGTTGGCTGACCACACCTCTCACGCATAAATAAATAATTTTGCAAAACCAATTATGCAAGATAAACGGCAAGAAAATAAACTAATCCTAAAGAACTTTAAGGCAGCGTCTGGATGCCTACGAAGACTGCTAACAATACATGTATTATTCGTAGTGAAAGATACAAGAAAGCAACCCAACGAGGCACCTTCAAGAAAAAAATTTCTAAATGTTAACAAGGCAAGCGTAACGGTAGGATTACACAATGAAGTTTGTGACTACATTTGTTAGTCCGTGCGTTCTATGAAATTAAGCAATTTATTACAACCGCAAAAACTCCGTTGCAGATATTGTAGATCGCGGGCTTGAGGGGCTTATTACTAAGTTTGGGCACTATCCCAGCCAGGCTGATTGATGGTCATTACAATGTGTGTACTTTGATAAAGTGAAAATGGGACGATAATAATATAAATGTAGTGCTCAGCAGGAGATTTAACATAACATACGTGAAATACAGAAATTTTGAATGCATTGCGGAACATGCAGTAAACAACTAATGAATACACGATTAAACAGACATTTTTTGTAAAAAGTTATACTTTGGATGGAAGTTGTTAATCTAGACGAAATAAAGTAAAGTGTGTCTACATCGGTCTATCGGGAAAATAATGTAGATTTCTCGCAGCAAAATATTTTGCTTTGTTGCAGCTGCGCACCAAATCTCCAGATCTGTTTACAGTGAGTGAACTTGTGATTAAGAAATTGGAAATTTTTTCTTACAAGGAAAGTACTTTTATGGGGGCTCCTACTTTTTGACGGGACATATCTCAAAAAATCAGGAAAAATGTGCTGATCAAGGATATATAAATCTTAGCTGCCCATTTTAGGTTTTTAGGGGTGAAAACTCAATCGGAAGTTGACTTAAAGTCCTATATGAACCCCTTTTCGCTTAATTTTTTCACAGGTTTACAATTTTTATTTTGGCTTAAAATGGTGTTTATTGAGTTTCTAAGACGTAATAAGACAGTCTTGGCCCAAAAATTTATTTTTCCGACCTTCAGCTTCAAAAAAAGTTGATTCAGCCCAAAAGGGAAATCGAACCCGTGCGGCGTCCCCCTCTTGATTCCCAGACTACGGCACTAACCACTCGGCCACACCGCTCTCTTCCGAAGGAAGAGACCGAGTGCGCTTTTTATCGTTTCGAATGTCTGCCTTTTGTAGGGAAATTAAACCAGTTTTTGGGCATTTTCACCCTTAAAAACCTAAAATGGGCAGCTAAGATTTATATATCCTTGATCAGCGCATTTTTTCTGATTTTTTGAGGTATGTCCCGTCAAAAAGTAGGAGCCCCCATAAAAGTACTTTCCTTGTTAAACCAGCGATGTAAAAAGCCAATCTATGTATCCAGACAAATTTTCAACACACAGTTGCAAGGAATTTTCCGTCTCAAATATGTGCAAAAAGAAAGTACAATAAATTAGAAATCGAGCTAATCTCTGGCCAAGATACTAGATAGAAAATTTGCAGGTGCCATTAACTTGTTTAGAATTGCATTCGGCGAATATATTTACGACCTGAACCCGGTCGTACCTTTTTATTCGGTTGATGTAGTTTCACATCACCTGTGTGATATATATGCTTAGTGCCTCGCGCCAAAGTTCAGACAATTTGCACTGTGCTCCTCTGATTTTTGCGACATCAATTCAATCGTCGCGCGCGATATTGGCGAAAATGTGAGCTTTGTGCCGCAAGTATATGTGCCAGAATACATTTTAAAATTCGGAGAATCTGCTCTCTCGAACTCGTGCGTCCCATTCTGCTACAAATATCTGAAGGTGCAGTTAATAAGAATGCGTGACGTTTACGTGAACTGTTTACTCAGTTATCGTAACATGACTACCGTGATATAAGCCGGTTGCATGACAGATTCCTAAACTAATTAGACCTCGTTTAAAATTATGCGCGCCATCTAAATTAACTGCAAAAAGAGGTTAACGCAAATGACCTGAGGCTATTTCAAAATGTGGAAAATAAGGAGTATATAGAGAAATGTTACATTATATGGCTAAAGATGGAAGGGGTTGGCACAAATATTGGGCTAGCGTTAAGGGGTGGGTCGAGACTCGTTAGGGGAGTACATGTGAAGGTATGGCTTCGGCTGTAAGGCTGATTCCTCGGGTAAAATTACGGATCGTGACCGGGAAATTTAACATACAAAACATAAGCGTAACTACTTCTGTGACTGACCGTTTAGCACGTGGTATTCCAGTCTATTGTACGCAGATGACATTTTACGGCAGATAACTCGGTTTTATAACAATTTCTGGCCTGTGCTCCTCGTGTACCTCTCTTTTGGCGCAGATTAAAAAACAGTTTGACAAATTGCTTCAGACAAGCTCCAAGCGCCAAAAATAACGGGTTTTCCTACAGAAGGCAGGTGGTTAACAACAAAAGATCAAGTCACAGTAGACAACAAAGGCCAAAAGAAGCAGTAAATTACTTTGGATTAGGTTAGTATCAAATTTAAAAAGGATTTTCCAGAAAATGACGAAAATGATCTGTAACGTTTAGCATAAAGGTTTTGGTACATAATTTTTAGACCCAATTATGTCAAGCAGGCGTCAAACATGGGCAATTGGATGCACTGTTGTCTTGCCTCCAGTTTATTTTTTATTTACAGGCTGTTTCATTTTTGTGGCCCGAATTGAATTGGCTATAACGTCTTTATTTTTCGACCAATTTAGAAGGTTCTTTTTTTCCCGGAATCTTAAGAATCTCCTATTTTGTTTAATAAAAAATGTGGGGCAGAACTGCAGAAATCTCGCCATTTGCGTTGTGGAGAAAAAAAGACCTCAAAAACTGCCAAAATCAGTCGTATCTCGTGAACGTGGCAAACCTGGGTTCAGATGGTTTAGAATTTTGCGTAGAACAGTTTGGAATCAAAAAGCCAAAAACTGATTCACTCCTAAAGGGTGAAACCCAGAGTGCACAGATATAAAAATTTTGAAAATCCGCGAAGTTGGGGAAAAGGTTTGGCCCCAAACAAAAGTGAAATTTTCCAACAGCCTAGAGGCGAGGAAAAAAATTTCGAAAGTCATGGCAAAAATCTGGTCAAAAAATTTCATCTTCTAATGCCCATCACACCCACCAAAATAAAAAATTCAAAAATTTAAAAAAAGAGTGGGCGCAATACGGGGAAATCCATTTCTGCGCCATTCCGCACTTGATTGGCACAAACAATGTCTTGCAAAACAATTAACAAATTAGGTTAAAAAAATGCACAATTGGCTTGAACAAACCCACAGTCAAAATGGGTTTCATGGCAAAGCATACATTTTTGTTCATTTTTGCGACGGTTCTTGCCAATAGCGCGCATGGCTATTGCAACTAAGATAGCCCGACTAGCTTAGCATGGAAGTAAACCTGCACCGTGCAAATGTCTCAGGACTTTATGTCGCGACTAGTAGAGCGACGGATTGTGTTCGTGTTCAAAAAAGATGATTTCTGTTAAATGGCAATTCTGCGACTATGTTCCCACGCAATACATTGACAGTCAAATTAAGAGCATAGAATGTACGCAGCTTAAAGAACTAACGATAAGGAAAGAGTGTTTGAAAATATCTACCAGTCAAATGTTTCCATTACACAAGGTGAGTACCTTTTATTCGTGTCGGGACAAGTTGCGGTCAAGGGGAATTAGAGTACAACCAAGTGCACGTGGACTTCTGATTTTAAAGGGGAATTTCAATAGTTTCACTGAAGGTTCTTTGAAGCTTGTCAGTAAAGAAGAATACAATTTGATCTGGACGTCACCCCAAATTTACAATTGTAGTCCGAAGCCAAATACCTCGACATAAGGTACAATTCGTTCATTCTTAAGGTAGGCGTATTACAAATCAGTTCGCACGAGATGAACTGCTTAGGCATGCTAAGCACGGGTTCGGTGTGCTTTTTTTTAATCCAGCTTAAGATTACATCACCCTACAGTAGAAAATAAGAACTGATAATTGCTACATTCCGCACACTAAGCTGACAAGAATCTCCTTATTTTGTTAGAAAGCAGATTCGACACGTTTGAGCTATTGCACTTATTTCCCCACATCCGTGGTATATGTTTATCAAAGAGGGACCTTCCGCCTAGCATTAATTGAGTAAGTATTTAGCACTAGGTTATGAAAGCGTTGGCTTGACGTCTTCATCCCCTTAGACCTTCCTTAGACTACCGGCTTATCCCCAAGAATCAAACAACTTCAATATTCTCAGACGTGGAAATTCATAAGTAAGAAACGAATTTTCAAAATAATTTTTTTTTGCACTTACATACGATTGCACCATGATGACTATGGCATTTGTCGGGCGAAATATTGTATGCTGATTGAGTAAAGCAATGCGCAAAGCTGCAACAAAATACCAAACATAGACTATTGTTTTCGAACTGATAAATGCCCCAGGCGGAACCTGCACACTAAACTCCATGCAACCTAGGCCTTCCACAAGTTTTCAAAATAACATAGATGTAAGCTCTAGTATCCGCGTATTTATTACGTCGCAAAAACAAGATAAATATACAAAAAGACAAAGGTAACAGTGGTTGTCATTTTGGCACAGAATCGATCTTTCAATGGCACGTTGTTATTAATAATTCAATTTAGAAAAATGTTGACAAAGATTGCGATAAAATCAGATTACAATTAGACTTCCGGAACCCTGAATGCTGAAAGAGTTGGGCTGCAAATAGAAATAACAGCGAAAACAATTATATCAATTGTAGGTAGAGCTATATCTTGTACACTTGGAATCAAAATAAAAATAGAAAAAAATCAAAAAAATGCAATGAAAAAATATTTGACGGTGCGAGAAAATTGAGGAAGAATTTTTTACAGTGCAGTGCTCAACTTTTTTTGGCTTTAAAATGTACAGTAAACAAAATTGAGGCGTTTAAATTGCGTAATAAAAAAATCTTACCGCACAGTGCAAAACAAGCCAAAAAAAATTTTGCTTTTTGCAAATTTTCTCTAAAAATTTTTTTCTAATTTTACTGCACTGTGCAGTCAAAGAAACGATTTTTTGCACCGTGCAGGCAAGATTCTTTTCTCAAAATTTCAAAATCTAACGGCTGCTTTACAATATCTATCGTCGTAAATAGGCGTTCCGATACAACGAATCATTGCGTCGGTTGTTCTTCCAGAATTGGCACCGTAGGATTCGGACATAAGTCTTCAGGAAGCGTCCATTGCATGCGTAACAAATTGGGTTTATCTGAAATGTAACACATTCACCGTCATTACATTTTTTCGTGTTTGTAACCCAAGCATTTTTCAACAAGTTTTCTTTTAATCTCTATTTACTTACCGTTGAATTGACATAGCACAAGCAATAGCTGATGGTAAATAGAATTTCGGGCACAGAGTTTGGATAAAAGGCCTCCCAACATACGATGACGTTATATGGAGTCCAAGTGACGATAAAAGCGAAGAGAATGGCGCTCAAGGTCTTGGCGGCTTTGGACTCTTGGCGTCGCTCGTTTTTTCGACGCTCTTTCTCGGATTTCCGCTGAAAAATATTGGAAAATTAAAATAAGAGAGCAAAGTAAACTGAATAAAAAAATTTCAAAAAAAAAATCGGTACAAAATACAAACAAAAAATTCAAAAATTTTGAGCGGAAAATCGGGAATTCTAAAATTTGGAAAATGGAGCATAAATAAAATTCAAGCCGCAATGGCAACTCACCAAATCTTCCCGTTCCTTGGACGACAGTGTTTTTCCATTCTGCTGCTCATGTTTATGGTGCAGTTTGGTGCTTCCGGCATTACTAAATGAGGCATTATGGTTGTTATTGTCATGACTGGTTCTTCGGCAGTCGTCGAGATTCGTTGAAGGAGCCTTTCGGGAGGATCTTGTTGAATTAATCGGGGTTTCGGTGCTGAAAACGGTGGATTAAAGCATTCGATTTTTTGGCGGTATTTTGTCAATTTTTAACGTTGTAATTTTCATAAAATAAGATATGAACGATAACCAAAAAATGCAAAGCACATTGCAAAAAAAGATGCAACAACGCACTCAAGGTACCTTACGCAAACAAACGTACTTAAACCCATCCGAATCGCAGCTGGACAGCCTCACCGACGGCCTCTTGCTTTCTCCGTCTTTGTATTCGATGAGGACCGTGTAGGTGTGGAGAATCGGGACCGTATTCGATTGGGAGACCGAATTGGCCAAGGCTACATGATGATGACCGTTTTGGCGCGGTTCAGTAGCCGTCCGCGATCTGAACTTTGCACTCCCACTTCTGTTATTTGTTGGACTAATAGGAGTCCCATCAGTTGAGGCAATCTCCTAAAAAAGGATTTGTGAATCCCACCTCTTAAGTACGAAGTGAAGTATCGGTAGCTGTTTCATTCACTCACCTCAATAGTTTTTCCTGAGATCCAGTCTGGCCCATTTGTGGGCACATTGGTTTCGGAGCTCTCCTCCGAATCGATCTCGGTGCCCGCTTTGCCGACGCAATAGCGCAACCAAAAGAACTTGTCATTCGATTTTCGTCTGAATAACTCGAGTAATTAATAACTCTGCCAGTGGCGACAGGCCAGGTATGAGATGTAAACTATTGTTCAAAGCCACTCCTTACCGGGGTTTTCCAAACGTCACCGAGTCCATAAACGGCAGCCCTTGTTTGCTTTTTTTAATGGAATTCTGTTGCTTCACCGAATCCCGCAGACTCTCATTGGTCGCTTCTTCAAACTGCCGCACCTGTCGAAGCTAAAATTGAATAATAAGCATTTCACTTCGAAGGGGCTCTAAATTAGTGCAAATTCCAAACAAAAGCGGCGGGAGTACAGAAATTATAGCGAAATTAGAATAAACGAAAAATTAGCGAAAGAAAATAAGTAGCTAACTCATGAAAAGTGGTGTAAAGTGCGAACAGAGTAAGCAGTGAGAGAGCGCTGACCTCATCGGCAAATTGGTTGACCACCGTGACCGTGTTGCGCCGCAACTGATAAAGGCCAGCCAGCTAGACCAAAAATAGAAGCCATTAGGAAAGGTACAGTAAGCAAGTTGGGAAAAGTACAGTGAAAGGAATTTTGTGGGAACATACGGCTTGGCTACGCTTGCAAAAGAATCAGTCTTGTAGCCATGTCGTAGGTTCCACTCTTTCTTTTGTCACAGTTTTGAAACCTTTACACTTACAGTCACAAGATCATCACTAGCAAACAACATGCCTCACAATGGTGACAACCACACATCTTCTCAAACGGGCAAATATAATAAACAATGACAAGTACATTACTCATTATTACAACACCTGAAAAACAGTAAATGGTGGCAACAAGAACACATTGCGTGTTAAAACATATCCAAAAGAAAGCACCTTAAACCATGCGCAACACCGCGATGTGGGCACACTGTGACGGCGAATGGTCTCCATAAACGATCGCAACGACGCTCTGGAGAGCCTCCGTTCCAAGGGAGCTGTGGAGTCGTCGAAAACCCCAAGTGCAGTCGCCTCCGACATTAGGGATTGTTGCGAAATTTCGTGCTTAAAAAATGGGGAAATAAAAAAAACACTCAAAAAAATAAAAGAAACAACATGGATTAGAAAATCATAAAAATACGAGGAATTGAAGGCACTTCAAAAGAAATCAGAGAAAAGAAATTGTAAATGGAGGAAAGGGTTGAGTGAGGAGGGAAAGGGGTGCGGGTTAGTTGCAAGCGGTGGGCAGGGACAGATTTTGTTTACATTTTTTGGCTAAAGATTTGTCCAGGGCAAGCAACGAAATCATTTGTTTCAAAGATAAAGTGTGTTGTGTCGCTCGGATTTCGAAGAAAAAATATCGCGATTTTTGGGTGCCTTTTCTGCAAGCAATCGTCAAAAATTCGCAAAGACATAGAAAAAATCGGTTTTCTGTGACCGTCTCTCCCGATCTTCCGTTTTTCGAAAAAATTATAGGTGCGCATGTAAAGCAAAAGGCTAAGAATTTTTGAAGCATATAAGATGAAGTGGCGCATGTTTAAGCATGCATATATTATATTAGAGCCAAAGGTCCAAATTTAGAAAAAAAGTGTTTAGAGTATATCTGATAGTTCATAGCCCACAGTACCTGTTAAAAGTTAGCGGAAACTCGGAAAAGTTAGTTTTCTTATCAATCACACGCCTAACCTGATTCTTGCGTCGAATCGACAACATCCTCCGCCGGAACGATGCAGTCGCCTAGAAAAAAGAAAATAGATTCAGAGGCTACGAACATTTCAACCGTTTTTTAACCGCAAAAACTGCAAAATTTCTGCACGCTGTTATGTGATACCATTCAAAATCAAATTTACATTTTTCTGCAAAAATTTACGCAACAGTAATTTCACTCCAACAAAAAACATGTTTTCGTGCGCGAAACTAAAATTTGAACATAGTACGATGACTCTCACCCAACAAAAAATATTTTTCACGCTGCAAATAAGAGGCTACTGGTCGATTAAAAAAATTTTTGTGCCTTTTTGGAGTGCTTCGACCGATATCCCCTTACTTTGAAAACACACTCAAATTATATATATTTTTGTCACAAAAATTTTTCGTTTCAAAAAAACAAACGGACCAATGGCAACATGAGAGAATGCAACGCGGACGTGGCGCCAATTTGGGTTGGTGAAAACATCTGAAATGGAACGATGATGGACATTATAACGACCGGGACAAGTAACAGGCGGGAATACAAAAATTAAATCGGACAGAAGTGAGTAGGCATGCGGAGAGAAAACGGGATTTTTTGATTCAAAAATTTTTCAAATTTTAGTGAAAGTTGTAGTAAATACGGAGGTAAATTTTCAAACCTACGCCAGATTTTACCTGACAATTTGAAAAAGTAATCGATCTCCTTATATTGAAAAATGCCGGAGATTTAGCAAGAGAGAACTCAGAAAAAGTCCATAAGCCTTGGTTATTTTTACCTTTAAAATCAATTCTTAAAAGTGTCAAAAAATGTCAACAAAAGTCTTTTCGGACTATTAACTCCTCTTTTTCACTTCTCGATGCCATCAAAAAATACAATGCGACACGTAAAGCACACAACACTAGTTGTGGGTCGAGACATTAGACGCGATGACAATTTTAATAAAGAAATTAGATCAAATAATACTATAAAATGTTACAATGAGCAGCCAAAAAGGTGTTAAGTACCGTAAAAATCAAAGAAATTTATCCTAGAACAATATAAAAAAACAAAAATGTTGAAGAAAGACCGACCTGTCCTGCCTGGAGTTTCCGGAATTCGGCGGTCCGCTTTCGAGTCTCGCAATAAACTCGGTAGTAGAGGTAGATCATGATTGTAACTGGAAGATAAAAGGCGAAGAACGAGGTGGCCACAGTGGCCATTTGCGAGGCCCAACGGCCTTTTGCACCCGGCGAAAGGAACTGCACGACGCAGGTCATTGGCTCAACAAAGGTCCGACCTAAATTGGGATTAAAAAATGCTGGAGTCAAATGCTCTTATAAAATATGATTTATTTTGCAGAAAATATTTTTTTTATTGTCTTCATAAAACCGAGCACTTGAACCGCGTTGTGCAGAATGGTTTTATTTTTTTCAGAAATAAAAGTTCTGCATTAAGCGGTTGCTAGAAATTGCAGAAAAATTAACTCATGCATTGGTTTAATTCTCCGATCAAAAAGAATCAACCGCGTTTTGCAGAAGTTGCTCAAAATTCAAAAAATTTTAGCATCGCATCAATTTTTATAACCGTTAAAAATTCTCCTTACTACCTTCGATGGCATTCTCGATCAGCGGCCATGTGAGAATCCACGGCGGCCACAGAGCCATCGATATTGCGTAGGCCAGGAAGATCGCAAATAATGCTTTTCTCGTCGTCCTTCGCGGTCGATAAGTCAGCGGCCTTGTGATGGAAAAGTATCGATCAAAGCTGATCAAAAGAAGATTCAAAACTGAGGCATTGCTCATCAAATAGTCGAGGCACAACCAGAATTGGCACATATTCCAGCCGATTCCCCAGTAACCCGTCGACGTGTAATATGTCATCAGGGGGATCGAAATTATTCCTGTAAAACGCAATAAGGATTACGCATATAAACGCAAAGTTACCATAGTTATATACTTTTCGAGTATTCGTATAAACAAAAAACTTACCAATTGTGATGTCGGCGATTGCCAACGAAAACAAAAAGTAATTGCTGATGGTCTGCAGCTGCTTATCCACTCGGATTGAGATCTAAATTACGATGATGCAACAAACCGTCATATCAACCTTACCATGACCATAAGATTGCCCAGAGTCGTGGCAATCGCAAAGATCGTTCCAATAATTATAATGGGGACCATCCCAATATCTGCGCTCTGCCCGGATTGAGGTAATAATGCTGGAAAATGACTGGATTGCAGAAAAGTAATCGGATAAAAAGAAGGACGAAGTAAAGACTCACAGGTATGGTTTTGAGTGGGAGACATGGAGGTGTGTAACTGGATCGGAGCTAACGGAGCTGGAGCTGTTGTTGTGATCATGGATGAGAGGACCTGCAAATTCATACTCAAACATAACAGACGTCTTTTGCATTTTTTGTGTGTTTTAAAAATAACCCCAATTTTTTAATTTTAACTCCATCAAGTGTCCGAACTTCCGACGTTGACCTTGAAAAAAAGATAATTTGTTGAATTCATATCAAGTTGACATCACTTTGTCTGCAACCCGTCAACAATGTCTTTAAAGTGCTCCGATAATTTGCATATGTCGTCAAAGATAGAAAGCGGCCGACGTTCTTGCAACAAACTGACTGCCACCTACATTTTTATGCGCCGGATTTGATCCCATTTGCATAGAGTCGCAGAGAAAGGTAAACGTTTTCTGCAAGACGAAGACACACGTGCTATTTCACTCATTGAAGTCCAAAAAAAGGATCAAAAATTGCCGTAAAAATTTTATGGATACGTGGTTCAAATGGTATGTTTTACAATTCCATTTTAGTAATAGTTCGCCCACTTATTGTTTAGCTTACATACGCATTGAAAAGCTCCAAAAAAATTGAAAGCATACCTGCATGACCAAGTTCAACACCTTCGACTTGCGTTGCGGCGGATCCGGCAGAGGCTGGGGTTCGCCGAAGAAGAGACGCGGCTGCTCGCCGTAGCCGAGCAACGACTGCGACGGCTGGACCGGCTGTTCGGCGGCGGCGTTGAGGAGCTGGTCGAGGAAGAGGTCAGCAAGCTGCGCATCCTTCGGCAGCCACCGCCCCACATCCTCGGCGCTCATTAGCGGCGGCCTTGGGTGACTGAAAACATTGTGTGATAAAGAAAATAAAAAAAATAAGAACCGAAAAATCGAAAAATTAAAAATATTTCGCAAAATTGCTTTAGAAGACAGTTTTTTTAATCCGAGAATTTTGGATTTTTACTTTCGTGACCAAATCCAAAATTCTCCCCGTTGAAACATAACCGGGAATATTCATAAAAAGAAATGTCGTCGGACCACGGCTCAAGGGACCAATTCCGTACTAAATTCAAATAAAATCGCGGAAAGTCAACATGCATAATATTGTTAGACTTTTTTGAAGAGTCCTTTCCGTTCTTTGGACCAGTATAAAAGTTAAAAGATGTCAGAAATTTTTGGCAACTGCTTTACAAAATCAAAAAATGTGATGTTGTTGCCATCCGATTTTTGTGAAATTCCTTGGGTTATACAAGTTACTAAGAATTTCACTCTTGCTATGCAACTTATGTTTTTTAACCAGTCCAAATTTACATGACAAAATAGGTATATAAAAACTAGACAAATGCAACCCACTTATCACCTAAAATACCCCGTTGAGACATTATAATTGGCACATAATCTAGAGTTTTAGCAGTACAAATAGGATTAAGAAGCTCTCAAAAAAAACTTCTGTTGAAAAAAATTTAAATGTGGCATTCCTTATTAGGGCAAAGCAATTAGCATAAGAAGGTATAATCCCTAAAGGTTCAAAAAACGCATGTCAAGAGATGATTACATGTATTACACACGGATAAAAAGGGATTTTAAAATTAAGAAGGGCAAAAATTGGAACATGTTTTGATGATCTCCGGCTTTTGAGAAGATTGTCAAAGCAATGCTGTAGATAATATGCTCGCGCATTCAGAATCTACCAAGTTTTTTTGGATTAGATCTTGCCAGAAATTCGACTTTTTTTGATTTTCGCAACGAGTTTCACGATCAATTACTGATCGTGAAACGTCACTCTCTTTGCAGAACATATTAATCTTTTGATTCGCAGAGATATGACCAAGAGCTGATCTTTTTCTACCACCCCCCGTCATCTTCCGTTTGGAAGTTTATGCAAATGTAGAATATCTCAGCACTGCTTCCAAAGACCGTGCGAATAACCTAACTAAGATGGTAAAGTGGTCTAGACGGAACCTATGGTTAAGAGTCAAAGTTAAACGCTGCGTTTGGTTTCCGGCATTGAAATGTCGCCTTTTGCAACGGCAAGCGTGAAACAAATTTATAATTGACAGGATCTCTTCAGTGAAAGGCCGATTTGCTCCCTACAACGGATGTTTGTACCGCCCACGAGCTCATGAAGACATTTTTCCGTGGAACGGAGCCCAGAACAGCCAAAATGTTGCCCGCAGAAACCTACACTCTCACAATAAGACCGTCCAAAAAATCGCCAACCCGAATTCAGAACAGCTCAGCTGACAGCTCAACACAAAAGGGATTTGTCGCTCCCCCAATGATTTAAATATTAGATGCCGGTTTGAAACACCCCACCCTCCCCTTCCTTTTCTTCGCTCCTCTCATTATTGGCAATTTGCAAAAAAGCAAATTGGCCGAAAAGTTTTTTTGAACGTCGTTTGAAGACGTACCCCCGCCGCAAAATCCCCTCCTCAGCCCCTGACAACCGCTGAAGCGCTTTTGTCTTCGTGCGAGGCGTTGACGCATTTGACGCGCTCCAATCTCCGAATCTATTGGGGTCGTGGAGCTTATGGGGAGATGGAGAAAGGACGGGGAGAAATTCAGTTTGGGGCCAAAGGCAAAAAGAGTTTCACGGACCGATAAGATTTGGGGGTCAACGGGACAAAATAAACTATGTGTTGGGCGATGAAGAGGTTTGGACCTTATTGTTCACAACATATAAAAAGTTTCTTAAAATTATATGAAGTTTGATGCATTAGTAAGCGTCTATTGAAGTAAATATGTCATCCCTGCTTGATTTAAGCCTCGAAGGTAATTCTATAGCCACCTGCAGCAATTTGTATGATACCGGTGGATCCACTAATCAAAAAAATCATGCTAGGACGAGAAAAACGGCCATAGAAATTTCTAAAAATTGTTTTCTCGGTTGAAAAATCCTATGCCTTCTGGTGACAGAAGCCGTAATTAACAGAGACTGATAAGACACGAACTGCTTAAAATAATTTTTTTTGTATCTTTGGGATGCAAAAACTATAAAATCGGCATAAAAACATACTCGGTAAAAATGGAAAAATCTTCTTTTTTACTTCAAGGCAATCTGTATTTTCCGTATGCGCTTGTATAATAAATTATACACAAGATCAAGAAATCAACCCCATGAAATTTTAAACCCATCAATTTCCCCCAACGTTTGATATGATCCCATATAACATCCCTAATGTCGTCCGCAAAAGCCCCCCGAAAAGAAGCCGTTGGGTTTATATCTTGGGCTCATCATGACCCCATAGTTTTTGCTTTTCTTTTCCGTTCTCCGGACATCGGAAATAAATCTGTGCCGGGTTTGGAGACAAAAAACGGAAACGATTCCGTGTTAATTCGATTCCTCAGGCAATGGGAGCGTGAAAAATTTGGGAAAATTGTGGGATGGGCCTAATGAATATGAAGGGAGGTCACAAGAGTAGAAGCTGTAAGGACATTACGAATTAGGTCATATGGTAAAAAGTTGGCCGAGAGATTCATAGTCATCGCAAGACGAGGAATCGTAGAATACACTCCATTTCAAAATGATAGACACGCCTATAAAATCTGGAATTGCGGATTCCAAATTTTGTGTGTTTCAAAATGATAGACACGGCTGATATTTTTGCCGAAAACTTGCGAATATGGGTCCCATTGGGCCTGAAATTATTAGAATGACTGTATTGCAACTGTCTGGACTTTACTGAGCTCAAAATTCCCAAATTTTTATGCAAGTTTCCCGGAATTGCACATATACTTCCATGTTGTGCAATCTGCCCTGCATCTGTCAGAAGTTCACTTTCCATGGACACAGACAGTGCAGATGCGACCTATGGTATGTAATGGAGAAGATCTAGTCAGTTTTCCCCTGTATGCGACAAAAAAATGCGTGGCAATTGCAACAAAAACTGATTCCGCTGCGACAGGTCGCATCTGCACTGTCTGTGCCCATGGAAAGTGGACTTCTGACAGATGCAGGCCATATTGCACAAAATGGAGGTATATGTGCAATTCCTGGACAATTGCATAAAAATTTGGGCTTTGTGAGCTCAGTAAAGTCCAGAGAGTTACAATATAGTCATACTAATAATTTCAAGCTTTATGGGGCCCATATTCGCAAGTTTTTGGCAAAAATATCAGCCGTGTCTATCATTTTGAAACACCCAAAATTTGGAAAATCTTTTGTGTAAAGTGCAATTACAGTGCAATGAGAAAATTTATTTGTAGGTGTAGGTTTTCAAACCTCCTCTTTCAACCTGTTAAGGTTTCGTATCCGTCAACTAAACCCCGACACCGCAATTGCAAATTTTATAGGCGTGTCTATCATTTTGAAATGGAGTGTATGTAAAAAAATATCAATTTAAGAATTCGCTTGGGGCGTGTCTCAGTAAATCAAGAATTCTTTTTTTTTCAACGTATCACAACCTAGAAACGTACTAGCTTATGATCGCGACGGTTTCTGCAATACGCGAACCAAACATCCATATTTTCAGAATGCCCTTATATCAGTTTTTCTCGTTTTTATACAAATATGAGCGCAAGACCTCTAGAATTCCCCTAAAATTTTGAAAAACAAATTTACTCATCTCACACCCAATCCAAACGCTTTGAACTCCGGCAAGAACAAGAACCCAAACACGAAAATGTTTGGCACATTGCTTTGGGCGGAAGAACGGATATTAAAAACGAATATTTTCTTGAACCCGTCTTATTATTGAGAGCGCTGTGAGTGACAAGTTTATAAAAGATACTAGTGGCACAAAGCAACTAGCATGAGCTGTCAGACATTTCTTTGGAAGATATTTTTGCGGTGACAGCAGGCCGGAAATGGGTTGCAAATATGGGGTAATTGGGACAAATTAGGCCTGATAAAGGGATAAAGGGATTTTTGGAAAAAACGGTGTTTTAGAGATCTTTGGGCAGAAAATTTTTAAATACATAGAAATGAAGATTGTGAGAGATTGTTGACCTAATTTTTGGAAAGCAAGAACTTAAAAATAAATTAAAAAATTTCCATCCTAACGTTTTCTAAATTTCGTCACGATCAAAGGGTCCAAAAATCGATGAACTGGGTTCCCCAAAGTTTCTTCTATCCTCTCCTCTACCCGGAAATCTGACAACTCCTTCCAGGCTTCTATATAAAACCTACAAGGCCTTCCACAAGCTTTCAAGGGGGCCAAGTGCAAAATATTAAATGTCCTCACCGCTTCGAAAAAACATTGTTACCTACATCTTTTCCTGAGGCGATTAAAATACATACGGAAAATGAAGAGTTCCGCGGTCTAAAATTGCTTTAGGCTTTAGGAAAAAATGTTTGTTTGGATAGGCCATACAAGTGTGAGAGTGAAGATTTGGTTTTTGAATATCATAATTTAAAAGAAATAATTTTTGTCATATTCTAATTTGTTAAATAATTTTTGTCATAAATTCAAATTTATTGACTGCAAAAAGTAAAATTTCAGAGAATCCCAATTTTTTCGGTCCAAGAAGCTCTTGATAAATGACTACCGTTGAGCAAATACGTCTACGGAACGGACGCCAAGGGTCATCAAGTCCAGAAAAAGACAAAATCACGCAATATTGAAGAGATTCAGGAGGATTGAGGGTGGAAAATTAGTGAAAATAGATTTGGGTGGAAAAAAGGACAAATTGAAAAAAATAATGACCGAATAAACAAAAACATGGAAAAATCTTATAAAACAGAGTAAAAAAATAAAAAAAACTGGAGATACCCTAACAACACCATATATTTTTCACGTCTGCGCATACATACTACTGTATTTTCAATACAAAAAAAGTTTATTTCGAAGTTCACAGGGATATTCATCAGAGAGAATACATAAAACTAAGAGAATCGGCGAGACAAAAGAGTTTTTCGGTACTATACGTTATCGCATTTTGAAAAATTGATTTTCTTTGTAGAATTGCAAGGCGGCTCAAAGATCCAGAAAAATCATTTCTTTTTTTTTTTACTTTGGGGTATCCCTACAACATAATGTTTATCAAACAAAGTCATCATCGCCCACATCATTCAAGGTACCCTCCCCCACAATTGCGCACGTTTTTGGCGCAAATGAGGAGGAAAAACCGCTCGGACAATTGAGGGAGCCTATCAAATTGCAACAAAAAATTGGAACTGGCGAATTTTTTGCCACAAAAGACGTCAAAGACGGCTATTTTAGAAAATTATTTCCTTTAAATTCGTCGGAAACCGGCTCGGGAATAGCATGTCCAAGAGGGATTCTGGACATTCAAAGAGCCTGCAACAAGTGCGACGGAAACTTTGAAATTGAAATTTGAGGCGTTATATGAGAAGTATTATTTAATGAGAGGGGGCGAGTGACGGGAAGTGATGGGACATGATACAGGCAACATAGGGCTGAGATATGGACTCTATATGTCGCTTCATGAGTAAGCTTGTTCAAGACTTCCAAAAAATGCGGCCTAAAATTACTATTGAAGGTATGGAAGTGATCAAAGAAAGAAAGCTTTCCAAGTTATTAGCAAAACAAACACTTTCGAACAGATTTACCACCAAATCGTTCAACGGCAAATTGCGAATTCTTCCGAAAATATTTATCAATTAGTTCCCGCCCAATTCCTTATCCCACATACGACCGCACTTCCCAGACTCAAGGGTTCCACGAATCCATAGTTCAAACCTATTTTATGGAAGGAAAGTCCGCCGCTTGAAAGCACTAATTTCTATATAAAAATGAACATCTCTCGGCCCGCTCAAGCAGATCGAAATTATTGAGGAAAAACGAACAAAAATTGGATTTTGCTCAGGTAAAAAATATAGCTCAGGTAAATAAAAATCATTGCGAAAACAGCGGCAAGTTTGAGGGACTACAAAGGAAACAGGGCATGTACAAAAAAGCAAAACATTTTTTAAATATTATAAATAATTTCAATTGAGGCCGCTAAATGATCCTTGAGGACCGATTTTTCTTGGAATTTGGATTTTTAGATGTCTGTCAAAGCTAGGAAGTCAAATATTCAAAAATTTCCAAGCAGAAATCCAACCAATTAATCCCGCCTTATGGCCACAACACTTCTTGCCAAGCTTTCGTATTCCTTCTACCCGCAATAAACAAACAAAAATCCGGCATTTACGAGATGACTCAAAATATAATATACATATAAAGTAAAATGTATCTAAGTTTGTTTTTGTTTTGAGCGGAATTTTAATTTAAAAAACCTTAATATTTCCAGGAGATTTGGCAAGCCCTCTGCCATCTCTTTTCATAAGTCACCATAATTTTTATGTCCGAAATTTATGAAAATATACGTTTTTTTGAGTCGTAAATTTCAAGCCTTATTCAGAGTGAGGTTCTCAAATGTTCCGTTAGATACACCGGTCATTTTAGTGCATCTTATCTTTTTGTTTTAGTCATCCTTTTAGTCCAAAAATAACCCCCGCGCGTTCCCAAAACGATGAGAAGTAATCCTTTGAACTTTCGAAAGTCCCTAAACTGCCTGGCGTACAAGTAAAAATCTTCAAGTCAAAACACATACTCTTAGTCTAGGGATTGGGGCCGGAACAGTAAACACGATTGACGGTCGAGACGCGCCCCAGGCCCTTTTTCGGAGCGTCCGTCAAAGGGAATTAACCCGCCCAATAAAGACATCATTCGTTTTGTGACATTTGGCTAATTTTTTATCGAGTCTTAAGAACGATTTTTGTTTTTTTTTGAAGGCTGAATCCGACTACAGAGTTTCTGGAGAGGGTAAAAAAGAGGGTATGGCAAAAGTTGTGGTGGGAAGTAAAAGTGCAAAAGTTTACGGGAATTAATGGGTTCGATTGGTACGAAATCAACGTCAGTTCACGATTGACAAGAGGCAGACGGAAGAAGAAGATAAAAAATCCAAAAAATCTTGCATTAAAGAAAACTACTACTATGCATAAGCCGGCTCCTACATGTATAATTTTGGCCAATGCCCATTGGCTAGCGCAAGATTATAGAAAAAAACAGTCCTTTTTCTATAAGACGATTCTAGATCTCCTCAATAACGGGATTAATTCAATGGCTAAAGATACGCACACGTGGTTCCATGGACCGTCATAAGACTTTCTTTAACCACTGATTTGAGTTCATCGAGCATCAGAAATAAGACTTAACTGAGAACCTCAACCTTCTACGTCAAAAACTGCTGTAAAATTGCAACAAATCTAATGTATGTCATATTTTTTTGCCGTTTAAAGTTTCTCTTCGTCAATTATGGACATTCCACACTGTTTTCTTAACCTTCTCCCCTGTTCTCCATGACTGACACATCAAGGGACCAATCAAATTTTTTCTCTGTTTATTCTGCTGTTGAAACATTCCATAAAAGTAAAGGAACGTGTCAAGTTTTGCAGGTCCGTCTTTGCTTTGTGTTAACGACGTTTATCCGCCTCGCTTTACGCTGCAGCAACTGGCGGATATATTGAACAATCGGAGAGTCTAGTTTAGAACCGTTGGAAGGAAAAGTAAACAAATTGTGACGAGATTTTAAAATTTTGATGTTTTTGGCTGTGAAGTGGGATAAACGTGATGTCACATTTTCCCGCTTGTCAAGAATTTTTCCGGAAATTTCCAGTGCCTTTTTTTGTAAATATCCGAAATTATCCACTGCTATTTCGGTTGTATTTCAACATGAGCAATATGTGTTTGAACAGAAGGGCCCAAGCAACGAGAATTTTGAAAATTTTTCGTGACGGTTGCACACTGCATAAAGTGAATCAAAATAAGCTGATTTTTGGGTCAGCCGGACATGCGTAAGTGCACTAAATGATCTGACCTCGTAATGGTGCGGGCTCTGTTTTGTTATCGCCTTTTTTGAATTCGTCATGGATGATAAAAGCGAAGATTTTGGGCAGCAATCTTTGACATAACACTTTGTGTCATCAATTCATAAAGCCAGTTGGCCAGTTATGATAATTTGAAACTTTTGATAACCCATGAATATCTCATGGAACACCGTTGAAACAATGCGTTCCAAAATGAAACCAAAAATGGAAACAACGAGACCGGTACCAGTCGACGGATAACTATTGGCGATCAAAGAATCTCTCATGGCTAACTTTTGGTAGCCTAGGTAATTCCGAAATCCCACCCTTTGCAACTAAAACCCCAATAAAGCTCTAATTATATTTCAAACGGCAGCAATACACAATTGATACATCCCATCAAATGAGCATTTATATCTACCGTATCAAAGCAAACTCGCAAAGACCCCAACAGTGTTACAAAACCATCAACTACATACTACTCATATATTCATATTATTCATCAATTAATCCCTTTCGACGGCAGTTTCTGACTCACCGTAACTAAAGCAGGTTCAAACAACGGCCACTCAATTTTTTTTGTTCCATTCTGTAGCGTTTCATAGCAAAGACTCAAAAACAAACGTGTTAACAACGAAAAAGCGATTTATTGCTGCATAATTCGGCCCGAACTACAGGAAAAGCGTTGGTATATAAGCCAAAAGAGATTTGGAAGTTTGTCAAAATTCATTCTCGTTTTGCGGAGGTTTACTTCTCAATAAGATAAATTGGGTGGGCCGATTTTTTGTGCAAACGTTTGGGAATCTGGCTTATAAAAAAAATGCCAAAAAATTTTTAGTTGATTTTTTCGTCAAAAAATATGACTTTTTCCAAAAAATCACGGATATATTCTTTCTAGATAATTAGATTCTACTTTCAGCATCATGAAGTTCCAAATCCTCATCCTTGCTTCGATTTTTCTTTCCGCCTGCGCCAACGGAGCTCTCCGCCAGATCTACAATCAACTGACCACTGAACAACGTCAACAAGTGGAGCAAATCTTCGAACAAAACCGCAACGCCACCAAGGGCCAATTTAAGTCAGCGTTGAACAATTTTATCAGCACTTTGTCAACCGAGCTACAAAGCGAAATCAGCCAAGCCAACGCGACCTTTCAACAGCGAATTCAAGAGAATTCTCAGCGAGTTGCGAACCTAAGCGCGGCCGCTCAAAGTTTGTACAGTCAGATCACGGCGATCGGTGAGAACGATAATCTCACGTTCCAAGAAAGCCGTCAGCAGATCGAGCAGCTCTTACAAAGCGCTGATCCATCCGTCATTCAGGAGTTCGAGAGCAATAGAGTGTTCTTGCCGGGAGTCCATCCATCCCACTCATGCAGTGGCCAGAATATGGGAGTTACTGGCAATCCTTTTGAGACAAACTGAGAATAAAGGGGAGGATGAATTTTGCGGAACGGAATACGAATATTTTTGACCATTATCGCTGTTACATTATTTGACGAAATTTTTTATAACCTTTAATAAACGAACGGGCATCTTGAACGAGTTCTGAATTTGATGCTGGACGAAAATTGAGGAGGTCAAACAACCTGTAGAGCGAAGGATTTCTGGAAAAAAACCTTTTCGTTGTCTTCAGGAAGGTATAAGTTTTTTTGTCTGCGTGCACTAACTAACCCTGAGCTCCCTAATTTTAACGGTCAAGCCAAGTAATCGTCCAAAGTGGCCCTAATCCAATGAGTCATGACTTCCGTTGCATGCTTTTTTAATCTCCGATGCGCGCACGCTCTGTTGACCTTTGCAACTCGAGTTCAAGGGGTTAGTTGAATCTTTATCTTTCGACGTTGCTGTTAACTTCCGTACAGGCAAAAAACGTCATGAGTTGCACGAATTCAGAGTTTGCTATTTCAGTAGACGTCCGCAAGTGTCCGTACGTAAACACAAAAAGTTTCTCAAAACGTATTCTATCTTGTAAACCTGAAAGATCAAGGTCTAATCTGTCCTTCGACCCAAGAAAAGCTCCTTTCAGCACGACTGACCGTAATCACAAACACTTCTTCCGGACAAAAGTCTGGTTTGTAGCCTGCCTGTAGGGTGTTCGAAAAGAAAATCACGGCGATCGAAAATGTTGACGCAACTGGCGAAAGAAAAGGAGGAGGGGCCTTTAGAACTTTCGGATGATTCAGCGGAAATATAAGGACAGGTTGACTGTATAAAAGTCGAGGGTCGTGGCCTTGAATCCAGCAATCCGGTTTCACAGATCGGTTCAGCTTTCACAGGTGAGCCAGAAATAGATTTGTATTTTATGAAAACATTGGTTTTCGTCCATTTCATTTGAGCATTTTGGCTCTGTAATCATTAACACCTTTCTTTTCAGATACCATAATGCATTTGCATTTAATTTTTGTCGCATTTGCCGTTATTCCTTGCACTATGGCCTTCTTTGGCGGCCGTGGTGGTCCAGGAGGACCTCCTCATGGACCTCCAGGCCCACTCGGAGAAATTTTTGCCCAGCTCACAGAACAGCAAAAACAACAAGTTCATCAGATCTTGGCAGACACCCGCGAGTTAACCAAGGGTCAACAAAAGGCCGCCATCGACAACTTTGTCAGCACTTTGTCTTCGGACCTCCAAGCGAAAGTGAAGGAGGGAAAATCAAGATTCGAGCAGATGATCGCCCAGCAAGACCAAAAAGCCCAATCGTTGAGTCAGAACGCTCAAAACCTCTACAGTCAAATCACCGCCGTCTTGAAAGACGACAGCATCACACGGCCAGAAGAACACCAGAAGATCCAAGCAATTGTGCAAAATGCCGACAAATCAGTCCTTGATGAATTCAGAAACGCTGGAATAAGGCTACCACTTGGCCCTCCTCATGGACCCGGTGGACCACATGGCGGTCCCTTTGGACGTCACGGAGGCCCAGGACCGATGGGCCCATTAAGCGAGATCTTCAAAGACCTCACCCAAGAACAGAGAGAGCAGGTCCGTAAGATCTTCGAGAAGACCCGCGATGCCACCAAAGCACAACAAAAGGCCGCCATCGACAACTTTGTCAGCACCTTGTCTTCAGAACTTCAACAGAAGGTCCAAGAAGGCAAAGCCAAATTTGAGAAAAAGATCGCCGAGGACGATGAGAAGGTGAAGTCGCTAAGTCAATCTGCCCAAGACTTCTACAGCAAAGTAAAAGCTGTCTTGAGAGATGACAGCATCACTCGCCCCGAAGAGCATGAGAAGATCCACACCATCGTTGAAAGCGTTGGTAAATCAGTTTTGGACGAACTGAGAAAAGCCGAGATTCGACTCCCACTTGGTCCTCCTCCGCCTCCCCCTCATGGCCCACATGGAGGCCCGCGCGGACCCTACGGTGGTCCATGGGGACACCAGCGCGGACGATGATATCTAACAACAAACGCCATTTCCGTGTCATGTAAAAATTTAAAAATAAATGAATGGGTCTAATTTTGGTCCTCGATAAACGTCTGACAAAAGAGATCGATTTGACACAAGAGTTTGGCGAAGTTCAGTTTCGAACATCAAACTGAAAGCAGTCGAAAACAAAAGAACAACAGATCAATTTCAACCAATTTTTTTGAATTGTTTCTGCGAATTGAAGAAAAAGTGTGAAAAAACCACACATGCTACAGAAGAAGAACAGAAAGAAAAAATTGGAAACAGACTAGAAGTTTGGGAAAGTGGGTATCAGTGACAATGATGTAAGTGTAACAAAAAAATAAAATGAGAGAATGATACAAAAGATTCACCTATTTTTAAGCTCTTCTGATAATTACGCCAATTTTAAAACCTGAGGCTTGAATCTATAGTACGTGACCTTTTATATTCTTTTCGTATATTTTCTGTTTTTCTGCGCTTCCGGTTTCTGAATGCGAAGTCTGGAGCCCAAGCCAAGGACGCCCATTCTAATAGTTACGTCAAATTTAGTTAAAACTTGAGCCTTGCATCTCCAGTACGTGACCTTTTACATTTTTTTCGCAAACTTTCTAAGCTTCCGGTTTTTGAACTCTCTTGTTATTTAATTCACCAGTTAAAGCATGAAAAATCGATGAAAGCAATTTCTTTTCAATTTCCTTGTCCTAACTAATAGTGCAAATTTGTTACTCTTCAAAAGAACTGCTGAATATTTCATGGAGCGAAGATTTTTATCGCTCTGATTCATACACGATTTTCAACGCATATCACAAGGCAGACAAAGATACTTCAGCACAAACTCAAGCAAATTATTTCCTGTGTATTTTATAGGCTGGTTGAACCGGGAACGAACCTGACGCAATATGAGCAACTACGGATTTGGAAAGCGAAAAGGAAGGCGGATCTACCTAAACAGACTGTGCAACCGGTGAATCAGTGGATTAAAACGGCTGTTGTGAAGAGTATAAAAGGCAGAGAGGGCCGGAACAAGACGTATCAGTTTGGAATTGCTACTGTTTTAGAGACTGTAAGCGGGTTTTTGACAATTTTTAACTATTGGTTAGATTTAGGGATAGATTCGTGGAAAGGCCATATAAATAGTCCATGAATACTTTTTTGGCGATCAAAAATTTTAAGCCCCATCAATTAGGCAACTTTATTGGGTTGCAGCTGATGCCTTTGATTTTGAATATCTTCTGGTAAAAAATGTGGTCATGGATTAATTTGCAACTTTTTTGGGAAATCGATGCTTATCGGCCTTCTGAAAGCTTCAAATACCTAATAAGTCGTTTCACAACCGAATAGCTTCGCAAAGAGTTAAAAATCTGATTTCAGAATATCCATAATGTACGCTAAAATCATCATCGCCCTTGCTCTGGTCCCTCTCTTCATGGCTCACCATACTGACCAAAATGGCGAACCAGGCCACCATGGAGGACCTGGCGGACCGTTAGGAGGAATTTTCAGCCAACTGACTGATGCTCAAAAGGAACAACTCCACGAAATCTTCCAAAACAACCGCAACTCCACCAAAGCCGTAACTAAAGCTGCTCTTGACAGCTTTGTTAGCAGCTTGTCATCTGAACTTCAAGCCAATGTAACCGCCGCGAAAGCCGCCGTCGAACAGAAGATTGCCGAGCAAGCCACAAAAGTCTCAACGCTTTCGCAAAGTGCTCAAACATTGTACAGCGAGCTCGAAGCCGTTCTCAAGGACGAGAGCTTAACTATTGAAGAGGAGCACCAAAAGATTGAAACGATTATCGAAGGAGCCAACCAGTCGGCTGTGGAAGAGCTCAAGAACGCCGGTATTCATGTCCCATTGGGCCACCCGAAGGGATTCACCGGGACCCCGAGCCAATGAAGTTTCAGTTTTCGGAGTTTTAATACATAACGATCTGTGGATTTGCCTTTTGACAAATAAATAATCGCAGTAAATCGCTTGTTATTGTATGGGCTTTGCAAACATTGAAAGAGGGTTTTTGAAGTTGTTACAAAAGGAACAGAAAAAAATGAATCATTAAAAAGTGGGATAAATGGGGTAAACAAGGATTTGACAGACGGAATGGAACCCTGTAGAACAAGTCTAAATTCATATTTTGAATTTTGGTAAGCTATATCGCCAAAGTGCTTTTATCGCAAAATATCGCAAAAGTGAAAAAAAGTAAAGTGGATTCAAAAATAGAAGTTGCTTTAACGAACAGCCCAACGACGGCATCATAAACTGCCGTTCAACAAAAAATAATTTATTTTTGTTTAAACTTTGCAGACTTCTGGCATAAAAGCGCTTTTTACCATCCCCTCGATGACCAAGATCGGCAAACATTTATTTTATATTTTTCCCTGGCCGCGATAAAGACTTTTTGAAAATTATCTCATAATAAGCCTCGTAATTCTCTTTTATCATGCAACAATTATAATCAACCCCACGCAATAACCAACTTCCATTTATATATAATGGCCATAAATGGAAGTGCGCGGTTTCTATGAAAACAAAACATCAATTATTTGGGCGCGCCTTTCCAGATAGTATTCAAATAAGCGTGAATTCGGACGCGTTTGGCAACATTAAGGGCGGAAAAAATAAGCCGGCGCTTTAAATGAATAATGCGCGTGCGGCCGACGATTGGCCGATTTTTTGGTATTTTTGGAGACAATAAATTTCGAGAGGGGATTTAGAAAACTGTACTAGTCGCGACATAAAGTCCGTAGAATTTTTCGCGGCCCCCAAATTCCGTCGCGCTCCGAAATGTTGATTTGTCGCTGCGAAAAACGGGAATCGCGCGCGACAATAAGGCAAAAACAACAAAATTGCACAGTGCAAAATGTGTTTTCGGGTGAATGCACAGTGCGGAGTCGCAAAAAATTCTACGGACTTTATGTCGCGACTAGTACTTTGTTACTAACGAGGCAGCAGAAAAAACGCCAAGAGGTGAATTCCAGAAATGTATTTAAAAATTTATAAAATACTCTGAAAATCTATTAAAAAACGAGGTTTATACAATAACGTATAATATTATGTTTGTTTTGTTTTTAACGTAAAAAATGCAAAAACTCTTTTTGTAAATTTTTGAGCACAAAAAAAAGTTTTCGGTTTTTTAAATATTTAAAAAAATCGGCCGGAAAAAACTAATCAACCAAGCTAAAAACGACTTAATATTTAGAAGAGCCCGCCACTGATGAGTAAATTATTCACCCACGACGATGCGCGGGGGACATCCGAAAAACAAAACTTTGGAAAATTTTGGCCAAAGGAGGTTCAAAAGTTCGAATGGTTAGAACTGACAGATGCACAATATGTAAATTGTTCGGAATTCCCGGGAGAAATAAAAACAAAAACACAAAAAATTGGTAAACTTACAGTAATTAGAACCATTGCGATCATGAAATACAGTGTGATGGAGGATTGATTTTCTTGGCTTAGAAACGTAAGGGTTGAACCGGAATTAGTGGAAATAGCACCATCGAGCGAATGGAGATTGTTGCTGAAAACCATAACGTCAAATAGTTTTAAAAAATTTTAATCCATGGTTATTCCAAGCTCTGCGTGTAGTATCTTCGAGAACCTTTAACTTTTTTCTAACGCACGAAATGAGTTTGTATAAACAAATATGGTAATAAAATTGGTCAGCAATACCTCGAATTACGTACTACTCCATAAACGGTAAACATTTCCTTATTAGGTTAGTCAAGGGGTAAAATTAATTTCCTTAGAATGAAAGTTAGATTTTTTGACCAAAATAACTCATTTTTAAGTGTTTCTTAATTTGGAAAAAATAAGAATTTTATTTTTGACAAAAAAAATCCTCAAAATGTACAAAAAATAATAATAAAAAATTGAATAGCCCTCTAGCCCGATATAAGACACCTCTCGCTTTTCAAATACCCTCCAAAAACGCAAGAAAACAATTAAAAATCGTAAACACTAAAGACCTCCGGCATTCCGAGGATAAAAAACAATAAGTCTTACCTTAATCTATCTTAATCTATGCCAAATGTCCTTTTGCATAAGAGATGACCGAGAAAGAAACGGCGTAATCTCAACGGAAAACGTCGGAGTTGACCTGAAATATTAAGTCAGAGGAGATTAGACAAAGTATATTTTGGAAATATTAACTTATTAACTTGATTGTATTTTGTGCTCGAAAAAACAAAAAGAAAGTTTAATGAAATTGGCAAGTCAAAAAATAAATATATATATAGGAAACGTTGCAAATTTCTAAGGAAATGGAAAAATGATGACTGAAAGTCTAATTCTCTCCAAAAAATCGGGTCGTTCACTTCGGTTAAAGGCAGCGTCAAAGTCAACGAGTTGCATTGCTGATAGCTCTTTTTAGTGAAAACCGCCTGTAGCGCAACTATGTATTTAAAGGTAACTCTTCTAATAATAAACCGCATCATTCTAAACCCAAATTCCAGCACTCAAAAAACTAACTCTGCTATAACATGTCTGACGGCATGAATCAATGGAGTCTTGTTTGGCTAAATCTTTTGCTTGAAACCGCCGAAAAACAGCAGGAAAACGAGACTTGCGGAAATGGTTGGCACGCGTTGAAAAGAAGAAGATCTTGCGACCGTTTTTTACTGACTGATTATATATGTAAAAGACCACTGGAAAAGGGCGTGATGCAAAGTTTAGCGCAAGAACAATTTTGCATCTAATTTTGATGGAAAATATTTATTTTCTTTTATTTTCTGTTTTCGCTTCCTAATAAAAGTGATTACTAATAAACCGGAATCACCGTTGGATCAAAGACAAGTTTCAGTGAGTCCATTAGAGCCTGAAAAACTTGGCTTTCAGACAAAATTAATGACTTCCCTTCGGGGGCCCTGGGGGTCCAAAAAATAATTAATCTCAATCAGGTCACAAGTTTTTGAGATTTTTAAATCGAAGTTCCATTGAGCAAAAAAAATTTTTAACTAAAAATTTTATTAGCATATTACTACTCACAACGTCAGACGTTGTCGGACGCCTTGACAAAACAGGGCTGTTAAGCAAGATTTTTTTTAAAATTGTGCCTTAATTTCCAAAATTTTTTCTAAATGACGTCACTTTTTCGCCTTGGGCGCTTTTTGCCCAAGAAAAAGCGATCTCAGAAAGAAGTAATCCGTTACAAAAAAAAGTCAAGAAAAATCTAACAATTGGATCAGTGGATCCGTTCCTCATAAACCATGGAAAAGGGGGTGATAAACCTGGGTACAAGTGAAGAAACGTATATTCGGCATAACATAAGCTAGGAATTCTCAAAAACTTCTTTCCGCCTATCAAAAAACCTTTTGTTTGTTAACGTAACCATTCAAAAGTTCTAAACTCCCAAAGAAGGCACAGAACACAGAAAAAACAAATACAAAGCCGCGTAACATTGGACCACAATCTCTAAGGTAAACTAAAATCATTTTATTGGCCTACGAACTGCTAATGCAAAGGGTTTTGACTTCCAGCAAGAAACCTTTAAAGGTGAAAAATTCAGTTTCTGACAACTGACGCACTTATGAAGCGCTGTGAGAATTTTAGTTATAAGTTTACAAAAAAACAGACAGGTTTACCACGTTTCTACTAATTGTACATTCCATCTTGCCATATCACTCCGAATCCCTCGGTAGCAACAATGCGGGACGATTATGTCCTCAGGAATATGAAACTTCTTGAATGTCCGCCGTTTGTTTCGCCGACACGCATATCAATTTACGTTCTTTTCCGCGAAACAAAGGGCCATAAGCGGTCCGAACAAACTCGAGAAGCATTTGTTTAACTTGTAGAGGGAGAGATCCTACATGATATTCATACGGTGGACTGGGAGATCATTAAGAATGAAGGCCGCTAGCAATTTAAATGTTGAAAAACGTGTGATCAAGGGCAAAAAAGTGGGAGGATCACGTGGAAAGGGGGCTTACGAATGCAGAGGATACGGTAAATAGAAGGTAGAATGTGATATCGATGATCAGCTGACATGAGATTTCATGGAACGGAGCGTATTTGACAGTTTTTTTTCAGTTGTCTATATGTAAAAAATCTCACGATCAGGCTGGTTTTCACCGGAAATACTACAAAAACCTTTTTGGCTTGGAAATCAACGGGGTAGTTGAGTTCTAATACTTGAACTTTACTTCACACCTTACTCAGACTTTTAAATCTTCGCTTTTAAAAAGCAAGCTGACCAAAACCCCCCTTTTCCTTTTTAACATCCGATTTTTTGTCAGTTTTTTGTCAGAAAGCCAACCCGACCTGTCAACATTCAGCCATATCAATTTCAAAACAAGTACAAGATCATCATAGAATCCCAAAACCAATAAAATTACCCATCCGATCTTCGAGAACACACAACGGAAAGAATTTTTATGATCAGCGGAACAGTCACTCTTTATCAGTGAATTAAATCCCAAAAAACAGCGCCTCCGGCACTTTTCAGAGCCGGGAAAAAGCCGTCAGTTGGCCCGAACCGAAAGTCCAAGAATTGCAAAATAAAAGAAAATTTGGGATCAAGGTGCGAATTAATGGGATTACAACAAATTTCAGACAGATCAAGAAGGAGAGACGACTTTTGCGTTGTTCAGCTCGTTTTTAGAGGTAATAAAGGAGTAAATTGGCAAGCAAATGTGTTGATTTCAGCTTCATGAGAGGATCAGGCGACTGGGAAATTTGTCGAAAATATCCCAATTCAATGGATATAAATAGCATTAATCTTGCTAAAAATGTCCCATCAGGCTTTTCTAACAAGTTTTTAAGATTTTAATGGATTGGCAGTACAGAAAATTAAATTGCCCATTTTACCAATAACATCAGTAAAACATACCTTATTAGACATTATATAATACATGCGCACTAGTAAAAATTGCATTAGCAGGCTTTATTTTTGTGGTAGGAGAAAAAAATTAGAAGGCAAAAACGGCAAGCACCCAATCCCTTTTTTCAATGACCTTTTAATCTTAAAGCAACATCAAAACTAACGTCACGGTTTGTGGGCTGAAGGCCAAGAATGAGATTTGAGGGCATTACTCATCTTTACTTGCGCTCTTATCTCATGCCGGACCATCCTTTCGTGGCACGTGTTCATTTACGAGCTATAGTGTTAGTACAACATTGATTTTGTGGGTTGGGGGAGGGGAATAAGGGTTTTGATGAATAAACTGTAAAGAGAATGCTTTCAGCCTTGTTGAATAAATAAGATGTTTTGCAGTGAAATGAGTAGTAAACAAATTTTAAGGTATGCAGCAAGCTTGTGAGTTTGAGGAACCACTGTAAAAAAATAGAAATAGACTGAGGTCGCTTTATGGAAAGCGAGGAAAGATCATCGGTAAAAAAGTTTCTTCCGGATCATTAAAATTTTTTGTGTAAAAATAAACTTTTTCGTGATTTAACGAGAAAAATGCCTAATTTTAAAGCCCTAAAGGTAATAAACTTTTCAAGATTTTTGCCAGAAAATTCCGACTTCTTTTACAAATAGTATAATGAAGATTTTGCGAAATGTGTGTCCTTGTTGAAACACCGTAAACGGGAAAACTTCCAAGACTAGAAAAACGAACAACTTGAGCTTTTAAATCCCTTTTTCAGAGATAACACTTATGGTTTGGACCTACACAATACCGCCTGTTGAGCCAGGAATTTGCACTTAAGACTTCCACATGGCCTTCAAGGAAATCTTAAATCCAAAAAATCACGTTTTTACTTTGGAAAAAAGGGTTTTTAAGATTCTGAGAATGATGTCAAAAAATAAAAAAACTGAAAAATCACACCGACAGTAAAACAACTTAGAAACCCCTCAAGATTTATTACAGCGCTCAAAAAACAACGACATTTTTCAATTTCCCTACTGATCCTCCCAAAAATAAATAAACGCTTGTCACGGTTACCAGCTCAATAGCTCTATAATGACAACTTTTTGGGCCCATAATGCCCTTCGTTTGAGTCATCCATCATCGGCTCAGCGAAAATGCCAGCGGGCATTTGTTTTCGTCTTCGGGGGAAAAGGCAAAACTCTGGTTTTATAAATCAATTCGACGCCTTCAAATCGGACCGATCAAGGAGAGGCGAGAATGCACTGAAATGGGCCAAAGATTAATAAGGGACAACCCTAGGTTAATAACAATGTAAGGGAAAACTCTAGGTGATAGAGTCCGATCTGTAGAGGATTTCTTATGAATAACGAACCTACTACATGATTTGAAGCAGTAAAATTTTAATTCGCGATTTGGGCTACCTAAAAACCCGATGAAACCTCGAATTTACATTTCGTACCCAAAACTCGTGATAGTATTTGAAAACTTAATAAAAGAAGTGTTGCATATGCCCTAGAAAATCCAAAATAAAACTATTTTCAGGCTATTTCTCAAATCATCTGAAATCATTTTTTTTCAAAAATACCAACGCTAGGACATTAAGCTATGAATTTCCTGAACTTTTACTGTCAACACAATTTCCCCCAAAAAAGATCTTTTGGCAAATTGGAGATTTAAAAGTGTAACGACTGAAAGAGCCGGAAAGTCTGTCAAATATGAGGAAAAATAAACAAATTTTATTTTTCGCCGCGTAAAAAAATCACGGCAAAAGGGGAGACTTCTTTCATCATAATTGGTTTCATTGGTCTTGTTTATTGCTGAATTTATATAGGGGCTCACTGTCGCAGATCTACTATAAGAGGGGTACGAAGAAAGGCTGTCCTAAATTTTTTGGAATAAATGGATTCCACGTTTTCCCGGAAAATTAAGAAAAATTTTATAAAAAAATCATAATAACGGAATTTGTAGATTTTTTCCATGTCTTGTTGCTCGACTAGGGTAACACTTGGCATACTCAACGTCCTTGAGCATGCCAAACATTACCTGCTTTAACAGAAAAGTCGCTGGTTAGCGTACAGTAGTTCCTACTTAAAGTGGTCTCTATTATCTTTTTGGAGTCCAAAATAATCATAAAATTGCATATGGGCGTCGAATTCCTAGCCGGGTCATAACCACGTGGATCGGTTTTGAAAAAACGATTATTAATTTGCTTGATGGAAAAGCACCTTAATCGACTTGACCTTTTGTTATTCTCACCAAAATCTGCAGCCAATTTAATACATTCCAGGCTTGGCAAATTCTAAACCCAAAAAATCCAAAACAAATCCTCCTGTTTACTCTGGCTGACCAATTTCAATGCTTTGGCCTAATCGCGTCTCGCATCGCGCGCAGAAACGGAACAAATTAACCGAATGTACTGAACCGTGCTTCATCTGGGACATCAGACACCCCATATGGCGAAAAAAACGAATTTCGCTCAGATTAAATCTTAGAATGCAAAAATTAACGGAGAAGGAGGAGAGGCAAGAGTGATGTGCTTTAATTCGGAATTTGGAGGAATTAGCAATGAAAGAGGACAAAATTGCTAAAATTTTCTCGCGACAGTACCAATGGATGATAAATCATTTTCTGAAAATTCAACCTCACGATTTACAGGCGCAGTCAAGATATTCGGCAATGTTTGCAAACCGAAGGCCACAAAAAAAGATGATAAAAGCAAGAAGTCGCATTAGGATGTCAGGGTACACGAGAACTGAGCTCAGGAGCGTAAACTATATTCTCCTTCCTTCAATGAGTCACTTCCTCAGAACCATACATTAAATCCTACCTAAGCACCTTATATTCCGCATCTTCGCTTGTAGAAGCAAAAACCCTCGAATTAATGAGATCTTTGAGCCGGTTCAAAAGCCCAGGGGGACGACCTAATGGAATTAATTTCTATGAACGCTTTTGCGTTTTGTTTTTGTCGGATGTTTTCTTTTACTGTAGTATCATGTTTGCAAAGACCGTTGTGTATTTCAGCGGTGCTGACAAATTGCGGCCTTAGACTTGGTCTGCAGAAAAGGCCTGGGAGACAGTCACGCCCTTTCCTACCATATGCAAAATCAATTTCTTGATGGCCGTCCCCTCTTTGACCCTGGAAAGGTTAGATGATAATAAAGAACTATAGGCAAACAACCATTCGAACACCACGTTTATTACGTACAAAAACAGGGTAATGTATTTACCAAAATTAAAACAACAAGAAGAAAAGTTATCAAGTTACGGGCTCTGTTTGTTTACGTGACTTCACCTTACCGTCCCATACTTTCTATTCTGGCTCCTTTTTCCCCCGGGAAAACGTTTTCGGTCCTCTTAAGTGCCAATGGCATTTATGTCCGATGGAAGCGAAAAAACCACTTCCTTTCAAATCCAATAAAACTTCGCCCAATCAAACGACAATTTCCCCTCGGATGTAGTCTTTCGGCTGTACACCGTGCCGGAAGACCGGAAAGTAAAAGAGAATAGGAGAAGAAACAGCCTGGCGATAAAATTGGGGAAGGTTCAGGCCTAGATTTTGAGAGCTTAGCCGTGAGAAGTCAGCAAAACTAACTTTATAAGATGAACATGGTAGAAATAGTTGAAGAAACGTTTATTTTTTCAAGCACAAAATGCAACAGTTTTTCAAAAAGGCAAAATTTGGCAAAGATCAAGCCGAAAATTGTTACGGCATATGACATTGTCATCTCTGGTATACAAACTGGAGGTACAAAATTATTCTCCAAGATCGCCTTTGCCAAGGCAGAACTCAAGAACTTGCAGCCAAAAATACAGTGAGTGAGAAACTCCCATACTACTTACCAAATTTGCAGCAGACATAACAGGTCACTGAAGTTTTTTAGGTCTGGAAAGTAAGCCAAAACCCTTAAAACTGTCGCTCCAAATTTAACACCAAGGCTTTAAAAATGGGATTCACGCGATTAATTCTGTGAAATAGATATTGCAAAGCTGGGAGAGAGAAATTTATTTCCTAGCCACCCACAAAAACAACATTTCCATGATCTAAACTAGTAAACCTCTGCTCAGGCTGAATCTCTTACTTGTTAGTTCCAAGCTGATCAATTTAGAACGGTAACATTTTTATTGAGACAAAAAACAATATTGTAAAAAACGGATTCACCCATATGTCCATATTGCCAACGGAAGAAAATCTGGTGTCATCGCGGATCACGTTTGTCCCATGCCTTTGCCAAGATATCAAAGTATCTCTCCCCGACCGCAAATGAATTCTTGTTGATTGTTGGTTTGTAAACGTCTGTCGGATTAACGGATGATTTGCAACGACGAATCCGCATTGCTGAGAACAGACGTTTTCGCAACCGCTCGTAGCATCTAAAATTCAAATGTCGCTTCACTTGAGGCAATTTAATTGTTCTCAATATAAAGGTTAAGTGGTAAAGGTACAAAGCTCATATTCTTATATAACTTTGTATTTACAACACACAATTTCTTTTTGTGACATGTGCTGGTAGCTTGCGGTTTAAAGAAACCACCAAGATTTTAGGGTTGAAAATTGAATACAATTTCATATTTTTTTGTAAGTTGTGGCATAAACATTGTCAGTTCGTTACCATAGCTTTTTCAATGAGCCCACAAGGAACCTATCCCGGCCGTAGCAAATAATTAAACTTACAGTATCATAAGGAGCGGTGGAGTCAAATTGGAGAGGGTATAAACGGAGCCGAGGTAGAAATGCAATTCTTCTGCGAGGTATGTTGAGATCCAACCCGAAATAACACTAATGTAATAACCTTGAGAAAACAAAGAACTAAAATGAAACATTTGGATAAACGGTGCAAAACTTACAATCCAAAAATTGCGCTGCTCCACGGTAACAAGAGCTTATTTATTAAAACATTTTCGTGAAGTTGATACCGATAACTCAGGGTGTGCCCCAGTTTGACGGTTTTCTTGTATTGCTGAGAGTTGTACCAATGGAGAAAGAGGAATATCTAGAACGAAAAGACCTCATTTACAAAGTATTTTGACTTACACAGAAAGTCGACATATTCAAAAAAACCGTCCCAAAAAGATAACACAAAGCGATCGCTGCTGGCAACTCCATGCCTTTTCGTATTTTGTAGTATAAATAGTAGTCCCTTTCATACATATTCATTGAAGCATATGCAATAAAAATAGACACGGACATCTGCAATTAGTTCAATTAGTTGAGCGGAAATTAAAGGCCTTAAACACATAACATAACTGGCAAACAAAGACAAAAGGGTAAATTGTATATATTGCACGTCAACGACAAGTTCATTGAAGCAACCAATCAGGGCTGTCCAAAGTCATCTTGCGGTAGGAATAAAACCAATGTGTGCCTGTGTATTTCGGCATAAAATTCACAAGGGAATTATTGTAATGAAGACTCACCTGACAAATAAAGAATGCCGCGATAAAGAAGCTCAGATTGCACTTCTTTCTTTCATAAGTCCTTGAGCATATTGTGGCAGTGACTCTCTCCACACAAATCGGCAGTTCCGATAGAAAATTTGCGTACAACAAGGTGTACTGAAATTTAATTTATTTTCTTTTAAGCATTTTCTTTTGTCAAAACGCACTTAAAGCATAAAATAATTATGTTCTCGGTTAAAAAAAGAACCCTACGGGAAAGGAGAGTATATTACAATATAGGTTTCGCTCTCTCTGTAAAGTGGAACTCTGCGAAAAGACAACAACCCTGATCTTTTAAGTATTTCTCAAACTACAAGTATTCGCACGTAAGATTTGTCTAGGCCAATTACTTTCTTAATAGTACTTTTCGAGAAAGAATTCCTTTTGCCCATATCGCTTGGAAATTTGCAAAAAAAACAGTGTAACAAATCAGAGGTCAAAACAACCTTGAAAACTCCTCTAACAAATACTGCTGACATCGAAAGCACCAAAGAGTCTGCAACTTACTTTAACGTAGTCGATCCACACTTCAAAATCCCACAATTTCACTTCCAGCCAGTTCACTAAAATTCGATCGGAAATATTGGAGAAATCCCCAATGACGAGTAGCGAAGAGCGAATCGTCAAAATTGCACGCAGATTTGGATGCACATAGCCTCTTCTGATCTCGCGGATAAAGTAAACGTTTAGCAGGAGTGACATTGAACCAATAAAAACTTCGAGGCATCTGAAGAAAACGACGCATACTGGCATCGAGCAGGCTGAAAACATTCTATTCCGATGGATAGCTGTATGAAATACAACGAATTTCGACGATAAATTAAAACGAACATATAAAACTACATATGAACAATACATAGAACAAAATTTTAGGAAGTTTGTGAAATGCATTCAAACTCTCTCTAAAAAGATACAAAACCCTCCGAAAAGTTAACCGCTTCTTTCCAATACCGTTTTATTTCATAATCGGGACTCAGTGACCTTAAGGAATACTGACAAGGGCTAATAGCAACCAACCAAGAAATTTTTGGCCAAACGTCGTGAATACCCGATTAAACTACAATATGAGCATCTATTGTGCCAAAAGTACAACAAAATTTTCAAGGCAACGCTTTACGTTACCTGTAGCAAGAAGTCATGCCGCGGAAGCAACAACGTTTGCGGGAAAAACGAAATTTTCAACAGCTGTAAAGCCGTGATGGAAAAAAACCATCCCACATTCATAGTGTTTTGTCAAAATCAAAACATGGAGACCTGCCAACAAACTTTAAGAAAACTCGCTGTGTTCATCATGTGACCCAATTCCTCAAAGACGTTGACATATTTTTATAAGTTTTATAAGAATTTGAATAAATAATGGCAAGCCCCAATATTATGAAAAACAGTTACGTAAATTAGGGGTTAAACATTCTCATAAAAAATAAGAAAATATTAATTATGCGCCCTGGAGATAGTGTGAGTAATAGTTCATGCACGGGATTGCACGCAGGACTTTCCAGGGCTTTTTTAATAGGGACCCTACAAATCACCTGGCCTGGGCTAATTCTGACAACAACGGCCTTTTAAGGACAAGTAATTTCATCACGGGGACAATTCGATTCCATATTTCCGTTTGGTAACCAAAATGGCCTGGTACCGAAGTACTGAGCGTTGCGGGGGAGAGCACGTTCAGAAACTGCGAAGACCTTTTTACTGTAACTCAATCGGAGACGATCGCAGAGAAGAGCTCTCCTTAAGTTTCGCACGTGTTAGCAAAAATAATTCTAAATTTGTGCCAAGTTTTGTTAAACCCTGAGCGTCGTACTTCGAGAACTTGACTTGCAGTGTTCGTCAAGTAAACACAGTTGCAATCTGAAAGCATGAATACAACCTCAAAAGGAACCCAACAAATATAAGTACGTTGTGAAAGGTAGAAGCCGTGAGAGAAAACTATATACGGTAATGCCTGACATCACCAACCAAAGGTAGACCTATAGCCTTCAAAAAATATAATGAAATTTATTTACAACATAATTTCCCACAACAAAGGAAGAACAAGTTTTTGAAGGGTTTCAAAGCTGGGTAATATGTATGTATAAGAAGCATCACCAATTAAGCGTGTTATAAGGAGGAGGCCCGCGTTTGTACCCCGCCGGGTTTGTCCCCAAAACGGTTTCTCGAGGTTAGTGGCCTGGTTCCCTGTTTATTTGGGCAGATGTTCAGGCTTGGTGATTTAAGCGGCGGAATCTTGGCAGCAACTTATCGATAGTGCAGTTTTTTTTGGGCCTTGGCTTGCGAGGGAAGTGTTCGAAGTGAGGTTAAAAATATAATACTTTCTTTAAATTTAGGACTATTATTGTACCGCCTTATGAAGGGCTTTGTTCGTTTATAAGGTCACCCAAAAATAGGCTTGTCGTTCAGAGAGTGAATGAAAGAAATACGGTTTCTGACGATATTTTTGAAAAAAAAATTTTTTTAGCAAACTCTTAGCAAAATGCAAGCTGCATGGTATGAAGAAACGATCCGAATTTGAGCCAAGTTTGATTTTAATCTGAACGCCGAACCTCAAACACTTCCTTCCTTTGTTAGTCTATAAGTACGTGCACAGAGTTGGTGGAACGTTGACGTAGAAACCTTTGGCACACTCGGAATTATCCCACGCAGACATGGCAACCCTCGTGGTTCCTGTGGGGAGAAAACCGGCTTAGGGCAACAGCAACCCATAGGGTTACGGGCTATTCTATGCCCCCGTGAGACTTCAGCATAGAGCAAACATTAAGAGCATTGTAGAAAATTTGCGTACATTGAAAATTTTCGAAAGTCATTGTTTTGCACCTGGCATAACACTTTTCGCATTCATATTCCATCGGCTCGACATTATCGTCCAAACTAAGCAACAACACTCCATCGGGAGGTGGCAGGGCACCACAAAACTTGGAAAACTAGGTTCTAACTTGAACCCAAGACTTTTATGGGCCTGAACTTAAACTTGGGGTTTTCAAAACCCTAAATTTAAACCTTGGGTTCGGGATTGTGACCGGGAAACAAGTTATTCTTTCAACATTCCTTTAGCGGACTAGTGTACAGTTATATTTATTGTTCCAACAAACGATTCAATAGTATAATATTGTGATGCAGCAAGATGGACTGATATAAAGGTATGCAAAAGTAATGAAAGAGTCAAATAAAAAAATATTGTTTCAAAACCCCTGAATTGCGTAGAGATAAATTAAAAAGAGATCAAAACAATAGCACTAGAATTCGGATATAATGGAGTTTTATGCGGGAAAAACAACAAAAAATATTCAAAAAACGAAATAAGGGTAAGGGAAAACCATAGAACAGTTAGATCCTAAGGGTAAAAATGTAAATGTAAACAGTAGGCTGACTGTGAGATTGTTGTGCACCAATGCATAACATTTGAAAATATTTATAGCTTTTTTCTTGGCAAAAACAGGCCTAATCGAGTCAAATTATTGCTCAAATTCGTAGGCCACGTTCGGAGAAAATCCTGATATTTTTTTTTGTTGTTGCACTTTGACCACAAAAATGTCGAAAAAATAGTTTTTATCCGATTTCCGGTCTCTGAAAACCTGATTGGTCACCAAAAATCATGTTGGTGTTGACTACTGTTTGCATTTAAGAATTAACTAGATTTTTCTAGTTAAGAAAACAGTCCAAGCTGATCATTGAAACAATTTCCTCAACGTAGACTATGTTCTCTGCTAATTTACAGCGACAACTTCCCTTCCTTACTGTACAAAAAATCAGAAAAATAAAGGACTCTTAGAGCAAGCTGGATGGCACCGTCGAAAAATGAGAGTAAAGACAAAAGGATCACATTAAAGTTACTCTTTTGGAGGTAATGTTTCGTATCTTCAGACATACCACTCCTTGAAATCTTTTTTCTTTTCCCTTCCCCAAGTCCGTGAGCCCCCATTCATCCCGCCGTTGGCATTTCCGTTGGTCCGCGCCGGCGATGTTTGGCCATTCTGATTTACAATGTGTTGATTTTGGCCAATTGTTTGATAGCCAAGACCATTGGGTTGAGGGCCTCCGTTTGTTAGGCCATTCGGCCGACGTAGTGCCGAAGGAAGGGTTGCAGCGCCATTCATGGTCTCGTAGCTGAAAGAAATGAGATTGGGAAGAGTTTAATGAAGAACGGAGGTTTACTGGACATCTAGTCTCATTGCAGGGAGACTTTCTGACATGCTCTATTTCAACTCAGGAAATCCAATAGAACTTATTGCAAACCTACTTGACTCTTGGGCTCATTCCTGCAAATTGCTGAGCATGATGGGCGGGCGGCGACATTTCCGATGGAATCGGAGTATATCCATGGTTCCCACTTCCCAACATTACATTACCCATTCCAATTGACGGCTGTTTCACCCCATTGTAGGCCATGGGATAGGTGGTTTCGCTGGGAGGCGCTGACTGACGGCATCGGAAGACGCAGAAGACAACGAATGCAATGATGATGATAACGGATACCGATGCAATCGAGATTAAGGCAGTTCGCGGGAAATCCGTGGTTACAATTGGGGCCTGCAATTCGAAAATGGTATATATGTAATTTTTCTGGCGCTCTGTCATAACAGCAGAGACATTTGACAACTTTTTGGAAATCAGAGAAAGCCAAAATGGATAAGACGGTCGAATAATCCTTACCTTAGTTGTTGTTGTGATCAGCTCGCCCATGGGAGTTGTGGGGCGAACGGCGAACAACGGCACAGTTGTCGTGGTGTCTGTTTGGATTGTTCGCAGCTTCTGACGCGAGGCCTGGGTGGTCGTCTCAAGCCAACGAGTAGTACTCACTGAAACGAAAATTAATTTATCGGAAATTGACTGAAGGCAGGGAGAAATTTCACACTCAAAAAAAGATACTTTATGTCGGAATTTAAAGAGTAAAATTTAATTGAAAAAGGTTTTCTTGGAGAGTTTAACTAGTCCTAAATTGTTTTTTTAACGTTTTCCCAAAAATTTTTTTTCACACCAGGAAAAATCATAAAATTTTCTGCAGACTGCAAGCTAAAACTTTCGGGTCATAATTTTCTAAATTTTGCATTTTCAGGCTTTATCTAAATGAAAGTTTAAAATTAAGTCCTCACTCTTGAAATATTTCCTATATCTCCTCCAAAAATCCGGTTTTTTCCATTCCTTTTCCATCATTTTTTACGATTTCAGTTAAATTTTGTCATAAAAAATACTAATAAAAGTCCAGATGTGCCAAAACAGCATTTAACACTCGAAAAGAACGCGAGGAAAACAGCACTCAAAAGTCCATGTACGCCTTTTTAATTCCCACTCTCTTCCGTTTTTCGCCTAAAGCGCTATGATGGATTAGCGATTATTTTGCTCTAAAACAGGGCCTAAATTTTGATTGAGTAAACTAAAACTATGTGGCGTAAAAAAATTTTTTGAAAAAAGAAGTTTTAAAAAATAATTTTTAAATTTGAAAATTTTTAGGTTGTCCTTAACCTGTAAAGCCCAAGGGTCTAAAAAGTGCTAAAAATCGGGTTTTTTTTAACGGGTAATCGTTAAAAAACCAACTTTCAGTATGAGCTTCGCTTCAAAAAGACATGCGGCTCGATGAAAAATCGTCAAGCTCCTATTCGCAATGCAAGTGTGCCTACAAAATCATGAAAATCCGACTTTCCAAAGTCTTTCTAATTAGCCCAACGGCCCTTCTCTTTCGGCCGTCCATCCGGTCTCCGCCTAATGAGACTCAAAATGTACGAAAAATTCGCAAAATCTTTGGTGACAGTTAGTTTTTAGGCCAAAGAAATGTTTGGACATGAAAATGTGTTGGCCAAATTTTTGCAACGGAAGGAAACTGGTGTCTGATGCTGGAAATGGAATAAATTGTAAACGTGGAAATGATGACAAAAAATTAGGATATTTTGGAAGTGGGAAAGGGAAATGTCATCAGAAGAGTGACGTAAAACTATTGTAAACAAGTGTGAATTGAGCTAAATTGCATGCTGCATCCCAAAAAAGGGAAGATCTCGTAAGAACTTTTAGCCGTTGCATCGCGCGTTTAGCCAAGACATTCAACGATCGAATTATTCCAAGTTCATCAAAGCCTAGACCTCTTAATCTTATAAAATTTCCCGTAAAATACACCATCTGTTTAAAGGAAAACACTTTTATTTTCAAAAAAAAATTCATAAAAGCTTCCCCTTTTGTCGTCATGGTCAAACCCATCCCAAAAACGAAAGTTTTTTTATTTTTTCACGGCCGAAAAACCTTGAAAAAGACTCGAAAAATTGGGCCGTAAAATTTTTATCAAAAAAAAATTTTATGAATAAAACGAAAAAGGAGATTTTCTTGGGGCGTAACCTCTTACACATAGATGCATAAACAAATTGCGTATAATCTTTTGGCCAAAAAAATTATGAATAGCCTTAACGAAAGGGTTGTTTTCTTGGATATGTGATTTCATGGTGAAATCCCAAGAAAGCCCAGCCAGGAATTTTACGAAAAAAGATGTTTTCTTTACTTTGCTGATTGGAAAAAAACGTGTGTCGACGGAAACTGTCATCAAAATTTTGTTGGGCGTAAATATTATGACGAATTAGGCCTTTTCTGAATTTTTAAGTCAGCGTTGACATTAAAAATTACTTTCAAAGAATAGATTTCAGAGTTTCTTCAAAGCCAAAATAGCCAAACACACTCGTGCTGCACTTCAACTTTTGCGGTCTGAAGAATAAAATTGCGTAAAATATGTCAAACTTTACGAAAATTTATGAAAAAAAGATGTGCGACAGAAAAGAGAAGAGGAAATTCAAATAAATGTAGCGAGAAATAGTAAAAAAATTCTGCAGAAAAAGTTGAAACAAATAATTGTTATTTTTTGCTACATTTTTTTATTCCTTACCCACCATGTTCAAGATGCTTTATAGACATAAAAAAGCTTTTAAAGACCACAGACTCGAAGACCGTCGCCCGTTTCACACACCGCACGCAAGGACAGAAAAAATCTAAAATTACCAAAAACAGTTGTCGCAATTCTCTTCGTCGTCGTTGAAAACGTCGTCGTCATCGGCGTTGCGCTAGTCGTTGGCATTGGGGTCGTTGAAGTCGCCGTTACCGGTCTTCTCCACGACCCGCCGCTCTTAAAATCGACTGCATGACTGAGGTCCGTCCACAACGAGTCCATCTCATTTGGGCCGGAATTTACAAGTTGCGCTCTGGCATATGGCGCATATGTGGCGGGGGTTTTCAATCGGTTTAGTTCATCCACATCCTCAACTTCTTCGTCATAGCCCTCTTCTTCTTCGCGAGCCGCATCTTCATCTTCGCTGTAGTCATCGTCGTTGTAGGAGCCTCTCGACTCCGGCCGGTCTTCCATTTTCCCGGTGGGTTTTACGGTCCGTCGTTGTTGAGCACTGTCGGCGAGCCGTTGCTTTGTAGGGACCCGTACTGCAGCGGTTTGGTTGAGAGATTTGGTGGGCGTCGGCTTCGGCGCTACAAAGCAAAATGAAAAACGGAAAATGCGGAAAAACAGAAAGAATTGAAGGGAATTGTGTGCCGAAATCAAAAACGGCTCTGACCGGACAATGGTGGACAATGGACGGAGGACGTAAGGGATATGGAGCTTTCAGAGACTTCTTAACTGTCTAACGGCTTCAAAACCCCTTAAAATATTATCATTCTCTATGAGTTAAAAGCCAATAAATTTCTCTCTTGAGCCTCAACATCTTACTTATCATATGTGACAAAATATGAAACTCCCTGCCATGAAGGAACCTTCTAATCTCGTAAAGCAAAATTTTGTCGGATAAAAAAACTCCTAATTAATTTAGCAGTTTTTGAGAGGAAACGTGTACATCTTGTAAGGCAAAGACACCTTTAATCGGAAACGGAATTTGTCTGGATTATCAGATTAGGTTGTAAAAATGAAGGCTTCATTATTAGGGTCGTAAACTTTGAGTTTTAATTGTAGACCATCTAGGACCTTACAACACTTTTTGAGCCCAACCCGTTCCCGTTCTAATTCTTTTAGACTTTTCCATCGATTGAGCCAAAATCAGCGCAATGTACTAATATAAATAGGCTACAAGGAGCCAATTTTAAAGAAAGCAAACATATGGGATCTTTTTCTATTCAATATACCCATAGATTCATAGATATGATCTCATAAAACCACTCCCATCACCTCCTTATCCCATAGTCCTCCGCGAACATTCATCATCACGGCCAGGATGGAAAAGCTTGTCGAACTCAAAAGCACCCATTCCGAAAAAGGGGTCAAGAAGCAAGCCGAAGGGGCCCGAAGAAAAGATGGAAAACTTCCCCACTTCTTCTCGTTTTCAGCGCGCCGTTTTTAACACATTCAAATTTAATTCTTGTCGCGTTCCCCCGTCTTCAGATATTCATCATATTCGGCGCCCTCCTGTTGTCTTTAGGGCCCCTTCGGCTTTCTTTTCTCCCCCCGTTTACAAGTCAATTGGGGGAAAAGTTTTGCAGGCACGCAAAGAAGGGGATATGGGACACATAGAGGAAGATATTAGGAACTCAAAAGAGAGCTTTCCATAACCAGTAATTAGTTTTTGAATAAATTATGTTAATAGGGTATGTTTTCGAATTTTTGAAAAAGAAATTGGTTTAAATGCACGGAAACAATCAACAAGAATTTGTTGCAAAAAATTGTAAAAAAATCTACCGTACTTTGCGGGCTGCATACTGTAAAATGGATGTTTTGAACTCTTTAAAAACATCCATTTCCAATTACTGGTTACACAAAGCCTACAAAATAAGGAAAGGTTTCGCATAATTATCATCAAATGTGTACTGCAACAACAAATCGTGACGGACAACATTAGGATAGAGGAAGGAAAGATTTTCTCCATAGGACAGAGGAAACGTTATAGCAAGTCATATGAGTGCATATAATACAAAAGATTTTAAAAGTGCAGGAAAGTTCAGTGAACATGGATGCAAATGTGAATGTGGAAGTGGAAAGAAGCAAAAGTTTTGTGCAGTGGCGAGTGCAATAGCTCAAAGAAAATTTTTGGTGGAAACTGTGAGTGATTTTTTTTGTAAGTTTGGTATAGTATATAACATTAATTCTCGCTTTTTGTGGAGGTGCAAAAATAAAAAAACGCGTGCTTATTAATTTTTGGTTAAAATAGCAAGTTTTCATTCTTTATTTATTTTGTCCTTTTTTATAAGAACTTTGTTAAAAATGAGTTATAAAAAACACAGCAGAAAGCAAAAAAAATGTTTTTGACAATAAATAAAAGATTACATATTTCCAGGTTCGAAAGTATGTTTTAATTTTTACTTTAAAGTATGTTTTAATATTTTAATTTTTTGAAATTTTTAAAAATTTTCCGAAAAAAAATTAATTCCGCCAATAGAAAATTTTCTAACAATGTATGTTCCGAAAATTAACCCCAACATATTCAATTTTGAGTTAGTATCTACAAAACAGCAAACCAACGAAGGAAAGGCAGTGGGTAAATAACAAAGAATGCCAACATTCAAGTCACGAACATTTGAATTGTAAAACGTGAAAACCTACTGGTATCATCGGTCGGTGTGTTCTTCTGTTTGAAGGCTTTTGGAACGATTGGTGTAAAGAAACCTGAAAATATGCAATTTTATATATTAATAACACAAAAATTTATAATTTTTGATGTTCGTTTTTGCCAAACATTCAAATTTGCAGTTTTTTAATATTTGTTTTGATATATGAAAATTTTTGATAATCTGTGTGTCTAAAGTAAATTTATAATCAAAGACAATTTTTTTTAATTTTGAGAGTTAACTTATAATTTACAAGTATCACTTTACACATATGCAAATTTTTTGATATTGCAATATTTCAACATTTTAAACTTTTGATCCCTTACTCTCATTCTTCTGAATGCTTTTTGGAGCTTCAGTAGTTCCACGCACTAAAATTTGCATATCCCCCTCGTTTGCCCTGGGGGTATTTGCATTCCTCAACCCGTGAGTCAGTCGTCTCGTCGTCGGCGTTGTCGGAAATTTAAAATTTGGTGCGAATTTCGGAGCCGGCACATCGAACGCATGCTCTTTGCAACGCGGCGAACTCCACTCCATCAGACAAATAATCGGCATTTGACTCGCATTTAACCCGTCTTCGTCAGCCAACATTGTCGAACTCGAGTCCAGTGGAACCGACCGTCGACGATGAAGGCCGATTATCCGTGAATTTGTTGATGATATGTTGAGTAATAGCAAGATCACAAAAACTGTCCGATGCCGCCAAAATGCGCCCAAGTTATACCAGTCCATTGAAACTGTTGGTCGATTTTTTTACGAATTCACATGACGTTGATGTCAAGGAAAATATAATTTGATGTTTTTGAAGTGAGAATCGCCTTTAAAAACGAGAGATAACACACATCAATGGCCTTTCGCGAATAAAAATCTGTCCGATCAAAAAGAAAAGAGAAAAAGCGGATGGCGGGTAGTGTGGTGAGATGGCCGAGCGGTCTAAGGCGCTGGTTTAAGGCACCAGTCTCTTCGGAGGCGTGGGTTCGAATCCCACTCTCATCAGAAAACCTTTTTGGATGTTTTATACCAAAATCACGGGGTATACAGTAAATAGGCTTACTGTAAAAAATAAATTTATGTATTTTTTATCAAAACGACGCAAAAATTGCATCCTAAAAACTTTCAAAACGTCGGTTTTGGTTTGCACACTCGTCGCCACTGAACAAAAATCCCACAAATTGTCAAGGTTTGACGTTATACTCGCTCATTTTCACGCCTCGAGAACAATAAAAAGACGTTATTTGCGACGGCACATTTCTCGCCCATTTTCTTTTTCCGGGATCCATTCAATGGAAAGTAAGGGAGTTTATTGTTGCGCATTAGTGGTGCGTTAGAAATACGTGCGGGAATTAGTCGATGAATAGAGTTTTCTGGAGAGAAAATGCAAAAAGAGTTCGGAACTTGGACTAATAGTAATCGTAAAAATGGCGTAAGAGGGTTTAGAAGAATGTCGAAAAGGTAAATAGTAGTGTTGAATACGATAAAGTTGGGTGGGTATTCATTCTACAAGCTTCAGTCGGCAGAGAGGAAGAAAAAGAAATAAAAAGTAGTCCAAATTTGGTATCAAAGAGAACCACGAAGTGCAAAAGATCCTACCGATATTTTTTGATATTTTTTTCAAGTCTCAAAACACCTGCAAAGCTTGGTACCACCCTGCCCCCGTAACCAACGACTTTGGCGCGTATCTGTGATACTTCCTGTTACAATTTGAAAAATTTTGTTGTGAGTGCGAAAAAATGCCACCCACGATCTAAACAAACTTACAAGACATTAAAAACTGCTTGTCAAACAAATCAAAGAGGAGTTTCTTTGCAATTTTTGCCATTGTTTGGAAGAGAAACCTTCCCTAGTAAAGAGTAATAAGTGTTCTAAATTGGATTATAAGCTATAATTACTCAGGAAAGTCGTTATAAAGACAAATAATTGGAAAACAATTTAGTAAAAGTTACGCAAAAAGGGCAGTGTATATTCGTTACCAGTAAATGCGGTAATACAGCCAAGAAAAACTTTGGAAAATCTCAAAAACAGAATTTTAATTCACAGTGAGCAAAAAACCAAGATGAGATCTCGTAAACAAACGAGGAATTTGCAAAAGCAAAAATAGTGTCCTAAGACCGTAAACAGCGCAATTTTTATGAGATTAGGGATAGAGAAAGAGCGTTGTAATTGGCATTTGTAATGTAAATAGTGCTCTTAGTTAATATTTGGACGAAGGAATATAGAAGAAAAGCAATTTGGAAACGTTTTCATTGTTCTTTGCACTAATATGGCACATTTATTCGCTTGGTCAAGGCGATGGAAACAAAATAAAATTGAGTTGAATGATGCCTCGTAGAAAAAACAAATGTTCTTTTTTCATGTGCAGATTTGATATATGGCCCAAAGTACGACGCGATATTTCACATATTTCAAACGCCTAGACTACGTATAAATCCCTCAAGATTTGTTTTTTGCAGAGGCTCAACAGTCTTTGCCGACGAGGGACTATGCGAAATGTGGATGGGTTCAGACAGAAAAGTTTTTTACCCACATTTCTGCCAACTTTTCATGGAGAAATTTGCAGAAAATGGCCAACTTTTGACGTAAAAATCTCGGTTGTTTTTGCAATCCGCAAGATAGCAATCTTGCATGCTTCTTCTGGAACACTAAGTTTATGCCAAATTTCATTAAAGTTTGACTTTCTGAATTTCAGCACCTTTCCAAACTTAAAAAACAATCTTTCAATCCACTGCAAACAATCGTCTCTTTAGGAAAAACTGACCCCATCTCCCCAAAATCCCCCTCAAAAGATTATCGAAAATGGCCAGTGTTGCACGGAGCGAGCCCGAAATAATAAAGCTACATCAGCACTTGAAGGCGTACGTAAAGAAGTAAAAAATGACCCTGAAAATGTTTTTTGTGTCGTTTTTCGCACCACGAAGAAAAGAAATTTGTCCGCCACGGAAACAAGATTCTGGATGCGAATCTAATAGAACGTAAGGAATCGGCTTTGGTGGTTAAAATACCACGTAAGAGTAGGGGGAATTACGTAATTGGAAAGGAACTTTTTTGAATCTAAGAAAATAAATTAGGTCGAAAACGAGGTTAAGAATTGATTTAATAAAAAAAGGAAATTATGAGGTTACGAAAGCAGAAAGCAATTTATGGTCGTAAACTAACTAAAGGATTGAATTACAACTTCCCAACAATTGGTATTTTTTGAAAGTTCGTCCTGGAAACATAGGAATCAATGTGATTTTCTTTGTTTCACCATCGAAATTGGCTTTTGAACCTTTAAGTTTAAGCCTTCTATTCTATTTGTAACCGGCAAATAAAACACGACAAAAATAGCAAAAAAAGTTCAAAAATGTGACGATTTTTTTAGCCCTTGTGTACTATTTATATCAACTTCCGACCACCAACACCCAAATTCAAAAAATAGCCCCGTTTTGACAATCTTTTAGTCGTTTTAACTTCACAAATCCCTTAATGAACCTCTTACTCGGCGAAAAAACCTTCCACATGTTTTATAAAATAAAAATAACCATCGTCTTTTCAGCCTACGGCGGAAATTGCGTTTGTAAGAAAAATAGGGATGCTCGCGATGTAAGAATTTACATTATACGGGGTCTTTTCGTAAACAAAAGTTTTCAAAAATCTGGCACCGTATTAGCGGCGGATAATCACCGAAAAGTCGGAAAACGGGGGAAATGCTGTGGCATTGAATTATTCACATGGCTTTTGGAGGGGATTAGGGAGCGCTTTGAGGTGGGTTCTGGGTGCTTGAGTTCGGGAAATCAGCCAAAAGTGGCAAAAATAGGATTTCTAAACAAAAATGAATGGATTTTGACGAAAAAACAAGGAAGAAGTAAAATTTAAGGCCAAATTGTCGAAAAAATCAGCACAGCTACAAAAATAGCTTGAGCTATCATATACGCCAAGAAAGTTCTACGATTAACAGCCGCATCACACAGGATTTTTCGTCAAAATAATCTCTTTTATCAAATTTTTTTCTCATTGCCCACATTTTTTACATCCGCATTTACGTAACGTTGCAGCAGCTGTTTTTGTTCTAAACGATAACCGCCATTACATCCACTGTATTCCCAGCGCATGCGCTCTCGCTTTGATCAGACTTTTTATGGGGTTCGGATGCATTGCCACCTTGGCTTAGTGGCAGAGCGTCGGTCTTGTAAACCGAAGGTCGCTGGTTCGATTCCGGCAGGTGGCAAAGTCGTATTTTTTTCAAAAAATACAGGAAATCAGTTTTATTTTTCATTGAATTAGGTTGTAAAAACTTCCCCATTTATATTAAATATATTTCTTGATTGATTTAAGGAATAAAAACACTGTTTTTTGTCCAAATTAAAACTTTTCCTATAACTACCTCAAAAATCCTAACATCAGTAATATAAATGGCTCTTAAGTCATAATAAGCATCGCATTTACCCCGATAAATCCTATGTTCTTTCCCGGAAATGTGCAAAAAACAAGTGGACTAAGGTGAGAAGAATGGGGGTTTTAAGTCCGGCCCGAAAAATGGCCAATTCTCCCACATTTGGCCGCAAAAGTGACTCTCGAAACAAAACCGGGTTTGAAATGGCCCCAAGATAACGCTTATGGGGATTGGAGATCTGCAAACTTTCGAGGTTTTTTGATGAATAGTCATGGGAGGTTTTCTCCAAAGTGCAAAAACAATGACGTTTTTATATGCACATATGTATTCCGAAATAACCAAAGGGTAAGTAGCGTATTCAAATGATGGGAATAAAGAAAATAAACACTGTTAGGGCAATTACGAGCAACAGAAATGGACCAGAGTTTTTAAGGAGCAAAAAACATTGTTTTGTGAAAAAATGAACTACCATTGGATTTAAAAACCTGAATTGTTAACTGTTTGACAAGACTCGGTTTACTGAAAACACAAAAAACATCTAATCGTCGACTTTTTGAAACGCTCTGCTTTCTCACGTACTCTTCACTGTAGTCTTGGATTGTCTTTTTCCCTTTTTGTTTACTAATCTCTCACCGAAGCCGGAAATGATAGCGGATTTATTCGTTGATGATCCGAAGATTCCATTTCCCCAAGAGATCCAACAACGAACTTTGTAGTGGGCTTTGGAATACGATCCAATGCGCCAATGATCGGGAAAATGTGAACGTAAAAGGATTTGTTAAAGTGCAAAATATGACTGTAGGAAAATAGCTAGCTTGGTATTTAAACTCTGGAGACTAAAAATGCTCTTCAGGTAAACGGAGTGGAATAAAGAGCCTAATTCTCGGCAGAAATCATCGGGATCTTTTTTGGCAAAATTGGCGTAATTCAACATTTTTCATTGGGGCGCTAAATCATCATCTTGCATGGTCTGTGGAGTTCTAAAACCACTAAAAAAATTTTATTTTACGCTTAAAATTTATACCGATAAGCCAAAAAAGATTTTTTTCTGTACGACAGTCACTACTATGACATAGTCTACACATCCTCTCAAAGACACCTCAGAGCGCAACAGCACCAACTGTCAATGTACCAAAATTCCCTCATCTTAGCGCTCAGCCCTCCTCAAATGCACACCACCCTCCAAAAACAACCTTTCCCCAAATATATCCGCCTTCAAGAAACCCACCAACCTATGCACGCTATCCCATCCCACCAGAATTCGCCAAAGAGGATGGCCATAAAAAAACAAATCGACAAACATTTTTGGCGCCGCCAATTCTCGACTTTGGCCGTTGTTTAAACAGAAGCGCCTCGGGCAGCACAAAAATGAAATACTCCCCGGAGAAAATCAGTTCGAAACGGATGAATATATCCTTAACATTTCATCTCGAGAAAAGAAATGGGATATTTGGGCTTTGTTTGGCCAGAAGCCTTTGTTTTTGGCCAAAGGGCAGCTTTGAAAAGTGTAAACGGATAAAGACGTGTGTCAATAACGGATAAGGAAGAGTGATAGAGGATTATGGATGGTTGAACGTTTGGGAAGGAGCGAGAAGAGAGCTCTAGGGTCAAAAGTACAAAAATGATGAGAAATGGTGATGGAGAAGAGCTTGGAAGACACAGAGAACCTAAAAATGCAGAAAACGTAGCGATTTTTGCCTTGCATTTGGCAGAAATCACGAAGGTTTCAAGTCGAAAATGATGGAATAACTAAAAAAGTAAAAAATTTTACCGTGAAATCAAGGTAATCTGCTTGACGGCTCGGGCGTAAATTCCCTGCAAAAATAGAGCTTCCGCGCAACCCACTACTCCTTGGCCTCTTAACTCAATCTCTGCCAAAGTTTTTTCTCCAAAGTATAACACTTTTAACCTGCCAATTTACCCTCCTAATTCCGCAACTTTAATCAAGGAAAAAGTTTTGCACCCTACTTTTTTTACAATTTAATTTCTCCCTGTGGGCACTGCTTTGCATAAAAAGTTAATCACTAACAATTCTATTGACTTTCACCGTTGGCAAAATACATTTGGGTTGGAAGTTTAATCCAATTTGACATTGGTTTCTGGAGGTCTGTTTTACGAAAACTATACTCTTTCTGCGGAGGTTTCAGGGCTATAAAAAGGCCTTACATGAAGATGTCTGACAAAAACGTCAAAAATAAAAATTCAAAAATGTTTTTCCTGAAGTTCAAAAAATCCCGAAAATTTTTGCGTCTTTCCAAAGCCCTCTATCGCTTATAAATATGATTACGGTGTTCCTTTTGATCCTAAATTTAATTCCCAATAACTTGAGCTTCTTAGAAGCTTACAGAACTGATATATCTACCGCAATATACGCATATGTTGTTTTAAGTCACCAAAATTAGTAGGATTGTAGAAGTGTCGGGAAGAGAATAGAGGCACTTTTTATTGGAAATTTCTTAGATGCCCCAAGTTATTAAGAACAGATGGAAATGACGAGAAAGACCCAAAAAATACAGGAGACGAAATGGGAAGAAAAAAATAAATTTGAAAAATAAAAAAATCAAAAAATTGTTTTTCGGTAAGAAATAAAGCACAAGGGCGTGTTTTTGCTTTTTCCCCTCCTGCACATTCTCTGCCCGATTTTTCGACTCAAAAAATTCGGAGAAAATCCCGCGAAAATCCGCAAATTCCTTGGCTTTTATAAAATATGCAAATTTCCCTCTGCGTTTCGCGCACTTTCATTTTTTCGCATGCGCAAAAAACGGAAATTAAAAATTAGCCAGTCCTCGGGACTTCGTCGGCCAAAAATGAAACGAAAATTTTTGAAATTCCCATTTATCACATATGTTTTTATAAAAACACATAACTCGGAAAAAGTTGACATTTCCAATCGGGTTTTTACTATACGTGCTCTTGAGGAGAAATATGAAAAATTTATGGTCTCGAAGGTCTATCAGAAATTCCATCAAAAAATAACCTAAAAAATATGTTGGCGCTATTAGATTTTCATAAAGTACATGCTTTTTTGTCGCGGCACAAAAACTCCCGTCTTGCACCACGCACTTCATGTCTTTTGTTTTGCACCGTGCAACGAAAATATCGTCGCGACGTACGCTTTATTTCAATTGTGTCGCCGCGGGTTTGCTGAAGAATTTGCACAGAGAAAACGGCTTTTTTGTGGTTTGTACTGTGTGGAAAGGGAAAAAATCCACGGTGCGTTGGCGACAAGCGTGGGAAAAAGTTCAGAATGCACTGTGCGAAAGAGAGAAAATGTCCACGCATTTATGGAAGTTGGTTGTACTGTTCTATAAAATAAGAAAAGGCCAATATCACAAACCGTTCGACTCACACATTTATTTGTCAAACAATTTAGTGGGACAGTAAGAGAATATAATAACCAAAGTAATGTGGGTTTAGACTACGAAAAGGAATACAATTAAGGACTTGAACGCAAAACTTGTTTGGATTTTAATTGTATTGTAGAGGGTCATTATGCCAAAAAAGGGGAAGTGCTCAAAGTGCTACCCCCTAATTTTAATGAAACTTGGCCAAAAATATCGAGTAATATTTGCCATATGTAGCTGCCAAATAAATGGTAAAATCTGAACGTGCAACTTCCCTCCGTCGTCCGTAGAGCCATAAGCGATATTAAAAAACAGTACATGAGTTTAAAATCCCGATAAAAGCTCCAGAATCCCCTCTACGCAATTTCCGTTAACAATTCATTTGAGGGATTTGCCAAAAAGCCCGTAGGTGATTATCTAACCAATAATGGGAAAGGAGGCGGGAGATTAACTCCTTTTCATTAAATTACAGGGATTCTCAATTAGTTATAATAAAAAACTAATCAAATTTGCGATTTTCTGAGATTTCCGGTATACAAATTAATAAAAAAGGCTTTTTAAGCTTTAAGATAAGAAACTACAGTAAGATTGTAAAGCCAGTTTTTCCATTATTAATAAGATAGTTTTTATTATTGCAAACTCAACAAGACCGAAAGCAGCAGAAAATAATTTCAGAAAACAAATCCTGGCCACCATTCATTTCCAACTCCCCTTTCCATTTTGACCACCCTAAGGCAGACTTAAAAAGTAAATTAACGCGATTATCTCACGCCAAAAAAACTCTTTTTCAAAAACACTTAGCCATGGGGAAAACTTTCTAGCTTCGTCCTAAAAACGAAAGGGTAATGGAGGTGAGAAAATTGGGATAGTAAGCTAAGGTATTAAGGAAAACTTTTGGCTTAGCTAATGAATAAGAAAATGTGACGCAAAGCAAAGCTGGGATAAATTTATGCTACATTATTCAAAGGAATTTGTGAGATTCCAAGTAAATGTTTTGAAAAAACAGAAGGGCAAGAGCTGCGTTGAAAGAACCTTCTTTGCAAACTTGGGGTAATAAAAATGTCAGTCTTCCTTCTCCTCTACAATATCAAAATGCCAACCAAAATATTCATAAATCCAGTTGACACAACAAATTGAACCCAGCTGCCATTTGGGATCAAATTCAAAAGCCATATCTGCAACGAAATCCCCGAGGATTTCCATTTTTAATTGTGGAAAATCTCAAGACAAATGTCTCAAAAAATAAAAACGATGACAAAACAAAAACCTTCGGCTAGCATTCCTGGCCAGACGGCTGGAACATTATCTATCGTCAAATATAAATAGATAATCGTTTGTACACATTTACTTCCCGGTAAAAACGTATTACCCGAAAATGACAATCAAATCTTATTTTCTCACCCAAATAAATTCTGCCAGACAGTAATTTTCGGATTACTGGTTTGAAAACAAAAAGTCATACAAACTGTAAATTTGAACACAGACATTACAACAAGTTTGCATAAAATCTATATCAAACACGCAACAATAACAATTACCGCAGCGGACTCCAATTTCAGTGACTTTTTAATAAACATGAAAACTCATTTCGCCGCCGATTTTTTCGCTTTTCCGCTTCCAAATTGGGGGTTTCGGCAGTGCGAATTCCTAATTTCTCGATAGCCGGAAATTGTGAGCACTATGGGTAACGCGGAACAGGCAACGAAAATATAAAACAACGAAATTTTTAGAATTTTTACCGAACCGCTTTGCCAAGCACACGATATTTACTGTGTCATGACGACACATTTTTTGACTCTATTTGTAATAACGCTATTTAAAAAATTAAATTGCTAGAAGAATTTTTAAAAGATTCATAAAGTGAGTCTAAAAGTCTAACAAAGATTACTTTGGGCTGCAGAAAGTATCCTTAAATTACTTCATAAACTCGTGGAAGCCAAAAATTGGCAATAGCCACTCCAAATTGGGCCCTTTAATCCCTTACGCCAGAACTGTATAGGATTCCCAGCGACGATGTAACTGCTTGTCACGGATTTAATCTGCCGTTTTGGAAATGTCTAAAAATCTTTGAGAGGTTTCTTTGGAATAGTTTATCAGTTTTGGCACGGATTTAGAATTTGCGCAGGGAAAAAGGAGAGAAAGCATTTTACTGAAATTTCAACAGGAAACACATTTTTATGAAACTTCACAAAAATTAAAAGTCAAATTTTCAAATAAATGTGATGGATTCTTAGCTTAAAAAAGATCAAGCCGTGTCTTAAAACACGCGCAGAAATCAGCTGAGGATAACTTCAAAGTCGCATTTAGAGTATCCGAAGCATTCCTTGGAAAAATTTCGAACTCTCATGCGAAAAAGGAGAGCGGATAAAGGTGGAAGGGAAACAAAAAGCGCGGCCGAAATCCGTTGAAGCGACAGAAAATCGGGGACCGGATACCCTTGGCGCCCTTCTTTTACGGCAGGAATGAGGAACGGAGACGGGGAACCGTATGTAATAACATCCACAAAGAATATCAAAAGGTTTTAGAAGAAAAAAAATTCTCAGTAAGTACATTTACGAAAATTAGGCTAATTTTTGGACAATCCTAGAACGTTTTGATTATAGTTTGCAATAACCGAAGACTGAATATTTCTTTGAATTATCACTAAATATAAATATGAATGGGCACAATTTATTTCAAAATTGCCCAAAAAACCATATGAATCGCCTCAACTTACTTTTCCCACAAAAATTTAGCCAATATTACATTACACCCCCTTGCAACGACAACCATATCGCCTTAAGTGACCCTTCAAGTGGTTTGCAAACAAATGCAAATTTAGATGGGAAAAAAGACACACACTTACAACGCTAGATGCTTGTAGAAACGCCATATGGAATAAGAATTTAACAAGTCTATGGACGGCTTTGCAATAAATTACACTAATTTTAAGATTTTGAAAATAAGCATGTGAAATTTGAAAAAATAAATGTTTTGTTAACAGTTAAAAACAGAATCTTATAAAAGGGACTTTGACGAAGGTGGGATTCGAACCCACGCCCCCGAAGAGACTGGTGCCTAAAACCAGCGCCTTAGACCACTCGGCCACTTCGCCTCACGGGGGTGGTTCACAATTCTCGCGTCTTTTCGATTCCCTAGGGGAAGTAAACAATATTACTGTTGTAAAAACCTTTTCAAGCTTCAAAAGTCCTTTATACAGCAAAACCTCTCCTTAACAACAATTTTTATACCCAAAAAGGCTCCAAACGCACTTGTTCAGCAAAGGAAAGAGGATTGGCCTATTTTAGCCGAGGTAATAATAAGAAATAAGCGAGAGTCAACCAATTTGGAGGGGAAAACACGGAAGTGTATGTAAAACAAGAAAGATTTACAATTTCTGAAGCATGAAGTGTTCTATGGAACAGAGATGCAAATAGAATTTTCAGAGAAATGATTATGCAAACGACGTGGGAAGACCGGTACAAATATACGACGTTATTCTAGAGAAGCGACTTTCGAATCTTCAACGTAAAACATGCTTTTCATAGCAACTTTTGTAAAATACGAGAAATTAAAATATACGAGGAATTAGTAAAATTTCTGAAATCCCAGCAATTTCGAAATTTTCAGAATTGGATAATCGCCAAATACGTATTGCAAACAAAAAAAAAACTAATTTTCAATAACATTGCGCCCGCTTTGAAGAAGGCAAATAAATTAGAGCCCGTTTATGACCGTTCATTTGGCCCGAGAAGAATGGATTAGCGGATTAGGAAGGCCAAAAACATTTAATTCTTGGCTTCTAACTACTTTTGTGGGCCTCACAACATTCAATATTTTAGGGTTTTCGAGAATATAAATTTGCATAATTTCGAAAATGCAAATTTTGAAAAGTGTAAAAAATCAAAAGGAAGTTGATTTGCTATTTCTCAGAATATTTGAATGCTTGCAAAATTTGAATACATTTTAACTCTTTGATTTTAATTCCAAAATATATCAATTGCAAAACCAACCTTCTGTAGGCACATCCGCCTCACAGTCGCCTTGCTCCGCCGAATTCAGACATCCCAATTCCGAGAGTTCAAAGAAGCCATCTTCTTCATCATGCTTGGGTTGGTGGCCAATCCCCGAGGAGCGAATGCTGTCCTGCAAAAAATTGGGTTTATTACAACTTGTTTACTGGATCTCTAAGCGTTCAGGAGCAAAAATTTTAAGTGGGAAAAGACCGATAAGATGCCAATTTTTGACCAAAAGGGATTTCATCGCGCATCAAATTATAAGTCAAGTTTGCTGGAGGAAAAGTTCCATAATTTTGTTAAATTTTGCATAATTATGTGTTCCCACTTTAACATGCTATAATATAGAACGGGTTGTTGGATGGTATATGTCCAAGAAACGATATTTTCACGGCAAAAACTAAGATCTTCGCAAACATAGCCGTTAAACTTGAAAATCTCGGTAAAAGCTTTGCTTTGGCGAAGGAAACTCCCCAATTCTTTCCCCTTTCTCCTCTAAACGTGCAAATTTTCAATTGAAAATGTCATCCTACCTGCGGGAAATCAGCCGGATCAAAGGCCGGAGTTTTGGCAGCCATCTTGATCAATCTTGGATGACCCAGAGCGTGAGCGTTTGGATGGCCTGAAAACAGCTCAAAAATATACTGCACTACTACCAACATCATAATTCAAAAACATGGGAATAAATGCAACAAATTGTACTCGTTATAGCCGAGTTGTTTCCGGGATGTAGTAAATGTAATAAATATTAAATAAGGCAAAATTAAGTAAGTTTTTTTTGGGAAGCTAAAACTGGTGAGCAGTGTTTTACATGTAAAATAGCCCTCAAAAAAATCCAAAGAAAATATAAATAGTAAAGCAATAGTCTTAGTCCTCCAAAAACGACCTTTAAAGAAACTTCCATCAAGAATTAAACTCCCCGATTCTGGAAGACAAATCGCCTCAGGCATTTAGGAGGAGTGACAAAAAGTAAAAATTCTCGCCAACGTTCCGAGGAGCGGCCGGATTTTTGGCCCCGAAAAACATTAAGAACACAAGAAAGGAAAAACTCGCTCCAGGAGCTCATCGTGAGGGAGGGAGAAGTCAATAGGGCTTTGATGGGTTATCATGGATTGCTAGAACCCCTGCATTTTTAGTATAATATAGTTTTTCTATTGTTGGAGCAATAAAATGACCTTTTTGTTGTAAAGGAAATGGGAGTATCCATTTTTCAATTTGGATTAAATGATTAAAAATTTTATGATTTTGATGTTACTCGCGCCATAAAGTCCGTGGAATTCGCATCGACATGCACTTTTCGCGCGCGCTCCGTGCGTGCGACCGTGCGACGTCGGTAAAAAGTTTTCCGGAGTTTATGGCGCGAGTAGTAATAGCAAATTTTGGGACGGCTAAAATTGACGCCGATTTTGACAATTTTTTTGAAGAACATTAAACATCCATAAAAGTCCTACGTAGCCCACAACCTCGGGCAAAGAATAAACTTTAATCAGGGCATACGGCGAGTCTCACTCCAAAACATTCTCACTTGGGCTGAAAAATAACCGAATAAGGCGAATTGCATCCCGAAAAATCGCGTGGGAACATAAGAAATTGAAAATCATTTCCGCGCAATATGCATTTACTTATGCAGTAAAAACAGGCCTAATATTGAGGTGGTGGACTTTGGAATTCATCTTGGGAAAATTCAATGAGAAGACTTGCGATTTATTATAAGAACCCGCCGCAGGATCTCTGAAATAAAAAAAGAGAGATATTGCCTTAGGGAGTATGCTCTTATCTACTCCATGTTACCGGTAAACACTCCAAATGGAGCATAGATTCATCCTATCTTAACTCGTGGTTTGAAAGGACAACAATATTCAAGTACTTTTTTTCGAGGTAAAACTTAACATAACTGTTGTGCAGCTTGCGTAACATGGTACACCTTACTTGCAAGAGGGCCAGAAACTTGAAGGCCTTTGATTTTTTTTTGCCTATTCTGGTCCGAAAAAGTTTATCGACTGCAAGGAAAACACATAAAATGCTGCGGTAGATATCCAATAATAATTGCATTTCTCGAAAATAATAAAACATTTTTTTTTTTGAATAGTCAAAACGTTTCCAAAAAACTTCCAAAGAGTGTTTCCGTCAAATTAAATTTACGCTCCTATTCTTGGCGCGCCGCCAAAGAAAAGAAAATAAAATTATTTTGCCAAGAAAGCTATTTCGGACAATAAACATGATTTGCATTGAATAAATAAAAGGGTAAACCTTCCACGCAAAAGTCTTCCGATATTTTGAGTTCAGTTTAAAGATGAAGGAAGTCCAGTGAGTCTAGAAAATCTTGATTAAAACTATTCAAAACATTGAGCATTGGCTGGTCAAGTGCTGAGATGCACTATAGGTATAGGAAAAGTACATCTACATGAGACTTACGTGTTAGTGGAACACAAAAATAATCATTACTCTAAAGGATATAAACGCTCGACGCAAAAAAGTACTGCGTTCAATTTTATATCAAGATACATGTTTTACGTTGTATAGTTATATAATGACGGGGGCTCATGGGAAAATGGGGGAGTGTTAATGAAATGCACGCAGCATACAGACGCACATATAAGGGTTGTTGTGAAACGGAACCATAAAATAGTATCTCAATTTGTGAGGCACCACTATAATCGTTGATGTGGACTCATACTATGTATTATAGTGAAAAAGTATAACACGCGACTTTTTGCAGTCGAAATAGGAAAAACCATAAAATATCTCCGGGGATTTTGGGTAATAACGCAGAGTAGGTGGACTGTGTTATTTACTCACCGTGAGATATAAACTTTTCAAAAGCGCTTTTTACTACCCGTCCCAAAAGTCCATAAATATGGCATAATAAAACGCATCAACTATCATTCCAATCTCCTCAACAAAAAAACAATGCCCGAACCTTATTCCCTTCTTCGGCAAACATTTTTTGGCTCCCTTCGAAAGTAATCTTATATATCGACTGATGGCTCAAATTTCCCGGTCGAATTACCCACAAAAGGAATTCGTTGTAAATGTCTTTATTCATCTCTCCTGGAAGTTCTCTGGGACTTGATTAGAAATGAGCATATTCGAGGATGTTATTTTCGGAATATTACACAAGAACTGGGCGTTCGAAGAGCGAAAATTACGTAGAAATGAAAGCGGAGCGGAGGTTAAAGAGTGCAGGTAAATAGAAGCTCTTATGGTTTCTTTTGGCTAATGAGAAAGAGGGGATTCTGGAAATGGAGATAAATAGTCGATTCAATCAGAACCTGAAGAAATTTGCAAACGAAATTTTTGGAAAATGAACATAGAGAATTTGAAGTTTGTAGGCGACAATAATAAAAGAAAATCTCTACTAAAAATAAGTTCTTTCAGCAGCAAAATTAACAGCAACATGACCAGAAGTTTTTTCCATTTAGTTTCTCTTCGTCGAAGATCATTCAAGAGGTAAAAAACGCTTTAAAACAAAATAATCCTATGTACAACGAACCGCTCTCATAACAAATCATTCTTTTTCATTTTTCATTTGCGATCCATTGTACAGCCTTGCAGCAATGTATGTATGACCATAAAACTCAAAAAATCTGACTTCACTTCCGACATTCTTTGCAGAAAACACTCCGTCTCAATGTCCAAAGGCTACAAGTCAAAGCGCAACACTCTCGCCGAAGATGAGACAAGATATCGGTTTTCATTAAATTCTGTCCATCTTCAGCAAATACTGCACGCGTCATTTGATGAGATAAGGGGCTAAAAAACAGTCCCTTGAAGACTATAGTTCCTCGGACAAAACTTGCAGAGGGAGGTTCCAGACAAATAAAAATCTTTGTTGGATAATAGATACGAAAAGTCCGAAAAAAATCTACTTGACTTGGTAACAAAGCCAATAATAACGTTAAGTCAAAGTGTTCCCGGAATAGGGTCAAGGATGATGTGGGGAGGCTTCAAAAAGCAATGTGAACATTAATATTCGCCGTAAATAAGTTGTGGAAGTGACATTTCAATGCTATGTTATAAATTTGGAGGCTACCTGAAATTTTCAAGGATTTAATTATGCCGGGACTTGAAGGAAAAACACGCCACCGGCGATTGATTTCTTCTCATTCGGCACGGTTTTACAGAAATTTTCAAAATTTACCTTCAGCGATTTCAGCAGAATACGATTTTAATTTTTACTTTCAAGTCATTGTGCTAATTTTATCCACGCTATGCCATTTTGTTATGAAAAATCATCTTGAAACGGCAAAATTTGCCTTATCTTTCATATTTCCCACCTCAACCCCCTTCAGCTCGCCTCCCTTCAAATCCAATAAAAAAAGTAAAAATCCTGAAAGGACCTCCGTAACTTTTCGGCTCCTTTTTTATGGAGTGGCCACTGGGATAAATAGTTATGAATAAAGAGGACGCAGCCCAAATTCGGGTGCAAAAGTCATCAAAAACGACGATTGGATTAGAGGGCTTTCGGTCAGCAACTTCCGTTTCGCCCGCAAAGAGTGGGAAAATGCTGGACATTCGAATTATAATATCTTGGGGTTTTAGAGGAGGTCTTTCGTGCACTTACAGCTTTCTTCGAAGAAGTATCGCTTAAAAGGCTAATGTGAACTTTCAAATAATTCAGGCTTATGCTTACAAAAAGCGTCAAATTTTCACCAACTTTCGGACTTAAAGTCTTGGTTGTTTATGCATCCGAATTGCTAAAATATGTATGAGCTTCGCACTTTAAACATGTTACATACAGAAAAAACTTTTAAATTTTCCTTCTCATACCTCGAGCTCTTCAACCGCATCTCTAAAAGTCAAGGTTTTCCAAGAAAACCCATCAAAAACTCCTTTTCATTCCAAGATTATGACCCAAAATACCCCTAAAGATCAAAGGTTTTTTAAGCTTCCCACCAAAATTTACATAAAAACACCGACCAAAAATCCCGCTCATAACAGGAAATTCCATTTGCCCACCCACAAAATACCCCACAGCAGTTCTTTTGTTCCCCTTCCCATATTCATTCGGGATTTATGCACATGTGCATTATAGAGCGAATGAGGCAAGCCACCCGCAATTTAGTCAAAAAAATCAGTGCTGAGAAAACTGAGGGAGGAAGGAATTGGTTTTAGCAGGTCGAGGGCTCATGGTGAGACTCTCAGAATTTAATCAAAATTGAGAAAAGTTGAGATTATACTGTATTTTTTTGGAATAAGAAGTCGTCAGGAGGAACTCTTTTGGACATATTTTCGAACATATACTCCCCGCCAAAAGTTTTGACCCCCCTTCTAACTCGGCCCAAAGTGTACCAATTTGGACCAAATTTGGTACGTAGTCTATTGGCAACCTAGTAGTAAAAAATATCATAGTAGGACAAACCATATAGCTGTATTTCAAAATCCAGGGACAATTTTCAAAAATCACCTCAAAAAAACGGGACAAAAGTTTTGACCCCCCTGCAAAAAAATTAAATATCGCCAGCGGAGGTAGCCAGAACCTTTTGGAACCTGTGTCCCGTACCTGAACATGGGTTAATAAATGCTTTTTTGTTGAATGCTTAGTTGCATTTGAGGATGCAACGCGTTAAACTGATTTTGATGTAGAGCTGCCCAAAATGTTAAAAATCTTGTACTGGCGCTATCCAAAAGTTTCAAATTATGTTCACATCATGTGATTTTGACGTGTTATAACCTGCATTAATCTTTTCCTTTCGAAAAAAGTCCATGATGGCCTAGCGGTATCGATTCGGCCGATATCCAGTTGTCATGGTCAGCTTTGGTGAGACATTTGCGCTTTGACTAAAGGTCTAGATAGGGTCGCTAGGTCCTCAATCTAATCCTGAGACTCCTATTTACTCTCAGCAGGGACAAAGGTTTCGATTTGACACATTTTGGAATGGGTTTCATTCACCTTAATTTTAAGTTTGCCGTTACTGTAGATGCCCCCGAGTACGATGCCATCCCCACCGCCCATTTGGCGTTCCATACGTCTCAAATGAGTATGGCGGGTGCTGTAGCGCCCTAAATTACCTGGCCCATCAAATGAAAGCCGTTTTTGGTCGCAAAAAATCCATTTGAAAAACGCGGGTTTTTCTTTAAGGTGCAAATCGGTAAAGTTGCATCTACAAACCATTTGGGATCGTGTCAGCGGGGGTTTATTCTTGTTTTGAGAGTAGACACAAGTCTCAGGATTACATTGAGGACCTAGCGACCACATCTAGACCTTTAGTCAAAGAGCAAATGGCTCACCAAGGCTGACCATGACAACTGGATATCGGCCGAATCGATACCGCTAGGCCATCATGGACTTTTTTCGAAAGGAAAAGATTAATGCAGGTTATAACACGTCAAAATCACATGATGTGAACATAATTTGAAACTTTTGGATAGCGCCAGTACAAGATTTTTAACATTTTGGGCAGGTCTACATCAAAATCAGTTTAACGCGTTGCATCCTCAAATGCAACTAAGCATTCAACAAAAAAGCATTTATTAACCCATGTTCAGGTACGGGACACAGGTTCCAAAAGGTTCTGGCTACCTCCGCTGGCGATATTTAATTTTTTTGCAGGGGGGTCAAAACTTTTGTCCCGTTTTTTGAGGTGATTTTTGAAAATTGTCCCTGGATTTTGAAATACAGCTATATGGTTTGTCCTACTATGATATTTTTTACTACTAGGTTGCCAATAGACTACGTACCAAATTTGGTCCAAATTGGTACACTTTGGGCCGAGTTAGAAGGGGGGTCAAAACTTTTGGCGGGGAGTATACTACGAAAATTATTTGCCTTTTGTTTAATCCTCACATTATAAAAAATCAAGTTTTTAGACGACTTACTCTTGATATTCGCCATTTTTAGAGACTTGTAATAGGGATGTAATGTAGAGTCAAATAAGCAAAAAAACAAGACGACTCCAATATGTATACGAATATGTCACAAAAACATCAAAGTATCCGAAAACGTGTCATTTCGAATAGCGTAATCTCGTTAAACTGTCACAAATGCATGTCAAAACTTTTCCAGAGCGCATAAAAACCGACTAAAACATCTGACAATAAAATTCCAATAAGAATTCGGTATTAAAAAGAACTAAACTGCCCTCCAAATTTATCACATTCCCCGGCCAAATGCGTAATGAACGAGAGTTTTGGCCGGTTGAATTGCGACTAATTGCGCTGAAAAATTATGAAGCAGATGAAGGTGGGGAAATGAAACGAATTTCGAGGGCATACAGAGTTTATGTGACTTTGCGTGGTGGTCTAGAAATCTGTAATTGGATTGAATCAAACGGAGATTCCTTTGCACAGTGCAAGAAATCAAAGTATCAAACGGTAAGCGCTCTGCAGATTTTTTCAACTATGAAAAACGAAAAAAAATCGTAGACAAAGAAATTCGCGCAGTGATTACGGGTTCTTCGTTTTATGTTCAACAGTACTGCCTGATTGAAAAACACCCCTGAAAATTTCGCTGCCCACACTAAGTTTCCTCCTACTTTTATTTTTTTGCACAGTGCAATTCTTATTCCTCACGGAAGCTATTCAAACCTCTGGAAAACAAAGATATTCTTTTTTATAGCCCATGGGAACCCACTTATCTCGAGGTCAGACCATGGCATCAACAGATTCGGTAAGAATACATTATGTGATACAGAAAAATATTTTTTTTAAATCAAAATTAATTTTAAGGGTTTGAAAATAAACGTTTGCTCCAAAAAATACAAGAATATCTTTGTGTGACAAAATCTTAATGCCAGTTCGTCATCAACACCCGGAAAAATCTCGTTTTATTACGCAGAATTCCTTCAATTTCCGCGCTTTTTCACCGCGGACTGTGGCGTGCATGCGGGCCAAAAACAGAAGGCCGGAACGGTGGGAAAAACCCCTCGCCATATTTAGTAATATTTTCTTTTTTGACCTTATTTGTAAAAGTAGCAAGCCTACCTTGAGCAAACATTTCGAGGACTTGGATCCCATTGAAAGTGACACCGAAGATTTCGCCGGTGAATTCGTCATATGTGATGAGGTCGGAACGCTTCCTTCGAAGCGTTACGACTTGAGCAGAGTGGAGCAAATTAAAGGCAGCACCGACGGTCAGGTATTTTTGGGAGTTGAGGGTGAACAGTTCCGATTTACCTGCAAAAAGTCATATTTCTAAAGTGTTGGTGATTCTCTGATGTTTGACTGTAAATCATAATTCAAAAAATTTCAAAAGTTATCTCACAGGCTTAAGAGGCCTGTTTTAAGCGCAAAATTTTCAAAAATCCTATCTCACAAACAAGAAAAATGTTTGCAAGTCAAAACTACGCTTTACAGACCTACCATTGCTTTGATAGTTCACTGCCGGAAGCTCGTCCAAGACTAACGTCAAATTTGATCTGACTCTGTTCAACTTGAGCAAGTGCTCCCGACCATCGTTTACTAATGTGTCGAAATATCCGACATGATGGTCTTTCGAGCCGAGATTGTAACGGACTTGGACGTAGCCGCCTCCCTAAATGTGAATTAGAATCTTACGATGCGATTTCTTACCACAAACACCGTCAAATAATCGCCATCGACCGAGCATTGTACGCCAAAAAGCACTCCGTTTGAGCTTTGAGTTCGGAATGCCAACACCAACTCATCATTAATTGTGTTGGGTTGTGGTCCAACGTACTCGTAATAAATAGTTGTTTCCTTTCCATCAAATTCGTAGCTAGTCGCCGGTTTCTCACAGTACCTGCCGCTGTGAGCCGTTTGGGAACAGTCACAACGAACCCCTCGCCAGCCTTGATGACACTGGCCGTTGTTTTGGCAAAGACCGGGAGCACAGCGGACGTCTGGGCCTGAAGAAACTCAAAGTAAGCAAGCGGTCATAGCAGAGGTGCCAAATCAAACAGATTTTTTGCGTTCGCATGTTGTACAAAAAAATATATTTTGATTGTAAATTTAAAGGCCCTGCAGAAAGCTGTCTTTGGTTAGCCCGTATTTTGCATTTTGTTCATTGCATGTAAAAACCAGAACCACTTACCCTGACATCCCTTTGAAAGATCCTTGCTGCTGACATTGTCCGAAAGTAGCGACAATTGCTGCTCCGCGATCTTTAGCAGCGAGAAGCATCCCTTGAATCCGGAGACGGTTGCCAATCCGTGTGGCTTTGCCGGCATAAAATTCTCCGGAAATCCCCCAACTAAGACCCAGCCGTTGAATCCAGAGAAGTCGTAAGGTGTGCTCTTGATTTTGATTTCCTCATTGTCAAGAAGGATTCTATGACTGGTCATCTCTGTTGAGTCCTAAAAAAGATTTTAGTCTAAGCGCAGAGAAATGTAACGATAAATCAATTTATGACCCTCATTACTAGTCGTTCCAGAAAGTGCGTGCACTTTTTGTCGTGGGCCGCACTGTGCACAAAATTCCCTTTTTGCGGGGTGCATTTGACCTTTTGCACAGTGCAAATCCAATATCGCTGCGACACAAGCTTTTCTCAACGGAGCGGGCGCGAATTTTGGGCGCGTGAAATGAAATTGCACAGTGCAGAATGTTTCGAAAAGGATCGCGTCGCGCGGGGAACATGAAAACTTGCACTGTGCGGTGCAAAAAAGGCGGAAAAAAGTGCACGCACTTTCTGGAACGACTAGTAGTATAATTCTAAAAATAAAACCAGTGTAATCTTCCCAAAGAATGCTCTCAGAGGATTTGACCAAAATTTAGAATTACTTTAGGAAGCAAGATTACGCAATTTTTGGAAACAAAAGTTAATCTCATGGCTCAATGGCAAGGTAACTTCTAATTCCTTGAGGAAAGAAACATGAGCCAGCGCTGTTTTTTCGTGGGAAAAGAATAATAATTTTCTACGTAATAAGGGCTGCTTTAGCAAAGAAACGTCTTAAAACGGAGCGGTCTGAAGCGTTCCAAATTTTATTTGCCATAGTAGCCTGCCTACCTCCTCAATACTGATCGTATGCCACTTCATGTCGTTCATTTTTTTGTCGCCGGCAGGCAGAAGCACGGTCGTTTGGCCAAACCGGTATCTCAGACGGCCACGGATCATCTCCACCGACAAAAGAATGTTATGCTCTCCGATTTTGGTAGTTTCATTGTTGACCAATGCCAGTAAGAGGCCATTATGCGCGATCGTTTTGAACTTGATCGACAGTTTAAAGTCCGCGTTGGTCCGGAAATTCGCGTTGAACTGAGCGAAGCCCTTTTCCGTCTCAAAGGATATCGAATTCTGTTTCAGTCTTCCCTTATTCGGCGATATTGTGGTGTAGCTCATCGGTGGGGCAATATCAGCGTTGTCTGTTCGAATCTTGTCCAAGATGTCGTATTGGTTGAAAGTAAGTTTCAGAATGTCTCCGGAGGGTTTTTGCTTTTCAGTGAACAGCTCCAAAGGTGGGTTGACGTTGACATCAATGACTTGTCGCAGAGCTTGCCCTGGAGCGACATCATGGATGACTAGCGACATATCGCTTTCGGGGAGGAAATCTGAAACAATTGTGATGAGGAGGAATAAATCAGTGTATAATTGAAGAGTATGCTTTTACAAATAGTCGACAATTTTTTGCGGTATGATTCTGTCATGTTCGGCACTGTCTACAATAACTTCTACTTACGGCTATGTTCCCATTTCCCATCCAGAAACAGCAGCAATTTCACACCTCTTCGCTTCACTCTTGCTGTATGCCAATGGTTGTCGTTCAGCTGCTTCCCACTCCATGAAAACGTCTGAAACCCATAACTTTCCGGACCAGAATGGCGGACTTACATGTTTAGCTCCACTTCCAAAATGCAACGCCAACATGAGCTCCCCATTATGGAGAAACAACAGCCATCGGTCCGGCCCTCCTTCTGCTCTTGTATCCAGGAGGACAAGATCCTCATCCGTAGTGCGGAATTTGATCTCCAACATCTCTGCCTGACTGGAGGTTGGTGTTTCGAGTCTGAAGAAGGAGTAATTTATAATATTTTGCAGATTATAAAATTGAGAGCCACAGAAAGATAGGAAAAAGGCGAAACTCGAGTATTCGTTAGACCTGGGAAAAGGTAGTGCCTGCCGACAACAAGCGTGAGTACAAATTCTAAACGAAAAATATCACGCCTTTTGCCTGGTAGAGGTTGTATTTTCGTCGTGTTAAAATCGACATTTCTGGGCATTTTTTGTTGCGTAAGGGGCATACGACACCCAAAAAACCTTGATCTTCAAGAAGAAAGTCGGTTTTTTCTGAAGGCATCTGGAGGCTCCCAGTAGTTAGTTACTTTACGGGGTTAATTTTCCGTCAATCGCATCAAAAGATAGACTACAAAAACCTTACACTAAGGAAACTTTAGAACGGGCCAAAAGCGATTTTTTTCCACCGTATTTAACAAAACCGATTCCAGGATCTGTCTTCTCATCCGCTATAATTCATTTCTGACCCTCGAACTATTACCTGAACAACGGCTGTTGATCCTGCAGCAATGCAAGTGAGATTGGCGGCAGTGCTTTCTCACAAGTCGGCCCATCAAACACCGTTAAGCTGCAATCACACTCAAACGCCTTGAACGAATTCACGCATCTCCCAAAATTTTTACACGGCGAATCCGCACAATAATCGATGGCTTCTGCGGATGCGGAGCTGTGCGAACTCGTTGAGGTGCAACCCAAGGAAATCCCATCGACCGGGGTCTGTTGACCGGTCGTGTTTCGAGACGGGGTGCTCAAAAATGCGGCGCCAATTTGAGTGTTGATTCCGTTGATTCGGAGATTTTTGAGACATCCAACGTAGCCTTGACGCAGATGACCTGACCAAATTGTTGATGGAAGCGGAAGAATTGAGCTGTAGTTCCAAGCGCTGTTTGAGGTTGGAGGCCAAGGAAATGCGCCGAGGTAGATTGGCTCTTCTAAAAATATACACCTACATCTAGAGACTGGTAGATGCTTGGTTCAAATGTATCGGAGAGACGAAAAGGGTTGTTAGCTTTCATGTTGGACCACGTCAATCCAGCGCATTTCCTGAACCGTTTCGAAACTTCGTATCGTTTTCATTGAATTAAAAGAGAGACGAAATGTCGCGAAATTATCGGCACTTTTTCTCGCCCGAAATAATTGCTTTTTCTCGAAAAGAAAGAAGAAAGTTAAGAAAATGCTTTTTATCGGATAGTGACATTTCGTTTTGAACGAATCACCAAAAAGGGGCGGGAAGTTTTTTGTTCTGTTTTGGATTGACGTGTGGACAAGTTTTTACTCATTGAGATTCTTTTTTCACAAACGTTCAACCTGATTTTGGAAACAATGCATCTTTTACACCTACCAATGATCAAATTGGCGGACACTCCTGGCGTCGAAAAATCAGTTTTTATCGTATCGACGATCACGCTTCCCTGCCGTCCAACTCGCTCCAGGCTCACGCTATGCCACACACTTCCTTCGTTGACCCGTTTCGAAGTAGTTTGCAGTCGAATGTAACCCGATCCCAAGTCCAGTACCATAAAAAGATGGCCGTCGCTCAGCTCAAACGCAATGTAATCGCTGGACCCGTTGAGCGGCACGTCCTTCACGCCGTGGTATAAAATTAGACCGTCTGACGCGGTGGTGCGAAATTGAAAACCTGGTAGGAGATTGCTAATTAGGGATGTTGAACTTGCCCAGGCTCCCACTCGAAAGCGAGTTCCACTTTGGCAGTGTAATGAAACTCTGACCCGTACTGGAGAATGATAAGACATCAGGCAGGGCGTTGGCCGATTCTTGGCAAGAAAAGGCCAAATCCCCACCGGTTCGAATCACAGATTTGCCGAAGCCTTGGTCTGCCAGATCGATAATGTCCAAGCTTTGGACGTCGGCTTCGTATTTGATCTGAAAACAATTTAAGTTGTAAAAATGAAATTTAAAAGACCTCTCTTTACCTGTTTCATGCACCCCTTGAACATGTAGTTATAAGGCGGAACATACGCCTTTCCGATTGCTGCTCCGCCAACGTAAGCGAAACTGTTCCCCAGCCATTCCGTTTGAGAGGCAAATTGCTTCACTTCATCGGTATTTCCATCAACAGTAAGCCGCATCTGTAAAGAAAATCAGTTCAGAAAACGATTTGTACAGAGATTGGATAAGTTCACTTCAAAAAGCTGGGTTATATTTGGGGTAAACGTGCGGGAAGGAAATATAATTATGTTGCAAAGCCAACTGCAAATGGAAAAATTAAAATTGTGCAAAATTATGCAAGAAAGAGAAGGATGGACACATAATTTCACGTCAAACATAGGGAAGTGTTATTTTAAATTTTTTTTATTTTTTTATATTTTCTCTTCCAAAAGGTTTCTTTAATTTTTAAAAAAAGATTTTTTCGATAATCTTTTGTTGTCATACAGGGATAAGAACATAAGGGGAAACCGCACACTTGGCCAAAAAATGGCTCCAACTTACGATTAATGATGTGTATTTTGTCCCCGTCTAAAATAATAAAAACAAAATGAGAGAGAAAAAATATTCGAAAAAATTAAATAATCATTTTTTAACATTTGAATTTCAAAATTTGCAGAATAGCGTAACCACTAAAAAATGAAAAAAATGCAAGAACTTACCATGTGAAGATTTCTATGCAAAAATACAGTATGCCATTTGCCATCGTCGTAGCGGACAGGCTTCAGGCCTTGAGAAAAGCGTTGACGAATTATCCGTTTATCACTGCCAAAGAGTTTGGAAGCAGCGATTAAAACGCCCCTTTCTAGGACTAGTTGGACAAAATTCTGAAAGAAAACGAGAGGGAATTAAAATTTGCATGCTAAAAAATGACGCTATTTTTTAATTTTGTTGTGCTGGAGAGTTTGCCACAAGTAAAAAACCTGCAGAGTTTGAAAACTTCCGCACTGTGCCAAGAAATTTGTTTCGTTCAAAAAAATGTCTTCAAAGAGCTACATAAATGCCCAAAAATCGCATTGTAGTACAGTTTTGAAATATTTTTATATTCAAGAAGAATAAGGGTGCTTAAACATTTAAAATGAGCTTAAATTTACCTGTCGATCCCCTGCCACAAACAAAAGTCCATTCTGATTTTTGGTCTTGAACTGAAGGCTGACATTCTCAGATCGACTAAGGACTGAGGCTGACGAACTGTTTGAAACATCGTAGCCAATCCATTCGTTTCCATAAAAGGATAACTCGGATGAAGGCTTTGCTAAAATGGCAGAGATTGGTCTTATAAAAATTAAGAAAAATTTAGGACGCTATTTTTTGCACAGGCTGCAATTTTTCTCCCCTTTAGCCAAGAAAAAACAACAAAAGATTTTTTCAAAAACTATATGTATTGTGACGAAACGCCACATTGATTAAATCTTGGTCAGGATATAGCCCTAACAACGCTGGATTTTGAATTCCGATTTCAGCCCACTTTAAGAAACTTGCCAACCTTCTCGGAGCAAGTTTCTGACTCATAAGTCTTAACTTACGCTTTTCACACTGTCTTCCCTCGAAATCAGAAGGGCATTCGCATTTCGGACCATCATTCGTCGAGTAGCAGCTTCCGCTGTTTTTACAAAACTGCACAGGATTCGCAGATTCCATGCAATAATCGTCGTCAGTTAGCCTGGTCCCAAACGAGTCGATTAGCTGAGGCGATGACACGCCTTGCGGATATAGACGATAAACCAAATTTTTGAGAGATCCAGCATATTTTTTGGTGTGCCGTCGAAGGGGTGATGACATTGTGGAGAGAAGATGAATGTCCTAAAGGTGTAACCGTATTCTAGATTAAAAATTTACCTTAGGAATTCCACCAATGAAGACGTCGGAGTTTGTGCGAAGGTTTCCGAATACGAAACTGCGTTGAGTGAGGATTTTAAATTCCACGGCATCATCGACCTGGAGCTTGATGTTCTCCCAGGCCTAAAAAGAATTAGAAGTAAAACGCGAATGTTTTTTGAAAAAGGTCTCGCAACAACCCATCAAAAAAAAACGGAAACTTGCTGACGGCTGTCGTGAAAACGCCACAAAACTAAAGCTTCCAATAATGCACTCACTTGAAAAAGAATGAATCGGTGCCAATTGCCATCCGCTACTCTGATGGCTCCCAAGCGGAGCGTATGCACAGGCCTGCTCAACATTGTGTCCTGCTCATCCCCTAACCTGAAGATCAATCTCGTAAAAATTCTTTTTTATCGGGTTGTCTGTCTACAACCGTATTTTTACCTAAAATCCAGTTGAATGTGGCCATCCACTATTGTTAGACAATAAAAATTCCCCTGAACTCCTCCGTCATCAGTGTACAGTAACAGGGCGTTCTCAGAACGCGTCTTGAACTCGAATGAAAGTTGATTTTCAAATGTCTGCGCCCATTTGGGATATCTGAAACAAACACGCCGTATAAAAGGGGCTGTACCAGATAATACGAGAACTCCCTTTAATTTGACAACCTACCTGGCATATGCATCTTTGGAACCCGTTAGAATAAGTGAATGCGTTTGCTTGGCTTTACAGAGTAAATAAATTAGGATAAATATGAAAAATCTCGGCTCCAGAAGCCGAGAAAAATGCGCTCGGCGCTGTGACGGATTCATAACGCTTCATCGGTCTTAGCAAGTCGCTGAGGATTGAAGATCATGGCCTTCAAACATCGTGTTAGGACAAATATAAAGTCGATATATGGCAGCTGAAAATAGAAACATCACCCAACTTGGCATCTTGATCTATTGTCACGACTTTTATAAAGAGTAAACCAAAGACGACCCTTGATTACAAATTTCGAATAATACTGATTTTTTCTTGAGATCGCAAGTGTAAACTTTGCCAATTTTTGATTATATGTAAGATCTCGGTGGTTTCTGTGAAGCGCAAGCTAGGAATCTAAAAAATTGTCACAATTTATGTGCCGTTTTAAAGAAAACTAAAATCTGCACTTTCAGCATCTCCTCCAAGAGAGAGTGCGCATCTAAAATACGAAAAACAAGTCGTAAAAGTTACAAATGATCGCCCAAAAGCCCATAACTTCCTAAAAGTGAACCATCACCCAACTGCAAGAAAGTACGATAAATGACCTCAAATTGCAAAACAAAGTCCCGAAAACATCCCCGAAATACCCTTTGGCACGCGTTGGCGGACTCGTAAAGAACTAAATCGTCGCTCGATTAGGATCAATTGGCCTTCGGGGACCGTCCGCTGCGCGTTGAATAAGGAAGACAGATTGCGCAAAAAACAATGATGCCCTCCAGGGAACCTTTACTGTTTTGCACTGCACGCAGGGACAACAAATTCGTCATTCAGCGGCGCGAATCCGTCAACCTGAACGTGACTGATTATGTATAGCGAGAAAGAGCGATAAAAACAGTTGATCAGACGTCTTCAAATGCTTAAACAACAAAAACAAAGTTCTGTAGAAAAAAGGAAGGGCGATGAAGAGCAAAGATGGGAAAAAAGAAAAGGAAGAGGAACAGAAGGTTTATAAGTAAGCCGGAAATATGATTACAAATGTCTCTCAAAGACCTAAAAAAGTTTATATGGGGATTTACTAGAGAGCCATCAGAAATCGACTGAAAACGGAAGTGCTCATTAAAAGCTTTTACTGAGGATAAGGCATTGCTCGTCGCACGAAGTATGTCTTACATAGCTCTACCTAAATCATCACAAAACTTTCTATCCCAAACTTTTTACCCCGGTCCTTTTGTAAGAGAAAGAATTCTAAACTCTCAAAAAATCACCCATGTTTCTCTCTTGAAAAAAGCGTCGGCATGAAACTTGCCCCAGGCCATCAAAACACCAAGCCAAAATAGAATTACTCCGAAATTACCCACAAAGTCCAGTCCTTTTTTCAACGACTTGACCAAACAGAGATTTTCGATATCCTTTCAAAGCCCGCCGGCCTTTATCCTCGCCGGCTTCCGGCTCTCGTTTTTTCGCTTCTAATTCGGCCGGAACTCGGGATTCGGGCCACGAAATTCGAATACTTGGCGCTGCGCCGATCATATTTGTGTTTGAACAGAGATTTCTACAAACTTTGAAGGGATTTCCTGAAGCCATGGATAATATTCCTTCACCACGGTCCACTTAGGGCGAAAAATATGGCAAAAGACGTCAGATCTGCGGTGTTTGCTGAGCCTTGTTGATTGTAGAGAGCGCTCAAACTTGGCACGCAATCCAAAGTTCAGGAATTCAAAGTTTTCCCGATTTACGCCCCGCAGAACAAGGGTTAAAGATGGCGAAAAACGGACGCAAAAGAGTAAGTGGTAACTGTGAAAAGTCCATGCTGTAAACATCCGTGAGATCATGTTTTGGAGCAAGAAAAAATGGCAGGGCAGTCCAGATATTTTACGACAAGAAAAGCCGGTAACGATTTATTTAAAAGCATTTTTGCAAGTTCAATACATTTTTTGTAAATAGTATACACACTACATACTTCGATCAAAATAGTATATCATTTTTGTTGGAAAATTTTTAAAAAAAGTTAAAATTATTTACTATTTTTGAACTAAAGATCCTGAATTTAACAATGACCTTAATGCCCAGTTTCATCGAAATTGTTGTCAAACCACAACTACGAGAAACACCAAAATTTGAATCCAATAAAATATAATAACAATAATGTGATTTACCACTTAGAAATAGTCATAATTTGTGACAAGACGAAACCTCAAACCCATAACATTCTTTTATAAAAAAATATAAATCATCATAGCCAAACAAATCCCAAATACTCTCAGATGGGAGGAGTGATTACCCATTCTCCCACACCCCGCCACCATCTCCAATTGTACTAATTAAGTGCCGTTTAAATAAAAAAAAGTCCGAAAGAAAGTTTTTTTTTCTTTTGAATGGCGAGTCGCGCAATGACTTTCTCGCATAGAAATAGGCCCTGAGGCTCGGAATTTTTTAGAGACGGAAATCTGCATGAAATCCTGTTTTTTGCTGAAAGGAGAAATTTAAACGGATTTTTGCACTTTGAAAAGACAAAAATTGCGTGAAAATGGAGTGAATACGTATGTAATGTACGTGGAGAAGAGGACGTAAAAGGTAAAGTGGCCAGAAAAAATTGGTAATTTATATATATGTTTTAGAGGGTTGTCTAGCCGAATATCCAGGCACTACGACCGAGGTAGACACAAGGGCCATAATTTTCAGTAAACCAGAAACCGTCTACCGTGATCACCATGAGCAAAAAATAAAGTAAGACATTTAAAATGCCCATCACAATGTTCCGACAGCCGAATGACCCTCAAGACAACAGTTAAAGCAATTTAAAGGAAAACAAATTACCCCTTTTTCAGTCAAAAGGATCGAAATTCAAAGTTATGAGTCGGAGAAAACAGACCCAACATAATGATGATAAATAGAGAAACATTGCCGAAAATGGCAACAAGCGTACTCGGTAGGCGCAAAAAAAGTTTCCATCATAATAAGGGAATATTTTATGGGACAGATGGAGAATAAGAAATATAGAGTTTAAGATTTCGGAAAGTCTTTTATGGTATTGCTATGAAAAGTGTCAGTCTCGTTTGTAACGGAGCATACAAAACTTCCACAAATTTTTTTTACCAGCGAAATTTCTTGCTGTATGCCTAAAGCGCGTTTTTTTGTTGAAAGTTCCACATTTCGCACTCTGCGTATTTGAGTTAATAAGGACAGGTCTGTTAATTTGGAAGAAATCTGAGCGATACATTACATGTCTAGGTCGGTGTCCTGTAATTGTAAGTTTCGTGGAACTAGCTACATTTCTTCCAGACCTATATAATCTCTGAACCTTTTTATCACTGCCCACCAGCCCAAAACCTCCGCAAAACTTCGAATCTCCGCTATTTGACCGCCTCCCACAACAAATACCCTCCGGCAATAAAGTGCCAATCCACTGCCGAAATCCCCACAAATCGGGTGCATAAATTCCACGCCCGGAGAGTCCATAAAATTCCCGGCCAAATTTTCGACCCCCCAATTTTGGACGAAGAAAATGAAAAATCAAAGGGATTTGGGTAGAAAACGAAGGTAAATAGCTCACTTTGCTTCCAAAAACGTGTGCATAAAGAAGAATGCATTGTTTTATGGAACTGCATACAAAACCGGCTCAATCTGCGGATCCTCCTCGGTTTGTGGACGCAAAAACTCCTGCCCTCAGAGACGCGAAAGCAAAGTTCCGAGGAGAAAAAACGTTTTTAGAGAATTAACAATAAACCATGAGAAAGGTTGAAGTCAGGGTTGGACACCGGAAATTTAGCACCTTAGCAGGGGTTTCACAAATCCGCTTGAATGAAATTGTGTGAAAGGTGTCTGAAGGGAACAGAAAGAAAATAACTGGCGTCAAAAATATACAGGATATATATAGTTGGAGAAAGGGGTCATTACAGGTCAAATTGTAGATATTCCTAGGATTTACGTCTGTAAAAAAAATAAAAATAAACCAAAAAAAATAAAAGTGAGTCTAGAATATTATACTCTTAGATTCGTGTTCATCTCTTTAAACTCGAAAATGTTGATGATACTGGACTTGTATTACCGTAAGCAAAGTCGCTGTAAATTCGCATTTCCCTTGCATCACACAAAATGTCAAAAAGAATGGATGACTGTGTTCCTAAGATCGTAGAAAAAATACCTTGACTGCACTTACAAATCGGGATCTCACGTTTTCCGAAATAAAGAATTCTGACCTTTATTAAACTATTCAAAAATTTGTCCTAAAGGGCTTTGCATATGTAACAATGTTTATGTAATCTACAAGAACATAAAATCGCCACCTCTAATCAAAGTGCAGAATCGCTAATTGTAACTCTGAATCTGGACTTAACAAAGGAACTCTGCGAAGAATTTCGAATACTTTTTTGCCCGAAATCTCAAAACTCATAAGAGCTGAGGTTTCTATTAGAATTTGCAGTCACGCAATCGGAAAGTTGGAAGGAGAAAACGGGATTTTCGGGGTAAATAAGCGTCTGGATTCTTGGAAATTAGTGTAATTTAGAGCCGCAATTGAGCGGCGCAAGGGTTATTTGAGTTGTTATAGTAATACACATAAAGGCTGTTATAGATTGACTAATAGATATTACCTTCATCGGTTTTTAACCTTGGAAGAAAATTTTTGTGTCTTAATACGCTACGCCTTTTATGGAGATTTTTATTTGCAAAAAACAAGAAACCCACTTAATACTCAAATATGCCCTTTAAGGACTTTTTCAATTGTCAACTCGACAGAAGCCCCGAATTCTTAAAGACACTGACTTTGAATAACGTTTTGGTTGCTAAAGAACAAAAAACAATAATTTTTGTCCGCAAAAAACATAAAAAAGTAGAGTAAACCAATCTGGAAAAGGGATCCCATAAATCCAAACAAAGTCTCAAAATTATAATGGCCATGACATTTGAGGTCGAGAAATGGCTTCAATTAGACAAGAATATAAGTCGGGAAGAGAAAGCGTTCTGATAAAAGACCAACTCAAATATATTGTAAGTTGTTGATTATGTAGAGATTAAACCTCAGAATTCAGACTAAGCCCACTTTATTTTCCACTGACATATCCCATTGCATTACAAAAAGTGACTCCACGAGCTGAACGAGCCGTTTGCAAAAAAAGTAAAAGAAAAAGTAAAATTTTTATGTAATCCCCAAGGATATGTAAAGTCCTCCTTCTCCTGTCTCATAACTTCCCATAGCGTCTTTTTTGGATCGAACGGCCGAAACACAGTGGAGAGTAAAGGCTCGAATTTTCGAATCTTTGGTTGGTTGCGGGTAATGGTATGTTTGCAACAAAAAACGAATTTTTAGATATGATAAAGTGCGTTCGGATATGATGGATTGAGGAATCTTTAGTTACGGGTTGAGGTTTTTGCCCTTTGAAAAAGACTGAAGGGCAAAAGAAAGGGAAAAAGTTTGAAAGCTTCTTTTGAACCGCGCTTGTTACGGCTTAGAAAACGAAATGTCCAAAAGTTTTTTTGTTCATTGCAACGATAACGACAGAGAAAGAAAAAGGCGACACTCTGCATGCCCACTAACAATTATTTTACTAGTTGCAATTGTGGCGACTTTGCTTTCAAAAGTGATCGTAGTTCCCCTTTCGAAAAAAGTTTGGACACTCTATGGTCAAATTGCAGCACTTCAAGCGGTAATTTTTTACTCATTATTTCATAGACGGCCTTAATATAATAGCCCATTAAAATTATCAGAATTAAGCTCTCTTCTAATAAGTTTACTCCATCTAAACATGTGCTTTTAAAAATAATCCCCATCGTTTCCTCCTCAAATTTCCGTGTTCGTCTCCCCTTCCAAGACCTCACGCAACCATGCCTCTCCAAAATATCCAAAAAATCCGCCGAACTCCCGACGACTCTTCGCGGATCCGATTTCTGCGCCATGTTTTGCATTTCAACCGGAAGAGCCAAATCGAGTTAGGCGTTGAAACCGCAATCCGCCGCCTCATTATAATAATTCGACCCTTCGTGACTTGTGTTCCGATTCCCCGAGGACCGCTAAATGTGTGAAATCTGGACAAATCCGCGAGAATTTCGCGCCGACCTCTGGGTTTTTCTTCCGGGGAATTTATTCGGCGGCCAGCTGATGTCTGACATGAGATATTGGACCTTGGTTTGTTTTCAGTACAACATGTTTGATCAATTGATTGTAGTAATGGTCAGTGGCATCCATTGCTTTCGGGGAGAACACCTTCACCAGAGTGCCTCTGGCACCATGATCATGATGAGAGGAGAAAATACAAAGAACAGTATTGCCCCAGGCCCATACGTTGGAAGAAATTGTTGAAAACATCGAGATGATCAAGAATAGGGGATGAGAGAGGTTCTAGTTAAGGTAGTTTGTGGTTTTGTGCATGCTCTGTTGATTTTCAACCTAACAGTAGCCCGAAGTCCGTTGAGAATAGTAGAATAATAGTTTGATGTCTCAAGCGCCAAAGATCAGCCATCCTCGAAAGAAGTTCGCGAAAAAAACTTGAAGACGCATTCTGCCAGTCCTGTTCTAGCTTCAGGATATTTTTTCTTGCGTTTTCATAATAACATTTATGTACATATTAGCTGCAGTTTGTTGAAGCCCATCGAAAGCTCCGTATCTCTTCTATACCATACCAACTTTTCCCCGCATTGCCTTGGGTCTATATATATATTTGCTAAGACAAATCAAGTGCATCACTCTTGCAAGAGAAGTGTACTAACTATTTATATTTCCGCTGCATTTCACATTTTTTCAATAAACCAAAAAAAGAAAGCACACACGTATACTAAAAACAATTCAAATTTGTAAACTTTACAACATTTGCCCCAACTGGAAGCCAAAACTGAATTTTCTGGTCTTCGTTGTATGTCTGACATCAATACTTACGCATTCTCGAATCAATGATTTATTACGTTTACCCGAACTTACAGTAACGACAGGTCTTCAGCTAATCTAATGACGTTCGGAGTTTGAAGTTCAAGTGAATAAAAAATAAATGAACTTTCAAAGACAAGGTTTCTGTTAAAGCTTTTTAATTGACGGTAGGGTCCACCTTTTCTTGCATTTCTCGTTTTTTAGTCGATCAGGAATGACGGTAATCTTTTGGGGAGTTTAAAAAATATATGGTTGGTGTGAGAGCTCCCTTGACTTATTAAGCAGACAGGGTGCTCGGCCGGGCCGAAGTGGACTTAACACAGGCTGGCCGGATCGACTGGCTAGACCGGGCTTGTTTTTATTTGTTTGGGCTCGCTCGTAAAATTGAGTTTACCCACAGAATGAAAACATATTTAGTAGTACATAGCTTTCTGGCCTGAAAATAATTCTGAAGTTCACCTAATTTTTTGAGAATTTCGTCTCCAAAATTTCTGCCGAAAGAAGAAAAGAAGGTAAACGGTTCAGGAAGTGGTTGGATGAACGTGTTATGCTCCTTTTTTCCGGCAGACGAGTAAGACAAAAACTGTATAAAGTTTTCAGCAAAGATCCTTGCTAGACTTTACTGAATGAAATCGCCCCACACTTGGCATCGTTCTCACAACGCTGCCTCTCTTGTACGTGAAGTGAAGGCACATCTAACGCCAGAGAAGACTATCGAAACCGCAAAGGACTTTCTCCACAAGCTGAACGATCCCAATCATCACTCAAATATGTCCGAGGAACAAAAAACAAAAGCCGAATTTTATATCAGCAACTTGTGTGAGCAGATTTTGGTGAAACAATTTGCATTAGAAAAGGACGAGGAGATGTGGAGAGAGCATTCGGAACGACGGAGACGCAGCAAATTAGACAACTTTGGGTCACAAGTAATCCCCACATATGGAAGTGAATACGACTCGGAGTCAGAGGAATGCGCTTTCAAAGTCGAGAACTCAGATGTGACAGTGCCCATTGACAAGATATATTACAAAACATTGCCGGTGAGTTATATATTATTTAAGCATATGAATTTTTAACCATATCTATAGTTAAAAATGCACTCTCTTTTCCAACTAAAGCCCACTAAAAATCGCTGTTTCAGTGGTTTCTCGCCCCGATTCCTCATATCTTCTTCTGTATTACAATGATGGCCGGCGTTTATGGTGGCGCTTTTATGTTTCTCGCCATTGAGCCGTCTCTTGGAGAAATGCCATTCATCCGCTTAGTTCTCAATTGTTTCGACAGTGGCTCCAGAATGGGTTGGGGCCAACTTCCTCCAACATCGCCTCTTGGTCGAGTAGTCATGACAGTTTACAGTTTTGTCATTGTCAGTTTGGTCAACGGGTTTATCGCTACGGTGGGAAATATAATGGCAAACACCTACTGTGTTCATTGGCCTGTATGGAAAGCAAAGTGGAAAGGAATTGTAATTAAAATAAAAGGAAAGCCTAATTGCAATAACGGGTTTTAGAAGAACATCAAAGTGCGAGATTTGGGAGAGGAAATGTCGTTGAAAGTGGCATTCTCGATCACCGTTTTAATGGTCCTTTTGGCCTACTATTTATGGTGTTACAAGTTCGACAATATGGGAGTTGTCGATGTTACCTATTTCTCGTAAGCGTTACATATTGCCATATGCCTCCAAAAAGTGATTTTTGGACGAAAAAACCATAGAAAGTTCTAATTCTGCTTTTGCTGCAATACGTGACACAAAATTTTTACGCTTCACTTTACAAGTCACGCCGCTTTTCAATGGAAGGTTCCACACCACATAGCCACTTCTCAAAGACAGATAAACTAATTTTCAGAGTGATGACAATGATGGCTGCTGCATTCGGAGACGTTCGAACTCTTCCCAAAACCCATACTGAACTTTTTGTGATAATGATCTACTTTACTGTCGGAATTGCTCTTTGGGGTGGAATATTTGTCCTCCTCACAGGTTACATAACCGACACCTTTGTCAAAAAATGTCAGACATTTCTACGTTGGACAGTACGACGCTATTACATGCTAAGATACAGGAAAAATGAGAACAATTGACAACATCTGAAGAAATATTTGATTTTATTGTGCATAAATATTATTTTGATACCACTTCGGGGACATTATGAAAAGAACGGTTAGAGAAATAAATAGAATTCAATGACCGGTAATGGGGACGTTCAAAAAAAATAAATAAAAGGCTAAAAAATAAAAATCAGTAAAAAAGATTGAATATGCAAATTTAGAGCTTCCAATTTTTTATTTTTCTTTGTCAACCGCCCATTCGATGGTCATCCGAGATGACCGGCCGGCTCTTTCTATGGGCAGTTCTCCTGCAAAATGTTGCCGTCCAGGCCCTTCATTATCCTGATGCTGTACGAGCTAAGCTGGATTACATGAAAAAAAGTATGGACACAACAGCTGATCCTTGCAATGATTTCTTCACCTACGCTACAGGAAATTTAAACCTAAATACTTATCATGAGGATAATCGTAACGCCAAGAGACGTCTACTGGAATCAAGCATTGGAGATGAGGTAGGGCTTATAATAGAAGAACGAGTATGACAAAACCTTTTTTGATCTTGGTTTACATGTTTTTTTAGTCTATACGGTCATTTTTTTCAATTTCAGATCCCTACCGTCAAGCAAATTAAGCCGTTGCTCGCAAACTGCAAGAAGAATCCCGGTATGATGGAAGAACCGGGCCGTGCAGATATATACAATTGGATTGTGATGAGTTTAAAATCGAGAGGTTTCACTTTCCCAATGAAGAAAGAGGTTACCAGTAACGACGGCCTTTTTATCGAGCTGGTCTTGGAAATGTACACTTATCTGTTTGAAACGGGAGCCGCGGTTTTTAATCAATGGGGTTCCGATGCTTCTGCGGGGAAATTATTTCTGAATATTCCGCCAAAGGTCAACCAAGTACAAGCTTGGTAAGTTATTTGTGCATCACATGAACATACCAATATGTTGGGAAAATAATGTGGATTCATCGAGCTTTGAAATCGCCAATTATCGCTTTGCAAGTTCTAGCCGCGGCGGGATATTTATTGCCAGACTGAGACGAGAGGCGAGAATTTCGCTGCGACGAATCGACATTATTTTCTCGAAAGACTGGTATATGTAGGTGGCAACGGATTAATAGTGTGGATCGGGGTGGATTGAATACATATGATAATCTTCAGGCTGACGTATTGCAATGTCTTTGGAGGATGTTATAATTTGGTCTACGACCGGAATTACATGGCACAAGGTTACGTACAGGCAGATCATTTAAAAGGCCGCTTCTTCAACAAAACTATGGGTACAGGATTAGACGAGACTTTCCCGGATATTGCTTTCTATTTTCCGAACGTCATAGATGTAAGTTTTTGGGTTTTGCCTTGTGGCCCAAGGCAACCTTCTGTATGAAAGAAAAACTGGTTTCTGCCGGACTAGAGGTGGTAATCGGGCCGAGCCGGCCCGATTGAGACCTTTATGCCGGTCTATGATAACTATTCAAGCCACTTATACACCTGGAAACTTAATCCGCAACATCTAATCATAAAGCCCATCGTTTGAATTTCCAGTTGTAAGCAAATTTTGGGTCATTTCATAACATGTCCGCAGATCTCCGTGGTTTTTCAAGCTGCCCGCAAAGTTGTTTCCCGCAAGTGTGGGCCCGCCGGGCACACCTTGAAGTAAAAATGAGAAAAAGAGTTGATTAACGTGCACGATCCCCACGGCTTCTTTGAGCTGCGCCCAAGCAGCTTGTGCCAACTTTCCATTAGTCGTAACTCGTTCCTATCCGTCAGGTTCCCTTTCTGTCTGTCTAGCTAAAAACTTCAAGCGTTTAAACCATACTTCTGATATTCAAACTTCTTTTGATACCTTTTGGTTTCCCCTAGAGGTGGCAATCGGGCCGGGCCGGGCCGATTTTTGCGGCCCGGCCCGCGGGCCGAAGTGACCAGGCCGGCCCAGGGCTTTTTCAAATTTGCTCAGGCCCGGCCCGGCCCGGCCCGATGAAAGCCCAGGCCGGCCCGGCCCGGCCCGGTTTGGCCCGCTAATACAGAAAAGTTGGATAAAAGTCTTTGCACTTTCTATTGGAAGTTGTTATGCTTTCCAGAAGGTTTTTACGTGTGTCTGCGTGAAATTAAAAAGTCTAGTCGGATGACTGGAACATCCGTATAGGTAGCTAAAACCTAGCCAAAAAGTTGGATTGTGTTGAATTTTTTAATCCTATAGGAAGTTAGCTATATAAAAGTATGGACGTTATAAGGTACATGGTTAACCAAAAACTGTTTAAACACTTTCCTTTACATCAAGGAATCAAAATTACAGTGAAATTTTTAAATTTATCTCATAGAAAATTCGAAGATTTTTGCCCGACCCTTGCATATTTGGGTGGGATTTTACATACATATAATAAGTTACAGATACATATACATAATTTTAAAAGGTAGTAAAACAGCGTATAAGTCAAAAAAGGTTTAATCTAATTTCCATCCATTATTCTACAAAGCATTTGTGCTTTATTTTGCAGCATTAAAAATTTTTTACTTATCTACTTTCCGGGCCGGGCCGAAAGTGTCGGCCCGGCCGATGGGCCGAAGCGGTCAGGCCGGCCCAGGGCTTTTTCAAATCTGCTCAGGCCCGGCCCGGCCCAATCACCGGGCCCGGCCGGGCCGGGCCGGCCCAGCCCGATTGCCACCTCTAGTTTCCCCTTTCTTGCTGCAACCTGCGAAAAAAAATGAATTATAAATGACGACTTTTTTCAGCCCAGCCAGTCTGCTCATCGTGCCGACTTTCTGAATCATCTAATGGAGTATTTAACCGATCAGATTTTTTACCGCCCGAAGAAGTTTTACAACTGTGAAGATTACATTCAAGAAGCGTTTCCCCTTCAATTTTCCAAAATGGTGTACGAACTGGAGATGCAAGACAAGGAGGGCTTTGCTAAGCTGAAAGAAAAAATCTTCGAAGAAGGAAAAGCGATTAAGAAAACCGCTGAAGGCATGCTCCGAAACGCAAACTTCAAGCAGAATCAGACCCGACAGAATTATCTGGACAGATTGGCGAAGAATGAGTTCAAATTTGTGGATCATCCAATTCTTTTGGGAAATGAGCTAGCTTCAGTGGATCTGTTGCATTGGGATGCGCCGTATATGAGGAGATTTGTGCATGGAATAGCCAAGGTTTTTAAGTTCAACTCGGAGAAAAAACTGAAGAATTTTGTCGTCCCAGAGTACAAGGTAAGTCTATTCGTAATATTAAGAGTGAAGACAGAAGATTTCGGAGGAAAATTTTGAAAATTTTTCGAATTCACTTTTTTTTCGATTTTGGAGTATTTCGTGCTCTCTCTGCCTCTCTGCGCCCTCTCTTCGTTTCCCGCTCTTTCGCTCTCTCTCTCCTTTTTTTGCGCTCTCTCGCTCTTTCTCTCGAAAAAGAGAGAGAGCGCGAAACGGAAAGAAGGCGCTGAGAGGCAGAGACAGCACGAAATAGCGCGCGTTTCTCTCGTTCTCTTCGTTTTTTCTCCCTATTTCTTCGTCCTAGTCAACAGTTATTGACCCCTCACCCAGTCAAGAATCGCGGGATTCCTGAATGGACCACAGTCAGGAAGTTTTGACTGTACGAAGAGTCAGGAACCCCGCGAATCCTGACTCCCAGTCAGGATTCGGCAAAATTTTTCGAAAGTTCGGCGCGAATTACTAACGAAAATAAAAAAAATTTTTGCGCCCAGGGGTCAACTGTTCCCCGGGAGTAAACTCTGGATTTACTCGCCGGCACCTTCGGCGAGTAAATTCTGAGTTTACTCCAAAAAAAGGCGAAAAAAAAGTAAACTCGGAATTCACTCCAAAAATGGAAATTTTGAAAGCTATTTCGATTACTACTCGCCGACTCATAAAATTTCTCGATTTTTACTCTCTTTTTCAAAAAAAAGTGAATTCGAAAAATTTTCAAAATTTTCCTCCGAAATCTTCTGTCTTCACTCTTATATGGAGTAAACATTTGGGGAATGCGGTTTTCTAACTAAAACGGGATAGGAAAAATAATAGTAATTTTTTCTATTTTTTCCAGGAATAAAGTTTTGATATTTTATCTTCAGTTTGGTGCTTCCCACTCTCGCGAGAACCAGCATAATTACTTTCACTTTCGCGCTGTTCAATATCCATTCTACGATGTCGCCTTTCCCGCGTCTCTCGATTTCTCTGGAGCAGGGTTTATGATGTCCCATGAATTAGCCCATACCTTCGGCAAGTGATAAAATTTACCTGAAAAATAATCTCCCGTTTTTTAGGAGATAATTTGCTGCAAAGTCATGAGGACCCTGACAAGGAGCATCGTGCTCGGTGGGACTGTATTACAAAGCTCTATAGTCAACAATGTCATCCACAATGGCCGAACTTCTGTGTGAATCCAAACAAGATCGCCGACGAGGCATTTGCGGATCAAGTTGGTGAGTATTAGCCGCATTATGGCAGGACTAATAGATAAAAAATTCTTGGGGGCGGTTATCTTCTCTGGAAGTTTACCGGGAGGAGCTGGCGCGCTAAAATGGTTGAGCCTGAACTCTCCCCCTTTTTTGACTTTCACCAAAAAATCTGAACTTTCCCCTTTTTTGAACACTTCCCCATTTTGAAAATTGAAAAAATGAGGTGTGACATGTTATACGATGGAATTTTGTTTTCAAATTGAAAAAATGAGGTGTGACATGTCATACGATGATGATAAGATGTCACACCCAATTTTTATTTTCAATTTGAAAAAAAATTTTCATCGTGTGACATGTCACACCTTATTGTTTTCAATTTGAAAAAAAATTTTCATCATTTAACATGTCACGACTCATTTTTTCAATTTTCAAAATGAGGAGGAGTGTTCAAAAAGGAGGAGGGTTCATTCAAGGGGGAGTGTTCAAAAAGATGGTCCATTTTCATTCTGCAGCGGCGGAAAAAGGGAATTTTTTTCGAGATTATATAAGCCCTAAAACAAGTCGTCCACACGCTTAGACTTACCTCAATGTCATTTTAGGTATTCGTCTGGCCTATTTTTCCCATTTCGTCCCTGGAAATATTTCGGAGCCCCGAGTAATTCAACAGTTCTCCAATAGGCAACTTTTTTTCATCAACATGGCCCAGACAATTGCGGTGACAGTGCGTTGGAAAGACTACAAAGCAGCGAATCCCCATCCGCCAGCTCGAGTTCGTGTTTGGGGAGCACTTGCCAACTTTAAAGGATTTGCCGAGGCTTTTCGTTGCCCTGTTGGTTCGAGGTATCATCTTCCACCGGACCAAAGATGCAACATCTTTGACTTTGACATTGCTAGCACCACTACCACGACGACCACGACAACTACGACCACAACTACAACGACCAGTACAACAACGTCTACAACAACTACTACAACGACTACAACAACTACTACAACGACTACAGAAATTACAACAACGGCTGCAACAACGACTACGCCAACTACTACTGAAGCAACTGCTGTGACGACTACAGAAACTATAACAACGACTGTACCAGCTACCACTGCAACGACTACGGAAACTACTGAGGAAGCTACTACAACAATGACTACAGAAAAAGCTACAACCAGCACTACAGCACCAGTTGTAACTGACGGAACTCCTCATGCCAGTACGAACACTCCACCGGCCCCTGGACCAACCAAATCAACTCCAAACCCACGTACGACTACTACGCAATCTACACCAAGAATTACTCCATCTCAGCCAAGAACCACTCCCTCTAAGCCAAGAACTACTCCCTCTGAGCCAAGAACTACACCTCCTACGGCAAGAACTACCCCTCATACGCCAAGAACTACTCCTTCTGCGCCAAAAACCACTCCCTCTGAGCCCAGAAGTACTCCCCCTAAGCCAAGAACTACTCCCTCTCCATCTTCACCGGAACCAGACTATAACCACGAAGAATATGGAGAAGTTGCCCCCAAAAAGTCGATTCTGTTCTCACCGCCGTCTGTCTTATATCCCATATTGGCATTTGCATATATTATGTTCCAATAAACAAATTTAGGTTTAGTTTACTCGGTTACGAAAATTAGAAAAGACTCGCCAAACACGTACAAGTGATAGTTTTATCCAACCAAACGATACAACTGGGGAAATGCGACTAAGAGTAAACAAGTCAACAATAAAACCGGGACCAAACTGTAACAAACGAATAATACTCGGGCTCACGCCCTCGCGCGCCCTTCTTCTGACCTCTACAACCTCTGATCCAATCCTGTCCTATCCCCATCTATCCCTTATCTGAAGTCCTGTTCTAGCCTTCATTCTGGATTCCATCGTAGTTGCTGCAGAATGCCAATAAGTGTTTCTGTGGTGAGACCATTTGCGGATATCCCTGTGACTTGTTCTTGAGGTTCCTCGTGATTGTTAGTCATGGTGCTGCTCTAGGTCCCACTTTTATTCAACTTTTAAACCCGAATTTGAAATCATAGGCAACGAAGTGGTCGCGTGGTCCAGGTTCTTATTTTTAATAAAATTGACATTTTTTTGTAACACCGGAGGAAACAGACAATTCAGAACCTTACACTAAGATTCACTGGCACTTTTACTTGGGTAAACTCGGGAGGGAAAATCATTAAGATAAATAAAATAATAATCGTAAAAAGGTTCAAATTCAACAAGATTGTAGTACATACGGTTGGAGAGTAACTATTAGTATCTGTTAGGTGCCGTGGCCAATTTCATGCTTCTCTTACTTTCTGAACTTGTTTTTGTTTCTTTTTCCATTTTTGGGCTTTTTTCCCTTCTCTTTCTTCGTGATTTTTCCTTTTTTGATGATAATTTTCTGGGTCTTGTGAGTATCCTTGATATACTTCTTGACCTTGACTTCCGGGGAGAAGGACACCTTCTTTTCCGAACTGGAGCTTTCATTCAAAATCTGCTGAGTCCTCTTGAGCACTCCAACAATATTCTTTGACTTCTCCACGACCACATTCATCTTGGGGATCTTCGAAATCACGCTGTTGTTAACCAAGAGTATACCCTCCAGGAACAAGAACTTGCATAACTCTTTAGATTCTTCGACATCTGATCCCAATTCCTTGATCGCCGTCCACTCCGGATAACTTTTGAGGAGGACTTCAATTAGGGGTACCCAGGCCGGCTGAACGTCAATAACAGTTTCGGGACGGCCTTCGTACACCATCGAGTTGTGGATTCTGTGGACTAGGAATGGCTCATTGTCAGATTGGAACAGTAATCTAAATAGTTTAGATCAAAAATTATATTATACTTGATTGGACTCACCTCTGAGTGTGCTTTCTGATGATTCTGACCTCAGTGTTGTTATTTAACTCGGTCAGTTTGGGGATAGTTCCGCTGGATCCGAACACAGACAACTGTTTTTCGTCTAAAATAAAAATTTATATTCTCCATAACAAAAAATTAAAAACGTCGATGATCCTACTTACATGGAGTCAAAAGAGGCGGGAGAGATCTTCTAATCGCAGTCCGGATCACCGAGTCCACCACTGATGGCACGACAGCCTGGACGTTCATCTGGTGTTGTTCAAAGTAGATCTCCAAAGGATCGATCAGCCTAAATTTCAATAAAAAATAAGAAGTAATACTCACTTCTTCTCCACTTGATCCTCATTATCATAGTTCGAGTCCGCGACTCCACAAATCTCGGCCAAATTTATTGGCAAGTTCTTTCTGACCTGAGGGATAGACAAAGTCTGAGCTTCGACCAGTCGATCCATGGCTTCTTTCATGAGTTCCGAGTAAGTAAAGTTCTGAGCAAGGCTGATGGTCACATGAAGAGAGTCCTGATTTTTGTCGGCTGTTGCGCAATGAATATAGCCTCTGGGCATGTAGAGGACATCTCCAGTTTCCAGCCATCCATCAAATACCAGGGTGCCCTTCCTGGCTTCCATTTCTTCCTTGCTAAAGTTGTGTGAAGACTCCAGAGGCCAGATCTCATCAGTGTCTGATGGGCCATAGACCTTCCAATGCTTGCGGCCTTCGGTTTGAATCAAAAACGCGTCAATATCATCCCAATGAGGAGCAAAGCCAGCGGTGTTTTTGGGGGTGTAGTAACTAAAGTAATACAAAAAGTTAGCAAAAGTCCTCCAGATGATGTTACCGCACAAAACTTAACAAAAGCCTACCAGTTAGCTCCGACAAAACAATTGAACAACTCCTGGAACTGGTCGCAGATATAATGAATATTCTTGTTGAAGCTCTGAGGGTTTACAACTTGGATCGAGCAGCCATCGGAAAAGTGTTGCACTACTCTACCGGCAGTCACACGGCCATTTCCATTATGGGTGGTCCTCACGCTGTTCTTATATTTGGCCACATTCACGTTGACACCATATTCCAGGAAATTCTAAAAGATGAACAAACGATAAATCAACTTACATCTTGGAAGAGTTTGTAGAAATCAGTAGCTGGGAACACATCAGCATAGAAGCTCCTTAGGTTTCTGTGGATAACCAGTGCTCTCTTGGCGTAAATATGCCTAAAATTGAATAATAAAAAAACGTTTGAAATTCGATCTCAAGTATAATATAAAGAATGCACAAAACAAAAATCTGACTATTCCAAAACTTACTGGAAAAAGTCCTGAGGATTTACTGGAGCTACGAACCATCTGAAGGCCTTGACAGAGGCATTAACTGAGTGTTCATCGGCCTTGTTGAAGCCAAACAGTTCATATTTGGGAGCTTCCCATTTGTAATCCCGCTTTCTGGAGACCTCGACGTAAGTTGGCCCGGGTTCAAGGACATCAAATCCCACGATCGTCAAGCCAATGGGTTCGTTGACAACACCATGGGGACTGAGGAACTCCTTTCTAACCTGCTCATCGAAGCCAAAGGATTCTTCTTCATCACTGTCTTCGAATTCATCTTCAAAATCAGGATCGTCACCAGTACTGTCAATCAGAATGTCGTTGATTTCATCTTCGTCCACAGGATCCGCATCCTCCAGCTCTTCGTCGTCTCCATCATCGTCTTCATCAAAGTCCGAATCCTCCTCGGAATTATATTCATTATCCGCTTCCATTTCGTCGTCTTCCTCAATCACAGCTCTCTTCTTTCTCTTCTCAATCGCCTTTCCATTCACTTGAAGGGCTCCATTGTCTTTATTTGGAGATTTGAGACCTCTTTCGATCTCTTCGTCAGTGTCCATTTCTTCAATCCGATTCTCTTCATCAGTAAATTCAGCCGAACCCTCGTCATCAAAATCTCCATCTTCAGCCAATTCATTTTCAAAATCTTCATCGTCGATGAAATCAAGATCTTCTTCGTCCAGCTCATCTTCTCCTTCGAGACCATCACTTTCCCCCTGAAATTTTAAATATATTGTACTTGATAACATAATTTTTTATTTTCTATTGTCATATAGAAAACTTAGCCGGAAACCGGACCAAGTGTATACGCATTTTGAAAAAAGTTTCTAAAACAAAAGCATCAAAAGCCTTACCTCCAAATCGTCGACATATCCAAAGATTTCGTCTTCAGCTCCACTTTCATCAGAATCCACTTCCTCAGCATCCCGATTAAAGTATTGCGCGACATGGGCAGCAAGTCCGAGGTCGGACTCATCCTCAGAATCGAGCTCGAACTCTTCATCCTCGGCATCTTCGGCTTCCATATCAACATCACCTTCGTCACCAGGAGACTGGACTTCATAGCTCACATCTTCATCCTCATCGAAGTTCAACCGGCGTCGCACAACAGGGCCTGGTTTGAGATCTTTCAAAGAGATAAAGGACGCGTCAGTAGCATCAGATCGGGCTGGAGAAGGTCCTGGGGCAGCAGGAGTGGTTTCACTACCTGATGAGTCAATAAATCTACCGACAAGTTTCGTTTTCTGACGTTTGATTGGTGAGAGGCCTAAAAATTATGTTGCTTCAAAGTACAACGTTCTCAATGACTCTAAATAAAAGAAAACAAAAAAGACACGTACCGTTGCCGAGAACATCTGCCCCGGAAATATCTCCCTTATCCTGGACTTGATGCCCATTCTCCTCTTTCTTCCCCTTATTCTTTCGATTCCTCTTTTTCTTCTTCTTGCCTTCAGAATCTCCATTTTGAACCCCATTAGAACCATTTTGAACCTTCCGCAAATCTTTAATAGGATCTGTTGAGAATCCTTTGGCTGCTTTCTTGATTTCAGCTAAAGAAACTCTTTTTGCATTTAACCCATCATTCCTCAAGGGTTTCTTCTTTCTCTCTTTACTAGGGGCTGCTTTCTCAGCAGCTTCCTTCTCTTTTGCCTTGGCCAAGTCATCTAAACATTAAGAATAATATAAAAAAGCTCCACTAACAGACTGGCATGTAGGCTTCGAGGTTGTCCCATTGTTTCTTCTTCTCGATTTCTTGCTTCCGACGTTCCTCTTGCTGTTTCCGGCCCAAAGCCAAGAGATCTTGATCAAATCGACGTCCTGGAGTGGAAATGGAAGGTTAAAGATTGTGGAAACTTACCCATTAGTTAAACCAAAAAAATTAACAAGAACAGTAACAAGTGATTGTGACGATTACAGCAAAACGTGCTAGAATTGCCGCGCAAAATCCCTAAATTTTGTGAATTATAGAAATTGGCTTGTGAGCGTAGCGCCACAATCGATTGATGCGGAGTGTCAAGAAGCGAGATGGCGCTCATTGTCAGGCAATCGACGTAAATACGAATTAAAACAAATCGTATGAATATACGGTTGTGTTAGTCTTTCAACTGCCGTTAGAAAGTTCATAAGATTTTATTTTTTAATTCACTGTACAAGATTAGAAGAGATAGACCGACTCAATGTCGTCATAAACCGCTTCGTGACGAGGCTGAAGGGATAGAAGCTTCCATTTGTACGCATCATGCATTGGGCCGTACTCACGCATCTCCTCCAGCTGATATTGAGAGACCTTAGCATCGTTTTCGGTATCTGAAAATCTAAATGTCGTTTATAAGGTAAACGAGGACGAAATATGCGAATTTCTTATTACCCACCGTATTCCAGGTTGCTGATTTCCTTTTTCAAACTGGTCTCCACAGAATCAGAAGTGACCTTGGTTCCAGAACTGATAGTTTTTGTCTCAGAATGACCTTGAACATAACCTTCAGAAGACTGACTCCAACTTTGATCGCTAGATTCAACAGAAACGGAGGAGTTGTCGGAATAGTAGCTCCATTGGGTGTCCTGAGTCAAAGCGGTCTGAGGTTCTGCAAAACAGACAGTTTTTCCAACATTTTCCACTCGATATTCACCTTGATCGATGAGCTGCGCAGTTGTTGTGGACAAGTTGTCAATGATCCTCTCGATTTCGGTTTGGGACAAGGCCATGCTTTGGACCTCTTCCAGGGAATTTTTGAGCTCCAAGCGGCGATTCAGCCACTCTTCAGATCGAGCCGTCATCGAAAATGAAAAAAATGTTTCAGTTTCCGTTAAAACATGCTTTTTTCATTACTTTTTTGTCCGAGAAACCGCTCGTTTTAATCTGTGTAATCCGTTTTGGCCTGGCACATTTAGACTTTTATTTTTGCGGTAGTCTCCGGTCAATTACTGTAAATATCATGCAAATTATACCGTCAATATATGTATGTATACAGAGACATCTTTATTTTAGGCTGTGGATTTTTGGGAAATGTCAAGTTGTGACATTCGGTTTGTATAATCTAGACATGCATGACAAATATAGAATGATTACTCATTGTCAGACGGCAGTCTGGATGGAGAAATGTTACATTAAAGTAATCATGAAGAAGGAAGATACTTTTATTTTTAGTGAAGACGAAGGGTTTCGCAGATGAATACGTGTTTAAATTATGACGTAACTTTGCACAGATTTGTTATATATAGGATAATATGAAGATTGCAGGCTCAATTACTAACGCCATACACAACGATGACAAACAATGTGCTTGCAAGGCTTCACTGTTAAGGATTGTTTTTAGCAGCTTTTTTGCATAAATGCTTACGATTAGATCAACTTTGATCTTGCTAACTGTCCCAATTTTCTACAAGGGTTTTTTTCTACCGTAAGACTAGACATTTTCTACCCCAAACAACTACGGTATTGCACTTATACATTGCAGGTTTCTTACCTGCCAAAAACATTTAACTCATAAATATTCAAATGCCTTTTTCAAATTGCCCTCTTATTCCAAGTTTAACTTCAACTATTGTCGGGTCTGCATGTCTTATTTCTTGTTTGACGTACCAATATGTGTTTACAAATGCCAATCAGGCTATTTGAATGTTCAGGATTCGTAGATGAGACGGTAGTACTAATTAAAATTAGAATAAATTATGTGGCAGATTTCATTTCCCGGTACTGATGATGTGGATTGAGTTGCGTGACCTCGAGGGTCAGAGAGTGACACTTTGCGTTACGAAGGTCGTGTAAAAGTGTGCTCGAAGCGTCATCGCCCTTGTGTCTTTATTTTGTTGCGTTTTCGAACTGTATGTTAACATTGAAGGAAAGTAGGTTGTTTTGGATTTTATTTCCATAAAAGCCCTTGCCGCGCGTTGCCTTCACCCTTAACGACCCCGAAACTAGTTTCGCGAAACTCTATGTACTCCTTTATTTACATCATTATGAAATCAAAAATTAAGAAAGCATGTCATTCCGTATCACAATTGGTTCCTTGGGAATGGTTTGAAAAGGCCTATGTGCGATAACGTCTGGTGATTACCAAGTTTCAGAGAGTTCATCGTAATTTTTTCATAACGTATTTTAGAATAATTTAGCGTGTAATTGGTGTTGTTGGGACTAAAGTATCAACAGGTTCGGTAGATGGTTGGTACGGTACATTCTTGCTTTTTTGCGTGATTGGGTTCGAATGTTTTGGATGGGACACTGAGAAAACTGTTGCCGTGCCCGACGGCTTCTCGAAATTGGCTAACAAGGAACGAAACAGATACAAATATTGTCGCTAAATTTTTGCTATTTGTTGTGTGGGTTGATAAATAATTCTGCATTTTAGTGTCCAACTTTAATCATCATTTACCCTGTATAATCTACAGCATAACGCCTACACTCTGGGTTTCATTGGTTTTCCCATTTCTGGAACCAATACTATATCGCTTCCGTTTCCCTGAACGCTCGTCGTATATATGCCTTCCAATTAATCTTAAATTGCTATTTTATATTTTTCCTCTCGTTTGAAATTCCCAACCCAAATACAAAATTTAAGGTAATCGAAAATATTCGATTAGAATTTCCTCCTTTTTGCAGCTGTAAATTAACCCGCTACGTCTTCCGTATTACGCAACGTCCCTTATAATTTGATTACAAATTATCCTTATATGGATGATTACATTTCTACGAACTAATTGCATCCTTCAAATGCATAAGAGGCCCCGGTATTATCTTCGTGTTATTTGAGCCATTATCAGGTCTGGGACGTGTAATTGCAACCGCAATCGTAACGGATGTATGTTACTTCCGTGTCTAATAATGCATGTAGAAAGCATCAACGTGTTTTTAGAGATTAGAGATTTTACAGACGAAACAAAGGGCTGAGCTGACGCCGAATTTGCACAGAAACAGAAATTTTGGGAATTTTTTATGCTGTTTTAAAATGTAAAATTCCTGAACTTATTGTTACACTTTTGCCTCCCCATGCCCTTTGCGTTGCTTTAGCCACCTGCTGGGCCAAAATTTTCCCGTAGGCCTAGTATAACATAAATCATTTTTCCAAGCCGTTGGTATTTGGCTCTTTCAACTACTAACTACCGTAACCTTTTGTCAAAACATTTCTAGCAAATTTTGCAGCGCCTTATATTTCCGCGACGAAATATGTCATGTTTTCATAATCTTGGTGCAATTAAAACGAAGAAAGAGATAAGCTGCATAAACCGCTTTGAGGGGATTTTGGAGCACGCGATGACATAGGTACTGTAAGAGTTTGCTTTGCAAGGACCGGCAATCGCATTGAGTCATCACAGATATTTTGGGATCAAAAGGCAGGATTGCGCACAACGCAATATTTATCCGTTCTGATTTTAACTTTAGGCTACGGGGAATTTATATAATTCGAGTTGACTGAGAAAATTAAGTCAAATTATCCGCACGTGGTCGGATGGGATCGCTTAATTTTGAAAGGCAAACGGCGCCCTAAGGGATCGCATTTCGAAATTCTTTTTGAGTATAAGAATCTTATGAAAGCTTAAAAATTTTATGGAAAACCCTGAAAGCGTCTAACTTTGACTAACTCGTTACATACCAAAAGAAGAAAATTATATTTTTTATACATGGGTTCAAGAAGTAGGTCTTACCGCAAGCCGAAGGTGACAATCTGACACGGCGGGCGCACACTTGCGGGCAACCACTTTGCGGGCAACCGACACCTGATTGTGAGGGTAACAGGGTGGAGGGGGAAAAATTACTATGATATTTTGGAAATTTGCCGACATTTGCGGGCAGCCGACATTTGCGGGCAACCGGCACTTGAGGATAACAAGGTGGAGGTGCAAAAATTACTCCGATATTTTAGAAGTTTTCCGACATTTGCGGGCAGGCAATACTTGCCCGAAACCGACATTTGCGGGCAACAGTTCCAAAAGTTCCTATACAGTCTATGTGATTGTTTTTCCCTGTTGCCCGGAAATGTCGGCTGCCCGCAAGTGTCGGCTGCCCGCAAATGTCGGCAAATTTCCAAAATATCGCAGTAATATTTCCACCTCCACCCTGTAACCCTCAGGTGCCGGTTGCCCGCAAATGTCGGCTGCCCGCAAGTGTCGGTTGCCCGCAAGTGTCCCAGGCTGCCCGCAAGTGTCTCAGCTGCCCGCAAATGTCTCAGCTGCCCGCAAATGTTTCAGCTGCCCGCAAATGTGACCCCCCAAATTTTGCCCGCAAAGTGGCTGCCCGCAAAAAATTTGCCCGCAAACTGGTTGCCCGCAAGTGTCGCGACGCCATCTGACACCTTTGTTTTTTCCTCGAGACTGCTTGTTTACTCATTTTGTTTTGCAAATTTCTCTTGCAATAAACGCATTAGTTTCCTGTGTGAAAAACGAAAACAACCTCGTGCTTATTGCTCACCGACGAGATCAATTTTAATTTCCTTATTTTGATGTTTTCGCAACCGGGATATCGCAATGCATTTATCCGCTTAGTTAAAGTCGATTGTAAATAAATTCTTCCGTACAAGGAAGTTTGCATTCTTTTCGTCACTTTCCCGGTATAATCTGAATACAAGGCTTTGTATGATGTCAGGGTTGTAGGCTGGGATGTACCAGGGATTAGTCGGGAAACTAGGTTTTCCATTAGTGTAATGTGACAATATTGCGTGAGTTGATGGCTATTTAGTACGTTTAAAAATACTTACTGAATTATTGCTGTTAAAACTAAAACATTGTAAAGATAATAACTGAAATATCGTGAAGATAATAAGTTACTGAGGTAAAACACCGTTTCACATTAGACCTTATCAAAAAAACCTGATCACAACACTTTTCTGCTTTTTCATTTATCAATATTTTTTTGTAATCTCCCCCACATTCCTTATTTTACGATTGCTTTTTACTCTCTTTTTTATCTGTTTTTTATCCCACACACTTGGATTTATCCGTGGGATTTCCAGTGGGTGTATGTTTATATGTTTACTGCGCATTAACACTGTCTCAATAAATCTCTTTAATCTGAGTGAAGCAGACTGCTATGTCTGGGGTATCTTCCGAAAAATTTTCGTGTGAATAAGAAAGACCAAGTTGTGGTGAAGTTCCTTGTATCAATTAGTAAAAATGCGTACGATGCTTGTAAAGGAGGTCGTCTAAGGAAACAACACGCCGACTTTCAGTAGTTTTCATCTACGGCTTAGAAGACGTTACCGTCTAACTTTCATTGGCCTTTTTTCGTATTGAAACCTTTCCACAAAAAACTCCATTAAATTTTTTCTGTAGTTGATGATATGGAAATGTTTCAAGTCTTCTTTTAGCTTGAGTTTATATTTTATTTGAGGTAGGCGAAAGTCCGATGGAAGACGCGTTCCAACGGAAGACCACTTACCTTCTATTCAGCTTGTTAAACCACTGGTTTAACTTTGGGCCATAGGCGAAATATTTCAAGCATTAGGAATCTGTGGTTTTGAAACTCAAAGCCTTCCGGGAATTCGGAAGATATTAGTAACGCTTTATATAACCCTAATATCCTTCATCAAATTAATCGCTTGTAATGGCATTATCAAATATTTTTACAAGAGTTTTTAATTGAGTGGGATTGGATTTTTTGCTATACATATATATTATACTTATATGTATGTATATAAAAAGATTTATAAAATAATATTTACATATTTCGGCCATGTGGCACTTGAGATAATCCTTAAGCCCACAGGGTAAGGATTCTTTGTTACGTAGTAATCATCGTAACTTCCTGGCAACATCCGAAACGGTAATCTGCATTTCCGGGGTTTGCGTATGTTGTCCTCGACGTTTCGCTTAAAACATTGCCAAGATTAATGGGAAGACGTTGTTGGTACACTGCCATTTAAAGAGATTCTAAATAACTTACGGATATGCGACAATGCAGTGAAAAAGTGACTACTATTAATGGTAGCTTCCGTTAGTCGTCGATGTTTGAAACTGTATGATGTACTTATAACAGCTACGGAAACAAAAGATAATATATTCATGGATACGTAGGAAACTTTGATATGTCTCTATTGCAGGTGTGTTGAGCTCAATTTACGATTAATGGCCGGAAAAAAACGAGCGCCGCGGCGGTCTGTTGCTTTCTATGAAAAAAGTTGACGCATGGGTCGGGTCTTCCCTTTGCAGAGCTAATTTAAAAAAGCTGAGATTGTATTTTTAGATCTTAATGAAACTTTGGAGACATTGAAGCCGTGGTCCACGTCGACCGTATCTTACAACAAAAAATTATCTTTTGTTCCAAGCGGAACACTTGACAATAAGTCAAGTGCTTCATTCATTCCCCTTGTCCATTCCTCGAATGGAATTCGGTCTATGTGGACTCGGTGGTGTGATAGGATTCACAACGTGAAATAATCTTTTTTTTTTTGTTAATTGTTATACTGTAGGCTGTTCTGGGATTAATCCCGGCCAAACTCGTATTTTGAGAATTAATTGAGTTGTGTGTTCTAATCTCGTACGTTGTCGTACGTGCTGATTAAACACATCATCGGCGGATATTACAAGTCAAAAGAGTATGTCATGGTCCTTTGACCTTCATGTTATCTTCCCATGTTAAGCCATGTGTATGATAATACACATATACGGAAGAAGCGCATTGTATTCTTTTGCTGAGAATTTTTGGTTATATGTGTTAACGTGTGCTCTAAATTTTAAGTAGATAGATCACCTTTTGTCGCTGTTTAAAAAATTCGACCTATTTTCTTTCCTTTCAAAAATGCCGTAAGACTTTTACCAGTGATACCATACCGCTGTTTTCAGTTCCATCGACCGAACACAAACAAATTCAATTATTTTTTCTAATTAAGTTCCGCTCCTCCTCTTCGAAAGGTTGAGCCCATTGGTGGGTGGGGAAACAAATGCCAACTTTTTCATCATGTCCACTACAGTGAAAGAATGTTTTTCAAATGTCCTTTTTGGACTTCCCTACGTGACTTTGAGCCGATTGCGGCTGGTTGTAAGTCACTTAGGGTCTCCAGAACTATTTTTTTTTTGGTATGGTAAGGCTTAACCTAAAGTAAATTGTTGCTATGTTGGTTTGTAATATCCGCAAGTCCCGAGTGTTATGATAAAATGGCTCCTAGTCTATCGTGGTACACTGTAGGCTTTTTTCTAGATTTTTAAATTTTCTCCACCTCCGCACATGAACTTTAAACGAGGCTCCAGCGGCGTTGACTTTTTCTTTTGTCTGCTTTTTGGTTCCATACGCCCTGTTGGAGATTCATTTTTATTATGGAAACAGGAAGCGTTCCCAGTTCAAGTTCAACATGTTGAGACGTCAAAAAAATCGTGACGGCAGTTTTACATGGTTCAAAAATCTGGCAATCTTTGTTTTTGCCCTTTAAATTCATCTGTCATAATATGCGATTCTGCAGTGTAATAGCCTCCATTGTTAACTTACATTTTTGCCATTTTTTATATTTTTTTCTGCTGATCTCTCCGTGCTAATGTTATTTTCTAATAGAAGGTAACCTTTTCACTGGCATGCAAATTCTCCTTTTCCGAGATTTCATGTTTACGATGATGAATATTATGCATATAGTAATCACCGAAGGTTTCTTGCCAAAGGTATGTAAATGCCTTCCGCAGTAAGAATGCAAAGTTAATCCGTAACGGTAAGTAAATGCTGTGACGACAGGGCTTGACGTCTTCACTCGTGGGGTTTACGGTGTAAGGAAGGGCATCGATGGAGTCTTGTGATTCTTTGGTTTGGTATATAACGGAGGAGTTAAGAAGATTTCTTTTATTTCGTGGACTTGGTCAGGTGTGTTGATTTTGGGGGATGTATAGGTCTAATGGTTTCGAGAAAGAAGACGCCAAGTATTGCTTTTTAATACTATTGGTTGTATGTGGGTCGGACTTGAATTTTCCAATTCACTCTGTTCTATAGTCAGTTTAATTTACAGATTCTACAATTTCCTACATTACACTTACACCCTCGCCCCAAACTCTGCGTTCTCTCTAAGCCTTTTAGAATTTGCTCCGTTTCGAAGCCCAAATCCCATTTCCTTGGAATTTCTAAAAATATTCTAATTACATTACATCTGCACCTATACTTTAGTGCTTCCCAGCAAAGGATTTTTGCAAATTACCCTCTGACCTACTAATTCCATCCCTATTGGGCACTTGTATTATTAGAAGTAATCCAGTTCAAGTCTTTTTAAATTGCCGCTAATTGGAATTAACCGGGATTGAGTGCACACATACCTGCATGTTTTATTTCCGGCTGCAATCGGTCCGTTTTAAATTGGGGATAATTGGACGATTTAATGCAACAAAACTTCAGAGGCTATCGACCACCGCTTGAGTCATCAAATGTCGACGAAACAGGACAGAAATGGGTGGGATGTAAATGGGATGTAAAGGGGAAGGTTAAGATGGCAAACGAGTTTCGAACGAAATTCCTAGATGAACAAGTCATCCAGAAAATTGGCCTTCAAATGTTGGATGAAGGAGGCTTAGTTAATGCTCGAACTTTTTTGTTTTGCCCTTCTAACAGGGAGCATAAAGAAGTTTAGTTCACGCATTGGCAAGTACTAGTCCCTTCTTTGTTGATGATAGTCTATGAAGAGTGCAGAGAGGCTTTAAATTGCAAATTTTTATAACCGACGTACTGTAAACAGGACAGGGGCGTTCACTTTATTCAGAGACACACGGAACAGAATGAACTCGATTAGTCGTCACCAATTCCTAACAGTGTGCAATCGCAGCTAAAAACCCAAATCTTTTCCAAAGTTTTTCACGAAAATTATGTCAGGCCGGCTCTCCTCGTTTTCCGTAGTATCTTGCAGAGATACCGCCAAAACTTTCTCATTTCGTTGGCTTTTGACACTAGGCATGTCTATAATTTTGAAATAGTATTGTGCATTGAAATTTATTACTTTTCGACTGCAAGTATTACTTCGCTCCCTTTCCTGATCGTTCAAATTTTTTTATCTTTTCGTAATTTTCGTAATTGCAGCCCCTAATCGCGGTATGTGCTCTTAATTGCCTCCCAAATACAAAGAGAGTGATTTAGCCGGGATTATAAGCCAATTAGTCAGTGGATCGGGATTAGATCTCTTTTTCTGTGACGCATCCTTTATGGTATTGGCTATCTTTAGCGTGGATTATTTAAATGGGCGGGGTTATTGTAACTTTTTTATTTGTCATTTAGAGAGACGAAGATTAGAAGAGTGTCTTGATCCAGAATTGTCATGTCTGCTACGCGTTATTCTTGTAGTCTTGGCGGTTGCAAACAGTCTGACGATGACTAAGGAGGTTTGTAAAATACGCAATGCCTTTAATTTTTTAAGTCAATTTTTCCTTTTATTGGCAAGTTTCTACACCATTTTCCTTGTTTTGCGTGTTTTTCTCTATAATACCACCTAAATGGCTGACTGTTTTAATAAGTTTACATCGGTGGAAGTAAATTCCAAAGTACGCCGGAATTTTAATTTACTCCTTGATGTCTACAGCTCAATTTCATAACGGTTCATAAATGTGAAACGGCATTCCATCATTCCTTCGCACTTCTACACTTCCTTATGGTTCATTTTTTTAATTTTAAGGGTAATTTATATTGCATTACATTTGGTAAGATTGCGATATGACAATTCCTCAAAAACTTTTTCAAAACGCCCGGTACACCTTCTGATTTTGAGTGTTTTTCTTGGTCGGCCGAACTCTTCAAACTTTTTTATGGATCATATATCGGATGCCGTGCCAACAGCAGAATTCAGCGTCACGACTTGGCGTTCCCTCCGCTTGAAGGCTGCTCGCAAATTTCCATTTTTTACACCTCCCGTGAAACATTCTGTGCTCTTTCAAAATGCGGGAATAACCTTGGGCGTGCTGCCCGCAGGGCAATTATTTGAAATTCCTGAATTTTGATTATTTTTGGCATTCATGACGAGTTTCGTGAACAAGCATGGATACTGAAAAGTACTGTGTTTTTGTTGCAAATTTAATGCTTTATTTTCCAGGGTCGATGGCTTCATTGGTTCGTTTAATTTTGTTGCTTTCTCTGATCTCTCTTCAAATCAGCGCTCTTCTACCCATTCACAAAGCAGATATGCGATTGATGAGGGTAAGTGCTGGGAGATGTTTCAATCATAGAAATTTGAATATTTCAATGTTTGAAAACTATTTTTTACTAAATTATAAAAATTAAAAATTTTAGTTTTTTCTGAATTTGAATATTAAAATTTTCCGATTTCAAAAAAGTTCAATATCTTTTCAAGAAATTATTGTTTGATATTCCAAATTTGAATATTTTTTGAATAACTTGTCTAATTTTTTCGTTTGCAGGTCCAAAAGCGCTTCTACAATTGGGAAGCCTCGCATCCGGAGAAGCGATTCTACAGTTGGGACTCAACTCAGCCTCAAATCTCGGCGAAAGAAAGGGACTTCGTCAAGCAATTCTTGCAACGACGAGGAGGCGCTGATTGGCTGCGACAACACAAAATGTTTTCGCAATTCACGAATGTCGACTTTCTACAGTGACACCAAACTCGGGGTCGAGGCCAACGGAATCCGCCAAACATGAATAAATTTGCATATTTCTCTTGAAAGGGAGATTTTCGTTACCCTCATAGTTGTAATAAGTTATTGTACATTTGAAGCCCGACCCGCTGCGGTCGCAGGAATAAAGTGCTATTTTCTTGTGATGTCAGAAGCGAGACTAATGTCCGCAGGGCACGGAAGAGAAACCTGGAATGTGACTATTTAAAGGGACATTTGGATGGAATTACATCGCTGTCTGCAACGAATACATGATTACTGCAACAACAATTTGTTGTGTAAGAGAAACAAAATTAGAATACGGGGTTTGTTTTGGATTACTGGGATTGGACCCATATAAAATTTAAACAAATTTAACGGCCATAACAAGATTATTAAGGGTATTAGATTTCCTGGAGTAATTAATTTACATTAAAAACGGGGATATTTTACAATAAACAAGATTGATTACTCAAAAATCTCAAAATACCACAGAAGGTTAAGCGGAGATATCTCTGTAATGCAATTTACAGACAAAATTACTGTGCTAAAAAACACCCATCGGAATTGTGAACGACTCAAGTGCCCTTTTTCGACTATGTAGAATGAACCTCCGCATAACAAAACCGCGTGCAGCTATAATATTATAAATCAAAGAGCCACGAAGATTCTGTGGACACAATTGGGAATAGCCAAAGTTTTCTTACAACAAGAAGTGTACCAACGATTTGTCAATGCAAAATTTCATTATACCTGATAGCAGAAGATGTTTGCCCGCAGGAGTCGCGGCACTAACAAAACCCTTCTAGAACGAGTAATCTTGGTGGTCCGCACAATTCGGGGTACAGGAGCTGGTTTCAATTTGTTGCCCGCAGACGAGGATTTATTAATTTCTCCCTCACGCTAAAATGAGTTTCGATTTTATTGCGTGAAGTTGGCAACTTTGTCCAATGCGTAAAGGAACAGTGTTTCTACAAGACATTAAACTCCTTCAAAGTTATTTGTGAACTTTATGGTAATGCCAGAAATTTCTTCTTATCGTCTGACAGAATTTTGTGGAGCATCAAGGATGTTTGAATATCTCTGAAACCCGAAGGCTCTTTCTTTACGCTTTTTAGGAAGTGTAAATCCATTCTTTGACTCGACGGGATTGTATAAGATCTGCGGTAATCAAAATTACTAATTTATTAAGAAAAATTCTTACTCCACCTTTGCAAGTGACTAGAAAAACACAGAAACAAAGCTCTCTTTTCCTTCCCAAGATCAACGGTCATCATCTTGCAAACAGTGTCCTGATAACATCCATAAAACTTTGAAGTCGCTTTTAACGTAAAACGTTGCATACCAAGATGCACCCGGAGACGATCTGAATATTCGATATCCTCGTTTTGTTTTTTGTTTAGTTTACGCAAACATCGCAAGATCAGGGCGACAAAAAGTAACAGGAAACGGGGCTGAAGTCAAGGCCCGCAGGGGATCTTGTCCTATCTCTTTTTTATTTTATCTTCTTTTTATTTATAAGGCGACGAAGATTCCGAACGTGATTTTCACGCTTCCTTTCTTGTGAATATCAGTAGTTTACAGTGTTCAAAAGAACACTTTTTAAGGTCAAAGTTTTGAAATCGCACAAAGTGTAAATTTGCTACCACATGCCGCTGTTTTATAATAAAAACAATTAATACTATTGAGTTTTTGTTATTGATTTAGCCTACCATATAACATATAAACAGGATTTGAGAATGGCTTATTTGGGATAGGTTTGTTGTAAACTTGGGGAACTTGCTCAAGATTACGTTATCAGTATTTGCAAACAACAATCATTGTTTCACCGAAACGCTGTGGCTTTTGTAATTCCTAAACGAAATTAAGGTGTTTTGAGGTCATGATGAAACTTGGTCAAAGTAACGACCTCCCCTTTTTGGGACGGATAGTTGTTTTTAGCATCAAGAAGTGCGCAAAAGTTGATTTTGGGCCATTTCATGTGGAGCGGCCAACAAAAAGATGTCTGAATTCAAGACATCCTCACGTAGAAATTTTAGCTCACCGTTTCGGATATGGAGTCTACTTGTATCACTTTATATTCCAATCTGATGTTCTTTCTTTGTCACCCTTGTCCGTCGCAACTTCCGTTGTCCATGACTCTTCCATATATTTTTTGTCGTTTCAAGAGACCAAGGCCTCTCCACATAAACACCATGATCTTTCACTTTTGCTAATCCAGCATTTTTTAAACCACAAATTATAGCGTGCTTGTTGCTGGAAGACCCTTGAGTCAAGTAGACAAACAAATAAAAGTTTCTGCAAAAACTCGCATAACAAGTGAAGATTTTATTCTACAGAATATTGGTTTTGAGCTTGACGAGTACTTTGAGAGATTCTTTACTTCAAAACCCCTCAGGGTAGCCGTTTCTTATCACCGGTTGCTCGCAAAAAAATACAACTTGCAATATTTTTTATTCGGAAACTTTGTTTTTAAACCCAAAATAGATATGATAGGGGTGTATATTGTATTTGCTTTTGTTTTTTCACCCTTATCACAATTAACCCCGTTCTTCTTCGCTTTTATGATCTCGCGATTAGGTCGTGTTATCTATCGGGCAATTACCGGGTTGTATAAATGAGAGAGTAGAGCGGTAAGATTGTAAGGTTACATCATGCAGTTGGAGGGGTCTTTTTACAGAACGCGATGCCTGTCAGAAGGGTATACTTCCTCGAAAAGTTCTTAAATTTTATTTTTCTTCAAGTTTTGTTAAAGTCTGGGCTAGAGGATTTCAGGAAATCAACGCTTTATTTACAGAGGAAGCGCTAGAAATGCAATTTTCTATATATTTTGCACAAATATAGTGCTTCGGGGACATATAAAATCCTGAAAAAATTAGGCTTGCGTTTTTTAGCGGCACCTGACAGCAAGATATTCCGCGGTTTTTGCCAACGAATAGGCAACATACATGTTCTCTGTGGAAACGCGGCGTTGCCCAATAATACTTTGGCTGAAGCTGAACATGGACAAGTCATCGATTTTCTCCAGATTTTCAAAATTAGTCGTTTCAGCGAAGCGCAAGCCCAGGGCACGGCAACGCTAAAAAAAAAAAATGTTTCCCGCCCACTTTTGAGTTTCGTCCAAACGAAGTGTCAGAATTGACAAAAGAAATAAAATAATTACGAGAAAAATATTTTTTGGTCGCGAAATCCCACGAAAGATTCTTTTGTGACATTTCCGATACAAAATGGGCGAAGTGTCGAAAGGAGCCAGGAAACACTTCGGGTTGCCGTGGAGGGTGTCTTCTTTGTAGATTAGAAGTTTTAAAAATGAGGAGCAGACTGATAAATTCTCTCATGCGTTTCAACGTTTTGTTAGAAACGTCTGTTACGGTATTATTATCGTCCCTTCCGCCTTTACTATTTTATTCCTCAAACCCTCACCTTCTGACAAAAAATTATAGTTTCGTAATTCACGGAACGAACAGTCTAAGCTAAAATATAATTAAACAGAGGGATTAGTCGACGTATATGTCTAGTTGCACCGCTGTTTACTTGTACCGTCTAATCCAATCACATGCATTCAAAAGTACGTCGCTAAATCGTCGGGATTTAATTCAGCCTAGAAACGAGATACGGATAATCGGTATGGATGTCAAGTATGGCAGTCTTGGAGGTTCTGGACAGTAAAAATTTTGCGCTTTACACACAGGCAAACCGGTATTTGCAGCAGCCCGGTTGGACGACAGATTAAAGGGATTGAAGACATACGGGTTGAGTAAAAGACTCGGGAGCACCATTGCAATACATTGCAAATGTAGCTTCACCAAAAATTCCAATCAGCTGATTTTTCTCAAATTTTCCCCATTTTTTTGCTCCTTTTCCTGTTCCGCTTCCTACGGTATTATTTATCCATGCGAATGTAATCCTGCGTTTCTCATCTTTTAACACCTGTATCTGCAAATTTCTTGTTCCGGATTGTAACTGCGTTTAAACGGAGCGACAACCGTGCTGGCAAACAGGAAACAACCAGGTCTAGAATCGGTGTTAAAGATTAGAGACGGTGGGTTTCCATGTATGTATGTATTATTAGACCCTAATCATCCCGGATTTGTGAAGTCAGCAGGTTGTCTCCGGTGCCTACTGTAAGACGGAGGCTTGGCGTTCTTGGCACCTTGCATTAGCCATCAAATTTTTGTGTTTTACATCGTGTTTTAGACAATCTTTTCATTGTCTCCAAATCTCCCAGGTATTAACCCGCACCGCCTGAGCGGATTAATTACACTCGAGGATGTTTACAATCTCACGAAAAGGTGTCAGGATATTACGACGCAATAAAAACAAAAAAATTAGCTGGATTAAGAGCGGGATTAGCGACCGCAGAAAGTTTTACAACAGTTACTGTAACTTGTCTCGTTGCTACGTGAGAAAGCGAAAGATCAACCAGCAATCTTGCACGGTAAATCTCGGTTTCCAAGGGTCCTCGGTTCTCGGAAGAAATCTTTTGAAGGGGTGATTAGCTGATGGAGTTAAGGGTATTAAAGTTGGAGCTTCTGATGGACAAGGATCAGGTGGGAGCTCAGAAATATTTATATATAATAGCGAAGTCTGGGCCGGGTTTGCGGTAGTGTAAAAGCCTTGCAATAGTCAGATAAGGAGAGGGAAATTTCTTTTTTGGTGAATTTTAAGTTTTACAAGCATACATTTGTGTTTGTTTTGAAAGTTTTGTCCAACGAGCTGTTATTTTTGCCCATTCTGCCTGAAAACCTCCGTAGTTTCTTAAGAGCGCAAGTTGAAAATTTTGCAAATAAAAATAAAAATTTTAAAACATTCTAACCCAATTTGTGTCTGACTTAATTGAATTCTACAAGTGAACTTTCAAGGCTTTCCCTGCTATATCATTGATCGTATTTACGCCCCAGTGTCCCCTTGTATTTTTTTCCAGTGTCGCTGAGATTAATTTTTCCCACTGTCACAAGCGAACACCTATATGTACAAGCTGCATCCTGCTAATTGCATTCCCA